CAGGTCGACCTCCACGCGGTTCCTCCTGGAAACTATCGTGACCAATTTATCATTGAATTCGTCACAATGGGCTAACTGACCTGCCTTTTCATCCTCACCTATCACCGCTCACTGGTACCCCGCTAGTGTATACCGATAGCGCAGGCGGGGCAACCATGCCATTTTCACGCATAATAAAAAATTACATATGGTAAATATTAAAGTAATCAAATAGAAATCTCACGCAAATATATTTTACTGACAGAAAAACATACATGTGTTTATTTTGATGGCGGTAGCGCGTTTATTTTATGTTTTAAATATATTCGCATTATATTGGTCGTTATTAGTTCACATACAGTGTACATTGTAAATGTTTATATTGTGAACAAACAAACAGATTTAATTGATTGACATGTTGTTGTGTTTAAACATAATGCGCTTACACATTTTTTTTTATACAACTTAGAATGGCAAACAAGCTGACGGCCCACCTGATGGAAAGTGATAACCGTCGCCTATAGACATGAGCAGTACCATGAACATAACAGAGTATACTGTTTCGCCCATGATACCCCCCATGCGTTGCCATTCCTGAGGACTCAGATGTTATTCCTCCGTACCCTGTAAATTCACTGCCATATCCCACCCTTCAAACCGAAACACAGTGGCTATTTTTAAGATAGACGCTGCTTCCTATCTTTCTACAATTAAGGTTCCTTAATCGCCTCTTACGACACTCACGAAGATAGAGAGAGAAAAAGAATCGAGAAGGGGAAAACACTGATATACAATACACGAATAAATAAAAACTTGTTACAATGTATTCTGATTTCCATATTATTTATGAATCAAGTAATACCTACTTACTATGAATAAATAAGCGGATTGATTACATCGACGAGGCGATTAAAATAAAGTGGACAAATAAGGCGAACTGGCCCCGCCTGAACCATTCATGCATATTACATACACCACGCTGTTCACGAGCAGCACCAGAAGTCGAGTCTACCATACATTCTTGTTTGATTCATACCCATTAATTTATAGCTCATGAAAGTCAAAATTATAGCAATAATTTTAATATATTAACATAGTGTACAGTACAATAAACGTTTTATAGCGCCAATAAAAATCGGCCGCATTATTTTTAAACCGCAATGTTTATCTCTAGTGTATTGGTGCATGGTACTAAGCCCAATTAATTCACCAAACACCATTTCAGGTTACACTGTAATCAAGCGTGTGAGCACGCAGTTAACCACATAACTATCGCGGCTAACGTTAAATTTAACTGTTACCGAATCCGTAGGATGTCTGTTAGAGACACGTGTCGATATCTCGTGTCGTTAAAAGCGCATTAACTATCGTTCGAGCGTACAGGGAGTCTGCGACGTCGGCGCACGGCGCACGACGCACGGCGGCGGGTGGCGGTGGTCACAGATTAGATGACGCATAGAGGGTTTGTAATGAAGAAAATAGGCACATAAAACACTGGTGAATGAAGCAACGACCTCGAAAAGATCAGAGGCTTTGTTTCATTGTTTCTGTTATATTATATATGGCATAATGATAATAATGACGATGGATTGGACCATCCAAATTAGATAAATGTTATTTTATGTGGCTAAATAGATTGTTTTGGAAAGGGGATTTCTAGCACGCTAGTCGACGTTTCTAGAAATATATTAAAAATATAAAAAAAAAATCCTATTACAATGAGGTCAACCTCTACGTTGTCCCCTGTAAGCTGTTGTACTTAATTACTAGTGAATTTGTCACGATAGGCCAAATGACCTGACTTCTTTGTCGCTTATCTTCGTCATTAATATCGCACAAAGTGGAGTTCCATTTCATTCCGTTTACTTCCATTAAATTATACTTAAAATTTATTTCTTGTAAAATAAATATTAAACTACAAGTGTTTATCAATACGTCGCCGCCCAAAACAATTCCTGAAACATTTTATACTCACAATAAAAACTTAATTACGAATAACTATCGAAAACTCGTTAGTAACACAAGAGAATGGCCGAATGAGTCATAAAAATCAAGGTACATTCTCAGAAGCGAGAGCATGTTGGGCATTTCGTGAACTGCGTCGCGTCTGTATTACATATAAACTATAGAATCACCGTGCTATATTCACCGGGCACATGTTCAGCTGAAAATAAATAAAACCATTTAACTGAAACTAAATCTATCTCGGTGTCCGACGGCTCTGTCCGCACCGGAGCCGGAAAAGTCGAAAACTTTGTTTTTATTTCTACTATTATTGGCTTTTAATTAGGCACATTTGTTTTTAACCGCCGTTTCAATTTTAAATATATAAAAATCACCGTTTATTTACACTGTCACAATGGTCCGAAACCAACAATTGATCTGTCAATTGTGAATCAAATATTTTTTGGTCCCTATTATATTTTTTGGACCTTTAGTCCCTTGACAATTTCATATTAATTTGATGTATTTTTTTTTTGTTTGGCACTTGTAAAATACTGGCATTTCTTCACAAATATTTCTTACCTCATCGCCCCTGGAGAGGTGACAGACAGATCTATCGACGAATACTTTTTTTAATAGATGATAATGGAATGGTAACCCTGCCTGCGCTATCGGTATACGCTGGCGGGGCACCAGTGAGGGATGATAGGTGAGGATGAAAAGACAGGTCAGTTAGCCCCCTGTGATATGAACACGCCTGAAATTCAGCACGATGGTTTCCAGGTGGACCACGTGAATGTGGTAGTGCGAAAGCGAACCCATGTCTCCGACATATGGCACGCCGAGGGTATATCGTCTGGTTTTTGGTGGGTACACCCCCGCCTAACGGGGGCATTCCCACAGTACCCATTCACCTCCCACGAGGTAAGGTATGGGTCTGTATAAAGCATTTTCCAGACGTTAAAAAAAAGGGGGACCACGTGGAGGTCGATCTGATGATGTATATTACTAGTAATGGGACTGGAGGTCCACATTCCTAACAATCCCTTTCTTGCCAGTGTATACCGATAGCTCGGGCGGAGTCACTATTGGGTAACCGATAAGACTGATCTTATTTTAACAGCCGTATTGATTCATAAAAGAAAGTACAATAAATAGGGTATCCCTATATTACGCACGGCATATCAGTCTGTTTATCGACATGCCGGTAGCAATAAAACACGAACAGCAGCGAGCCTCGCATATGTGTATGTAATTGTTAACAATAATTGTGCGATAAATTGCACGACGTCGATAAATATTATCGCATTTCAGATTGCAACCAAAGATACGTAATCTTATAGGTGTTTTGTTAGCGGACCCGTGTTTTGCTACCATTTGCAATATTCATAATTTTATCCTCATATTTTTTTTTAATTAACTATAGACTTAAAGTTTTCATTCCTTTTTTTTTTTAACTAGATACAGTCTTGCAAAATCTTCGGTAGGGATTTCATGTCGGGAACATGCTAAAAAGTTGCAATGCTGCAAGGGCGAGGGATGGGCAGCAGCGTTCCTCTTAAAACAACCAGAGGGAGACTTTGTACAAACGTCGATTGCTTGGGTACCTCTGTCCCATTCGTGTTTCTACCGTGAAGCAGTTGTGTTTGCATGGCTGTGTTTCGGTTTGAAGGGTGGGATATGGCGTGAATTTACTGGGTACAGAGGAATAACATCCGAGTCCTCAGGAATGGCAACGCATGGGAGATATCATGGGCGAAACAATATACTCTGTTATGTCCGTTGTACTGCTCATGTCTATAGGCGCCGGTTACCACTTTCCATCAAGTGGACCGTCAGCTTGTTTGCCATTGTAAGTTGTATATAAAATAAAAAAAACTAAAACCTAACTTTCTTGGCTGAAATTGCGTTCCGAATGGGCGGTAATGAAAAAATGACTGTCCAAAAATGTTTAAATCTAATTTTACTTGATTAAAAATATTTCTTTCTTTCTATAAAATAAAAATATTGTATAAATAGTAATAAAAATCAGGCATGTGTAGGTACTATTTACCTGCAATCGCGTCGCGATAAGCCCCCGGTAGTGTATTTAAAATTTGTGTCAACAACGCGGAAATTCAAATTTAAGTACAATTTGACCGCAAGACTGCCTTAGTTTTAAGGTTCCCTTCTGTTGATTTTATAAGTGGTGCTTCTATGTGGGATCACCTTGTGTGTGTATGTATATATATATATATATATATATATATATATATATATAACATTTTATATCAATTTTCTTATTATCATTAGTAAGATTTTCCGAGAACATTTTTTTTGTTTGATTACCTACTGTGTTACACAAAAACTGAACGATTTTGTTAACTTATAACTCCGTCAGTTTTAAACCGATTTTTAAAATTCATTTTTAATCTGAAAGGATATACTTACAGATTGGTCCCATAGGTATTTTATCAAAATCGGTAGTTTTTAAATGAGAATAACTGGTTTTACTACAATTGAATTCGATTATTTTTTGCTTAAGATAACATTTCTCAATATAACTTTTTTTTTTAATAAACCGATATGTACATGAAAAATAAAGTATAAAATGGTCACCTATAACTAAATAAAGTATAAAATGGCACCTATAACTAAATAAAGTATACTTTGCTTTTCTTACTTCTATCGTACTACATTTCTGTTCAATAGATGGTAATCTAGCGTCAAGTAGATACTGTGTCTATTATAACTATTACATCTTGTTATTATAGGTTTTCTATTTGCTACTAGAAAAAAAAAATTACGGCTACTACACACTAGATGTCACCACATGTCAAAATAAAATTCCTTAAACGCTATTATAATTTGATATATAAAATTCTAACTAAAACGAAGTTCATTTATAATTACAATAGTAATTAAATTAAAATAAGTAACAAAAATGTGGCTATATTTTTGTCAAATATTATGAAAATTCTTATGCAGTTTTACTGCAATCTCTCACAAAAATAGCCAAATATCTGAATCGAATTTAAATCTAGATTATATAATTTAAGTAAGTATGTTATTTATATACTCTACATGTTTATTTGCAGATGCCTGTAGTGTAGCCGACATGAGTACGAGCAGATGGCGCGGCGTGATCGCACTGGCGACGCTGATGCTGGCGCAGGCGCACGCGTCGCTCGCGCTGCACCAGCCGCGCTGCGAGGAAATCGTCATCCCCATGTGCCGGGGTATCGGTTACAACCTCACCTCTTTCCCTAACGCCCTCGACCATGACACGCAGGAGGAGGCCGGACTTGAGGTTAGATATCAGTCGTACATTTTTTATGCTTAAGAAAATTTTATAGCCGCAAGATTTCTTAGCTATTCCTGTTTTTAGCTGAAATTGCCTTTCTAATTGATTAAAAAATTAATAGAAAACTGACATCATAATGTTTTAGAATTAATTATCTCGTTTCAAATGGTTATTTTGTTCCTCTTTGTCATGGTAATGAATATCCAATTACCTGTTAGATTATTTGTTACATAAAAAAAATTGTAAAAATATAAATTAATATTTAAAACATATTTTTTTTGTATTTCAGGTGCACCAATACTGGCCCCTCGTCGAAATAAAATGCTCCGCTGACCTCAAATTTTTCCTGTGCTCCGTGTACACACCCATATGCATCGAGGACTACGCGAAGCCGCTGCCGGCGTGCCGCAGTGTGTGCGAGCGCGCCCGCGCCGGCTGCGCGCCGCTGATGCAGAAGTACGGCTTTCCGTGGCCCGAGCGCATGGCCTGCGAGCGGCTGCCGCGTTTTGGGGACCCCGACCACCTGTGCATGGACGACAACGACCGCGAGCCCGAGCCGGAGCCGCCACGCCCGCCGCCCCGGAAGACGCACAAGAATGCGTGCAAAGATCCAAAAAACTGCGAAAGCGGCCCGGCTGCCGGGCCGGACGGCACGGGCGAGGCGGGCGGCGGCGCATGCACGTGCGCGTGCCGGCCGCCGCTGGTGGCGCGCGCGCCGCCGGCCAACGGCAGCGCGGCCGGCCTGCCCGCCTGCGCACTGCCGTGCCGCGGCGCCTTCTTCACGCGCGAGGAGAAGGACTTCGCCGCCGTGTGGGTCGCGCTCTGGAGCGGCCTCTGCGCCGCCTCCACGCTCATGACGCTCACCACGTTTCTGATCGACTCGCAGCGATTCAAGTACCCGGAGCGGCCGATAGTCTACCTCTCGGCGTGCTACTTCATGGTCGCGCTCGGCTACCTGGCGCGGCTCGCACTCGGCCACGAGGAGATCGCCTGTGACGGGCCCGCACTCAAGGTCTCCGCGAACGGCCCCGGCGCATGTACGCTCGTGTTCATCCTCGTCTACTTCTTCGGCATGGCGTCCTCTATATGGTGGGTGGTGCTCTCGTTCGCGTGGTTCCTCGCCGCCGGTCTCAAGTGGGGCAACGAGGCGATCGCGGGTCATGCGCAGTACTACCACCTCGCCGCGTGGCTAATTCCGGCCGCGAAGACGGTGGCGGTGCTGCTCGCGGGCGCGGTCGACGGCGACCCGGTAGCCGGCATCTGCTACGTCGGAAACTCGTCGCCGGAGAACCTACGGCGGTACGTGCTCGCGCCGCTCATCGTGTACTTCGCGCTCGGCGCGACGTTCCTACTCGCCGGCTTCGTGTCGCTCTTCCGCATCCGCTCCGTGATCAAGCGGCAGGGCGGCATCGGCGCCGGCTCGAAGGCCGACAAACTCGAAAAGCTGATGATTCGTATCGGCGTGTTCAGCGTGCTGTACGCGGTGCCGGCGGGCGTAGTGATCGGCTGCCTGGCGTACGAGGCGGGCGGCCACGAGCGCTGGCTACGGCGCGTGGCGTGCGGCGCGGGCTGCTCGGCCGCTCGCCCGCTGTACTCGGCGCTCATGCTCAAATACTTCATGGCGCTGGCCGTCGGCATCACGTCCGGCGTGTGGATCTGGTCCGGCAAGACGCTCGACTCGTGGCGGCGCGTGTGGCGCGGCGGCCGCGGCCACCGGCACCGCGCGCTCGTGAAGGGCGGCGTGTGACGGCCCGGCGCGGGCGGGCCCGGCGCCGCGCCTGCCGCGCCGCTCGCGCCGCCCGCGCCGCCCGCGCCGCCGCCGCTGCCGCCCGTCGTGCCCTCGGCGCCGTCGGCGCGCTCGGGCCAGCCGTTGTCGGACTACGGCCCGGTGTAGTCCGAACCCGTGTGTGTGCCATGTGTGTACCGCTCCGTCGGACAGTCGTGACGTGTCGTGACGTAGCGAGGTCGCGCGTTGTCTAGTCCTAGCGTGTCACGAGCGCGACGTGCACATAATATATACGTAATAGTCTGTAAGTGAGGAGTTCCCGCGTGCGACTCCGACGTGACCGCTCGTTCCGAGCCCCCGTATACTAGTGTAGCGTGGCAATACTCGTACACTCTAACATTGTATAGACGTAGCTCTCGTGTATATCCGATTATACAGCGTGCATATCCAGTAAAATACTTTATTTTTATTGTTGCTTGAATACACATAATATAATCACATCTTTCATTATTAAAAATAAAGTAATTTCCTGATATGCATCGTTACTAACGGTGAACGTTATAAAACTATTTCTGTGTACATCGATTTTCATTTACTCAACATTATGTACATTATCCGTCGTAAAAACGTGATGGTTTATTTGTTGAACTTTTTACAAATCTCGATGAAAATATTTTCTACCATAGAAAAGTTTGAACAGTTTGTAATATAATTATACATAATCGCGACTCATCACTTTACAAATTATATTATAAGTGAAAGAAAATGTAAATATCTATATTTAGTACCAAATGTCAATAGGCAGACATCCTATTACATGACGTGTAGACTAGTATGAAACCATGTGATAGTGGCATGGAATTATAAACCGCCATCTACTGCCAAGTAGGAAAACGTTACATTTCACATAAGTTCATTTGAAATGAATAAATCTAGATGAATTTATGACTCGAACCAAAGCACTTGCATATCAGTGAAATGTTAAATTGATTATTTATTGTTAAACACATTCTACGCACATTATAGAGACAAGCGGTTCAACTTAACGATTTACTGGTATGTACTGTTACCATAAATATAAAAATATTAATTGTAACGTGTTCATTTTCACACTTATGAAGACAACTTATAATATCTATCAACTTGTAAAAAGTCCGCTACCAGTGTTTGTTTGCATTTAGATGTGAACACACTATTTCTATAATTATAATATAGGGATCTCAACGTACAATATATAACGTAATGTAAGCAACCAATTGAGGTTTAATAATCTCATTAAATAAGATAATAAAAATGCTGATTCGAACTGAAAACAAAAATCGCTCAAATAGAAAGTTTAATGTCAAAGCTAGACCGCCATGTGTAATGATGTAATTTTGTACCATATATTTAATTTATGAACGAGAAGATATTGTAAATGTGTCCGCGGACACCGCATCCAATAGCATGAAACTGTAATTTATTTTATATCTAGCTGTAGATAAGAAATATAATAATAAAGCGACTTTTTTATGTACAAACTTTAAGATTTTTTTTAAATGTCCCCTAGCCGTACATAGATAAAAACAAATTATAAATATGTAGTCACAATTCAGACTCATTTGAAATTATAAGAGAAACGAAAAGATAAGAAATAATAGTGTAGGGTGTCAAATTACCGAGTACAGTTTATGCAAGGGTTTTCAGTGATTACAACAGTTTCAGTCTATAAAGTTTATTTAGAAGACTAAAAGCGCTAATAGTATTATAAAAACTAGTTATTGCTAATTTGAACATTATCTCTTGGTAATGTACATAAAAAAAGAATACAACGTAACTCGAAAATATAAAAATATTGGTATATTCAGCGCCATCTTTATATTTTTTCAAATTGCTATATTAGCGCCACCTCTCGGATGCTGCCAAACTTAAAATACAGTTCAGCTATTTGCCGTTAGATGGCGCTAAACAACTGACAATACTCATGTTTGAAAAATTAAAATCAATTCTACGACACATTTACCTTACGTGTCTAAAAACTATCACATTACAATTACGTATGTCGTTTGGACAGAATGTTACTATAATAAAAATATTTATTACTACCTAATAAAAAATCACGAAGAGTGGCAACTTCGTTGAGGCGCCGCGTCAACTGCGCGCCGCATCGATTGCCCCAATAAATTATGGCACGGAAGGAATAACTTTCTATTTCTATTATCTTACACTTAATACCTACTATCTACCTTACTTTAATTACGTATTTTCGTCAGTAATGGCAGTTTCTCCTATATATAATAATTCTAGCAGTTCACTACAGTAACTCAAGAGGTTCAACAGACAAATTAATAGACACAAGATTCTAAATGAATCACCAACCATTAAAATGGAATATAACAACCACCAAACTCTATCACTCATCTTGATTGTCTATGCATTTATTGCTTTCGAACATTGAATAGAGAGAATACTACAAAATGAAAATACTAGTAAACATTCTATGTTATTATTATTGTGTTACATTACGATAGTTACCTATTTAAAAGTAAAACATTTAACCTATTAATAGTCATAGGTATTTGTTCAATGTCCATAATTGTACAAGGCATTTTTAGCACACACAAAACCCGTGAAAAATATAACCCGTATATCAGGGGGGAAAGGGATTGTTAGTAATGGAGACTGAGAATCCCGTTGCTAGCAATATACCCAACCAGGTCGACCTTCTCTCAGGGAGAACCCTGGAAACTATCATGGTTAATACCTGATGAATTCATCATGATGGGCTAACTGGCCTGTTTTCATTCTCATCTATCACCCTTCACTGGTGCTCCGCCAGTGTATTCCGTTAGCACGGGCGGGGTTACCATACCATTTTCACCCATAAAAAAAAACCCGTATATCACTTCTTAAATGCTTCAATCATTATTTTGTTAGATATTCTACAAATACGCTGTTAAAATTACTTTGAAAGTGGAATTGAATGAAAAGAACGAGAAATAACACAAAGCGTAGCACATCTCACTTAAACATAAGATTTTGTCAAATAATAATAATAATCGTTAGCTTTACTCGCGTTTTAAATTGGACGATGCGAAAATGAACCGCGCTCATGAATAAAGACTCCTATTGAGTACGAAACTAGTCGGGCATCGTCGTATTTAAAACATAAGACTTTGTTCCAAAAAAAGACTGATTACAGTCATAAGAAATTTATATGAAGGTCGACGCTCTGGAGAAAACCCTTTAAATTAAAAAAAAGAATCATTAAAATCAATTTCGACGTAACATAAATTATTAAATATAGATACACAGCCTACATGGAAACTCGCTCTTTCGATCTACCTCCACCCTGAAATATATAATCCACCTGAGTTGTCCGATTCAAATATTGTAAACTAGCTTTTCATTTACTTACTACAACAAAGGCAAAGAAACAGAGCCACACAGCCTCGTCTTTGACAACCAACTTACATTTTAAGATACAAAAAAAAATGTGTCCAAGAACATAACCCGCACAGCCATAATTTAAAAAGCGAAATGTCAAGGAGCCTCTGTGGTCGAGGCGTTGTACTCTCAACTGGAGACCATGCTGTTGCAACTGTGCGCGTAATACATCGCTTGACTGTACTGGTCTGGTAGCAGAGCATTATGAACGGACGTATCTTGATGCTCGTGCATGCTCATGTTTATATTGTGTATGTATGGTATGTGCGTGTGGTCCTCAGATGGTTGCTGATGTCCATGTGGTAACTGATGGTAGTATGATAACTCTTGAGGTAAAGAATGCTCCATCTCTATGTTCTTCTGCATCTCCTGCTGCTGCAGTGGCTGCAGACCCTGTAATATGGATGGATATGGAACTTAATAAGACAGTAGCATAGACAAAGTAAATACTATAATATAAAATGTTTAATTTTTTTTATATGCAACTTAGAATGACAAACAAGCTGACGGCCCACCTGATGGAAAGTGGTAACCGTCGCCTATAGACATGAGCAGTACCATGGACATAACGGAGTATACTGTTCCGCCCATGATACCCCCCATGCGTTGCCATTCCTGAGGACCCAAGTGTTATTCCTCTGTTCCCTGTAAATTCACTGCCATATCCCACCCTTCAAACTGAAACACAGCCATGCAAACACAACTGCTTCACAGTAAATACACGAATCGGACAGAGGTGCCCAAGCAAAAGACTTTTGTACAGTCTCCCTCTGACAAATCATTTTAGATAAAAAAGGATTTCCTAAATCGTTTATAACTGTTTTTTTTACATAAAAAAACACAAATAACTGAGAACCTCCTTTTTGATGTCGGTAAAAAGTATTGTACTTATATTAATATTATAAATTTAAAACTTTGATCATTTCAAATAGGTCTTTGCCACGATTACTGTACAGCGTACATATAAACTATAAGATAACCTATTGATATATTTACAGTAAAAAATATGCTCACGACTAAAATCCCTGATGAAATAGACAGAGAATTTTGTCGACTGCCGTTATAATGAACTTAGAATACTCGACCTATGTCTTAACAAGCGTCTTAATAAGTGTAATAGTGTGAAATCAAGCGATATGAAAAATCAAGACAATTACCTGCGTTTGGTATTTGCACCGCTTGAAGCGTCCGTAGAGCGATGAGTACGGCAGGTTGTAATGTATGGCTGCCTGGTTTATCGACATCTGGCCTATCCTGCACACGCAAATATACTGTAGTAAGGGGGGAAGGGATTATTAGTAATGCGAGCTACCAGTCCCGTTGCTAGCAATATGCTAAACCAGGTCGACCTCTACGTAGTCTCCTCTGGAAACCATCGTACTGAATTCTAGATGAATTCATCACAATGCAATCTTTCACTGGTGCTCCGCCAGCGCATACCGTTACAGCAGGCCGGGTTATCATTTCATTATCATCCATTAAGAAAAATATACTGTAGTTAACATATTTTTTTTTAATGGGTGATTATGGAATGGTAACCCCACCCGCGCTATCGGTATACACCGACGGAGCACCAGTGAAGAATGATAGGTGAGGATGAAACAGGTCAGTTAGCCCATCGTGATGAATTCAACAAGAATTGTTCACGATGGTTTCCAGGGGGAACCACGTGTAGGTCGACCTAATAGGGCATATTGCTAGCAATGGGGCTGTCAAACTCCATTGCTAACTAATCCCTTTCCCCCCCCCCCCCCCCAGTTAACACATAATTAGCTATAAGTAAGTAAGAATGGGCCACCCCTTCCTTTCTCGTGGGTGTCGTAAGAGCCGACTAAAGGAGGGCGAGGGATGGGCAGCTGCGTCACTTGTAAAACATCTCCAAAGCCTAACGGCTGTTGCTAATCCGCCTGCTAAACATGGCGTCTACTGGCAAAACCCCCTCAAGGGCCAGGCTTATGTTCAGCGATGCACAGTTGAAGGCCGATATGATGATCAGAATACAAAGTAATACAATAATAAAGAGTCGTGCTGCTGGATCTGCTTATGGATATGGTGGCTTTAGCTGTTAGTTGTTAAGTATTTAATAATAGTTGTAAGCTATATGTATATATATATATATATATATATATATATATATATATATATATATATATATATATATATATATTTCTCTGTACTTATTGTTATACACGTATCAATATATGCTGTGTTTGCCTATAAAACATTGTTACACTTAGTTCTAAGCTCCATTATTGTGTATATATTTACATTATTTTGTGGAAACAATTGTAGGTGAAGCTAAATAAATAAATAAATCAATAATGAGATAAATATTAAAAAACACAGCATTCAAATTTGTACTCCAATTAATACTCTGCATAGCGTTCACTATTAGACATTAGGAGAATAGCGACTATAGATATAAATTAATAAATTGACAGTTTTATATATATATATATATATTTATTTATTTATTCATTAGTACAAATATGTGTACATGGCGGACTTAATGCTAGAAGCATTCTCTCCCAGTCAACCATAGGCAAGTGTCAGAATACTCGAATGCGGCACTAGTAATTATTGATATACATACATACTAAATTCACATATAGAAACGAATAGAGTCATGTGGGGTAAACGTACGCGGCGAAAAAGTGTCCGCAGTGAACATTCTGCGAACCCCATGGATGACACCAGGTCGAGACCTATCGCGTTTAGTTAGCACTTGACCACCAAGCGAGAGTACTACGTTACAGGTTTGCTGCACAATGCTGTAGAAACTTACACAGCAGTATTGCTTTTGCACGGATTTGTTATTTTTTTCTTTAAAATTAATTTGCATAGTTACTGAAGCAATGTTATTAGTCTGATTGTATAATAAAGTGACTGAGAACAGAAGTTATTCAATATTTTGTGTGAATCTATTTATTTTGTCTAAGGTAAGTCATACTTCGAAATTTTATTATTTTCATTTGCTTTAATGGGATGGGGTAAGTGTCCGCATTAATTAAAATGCATATACTCGTACTTACCCAGTCATATTTGTTTGCCTTCTAGTTGACAAAATTGTTTCCGGAGAACGTGGTCAAACTATAACCGAAGTTTGTTGTGTTAATGCAACTGAAAATTATGTGCCGCCTGCATTTATTTTGCCTCGAAAAAGAATGAAGGGTGAACTTATGGACGGAGCTCCGGCTGGTAGCATTGGCATGACATCTGATTCCGGATTCACCAACGCGGACTTATATTTTCAGTGGCTGGTACACTTCAAGGAATGCACTTCACCAATACTGATTATTGACAATCATTCAAGTCATATCAGCTTGCAAGCTACTCTGTATTGCAGATAGAATAACATCGTTGTACTTACATTGCCACCTCACAGTAGTCACAATATACAACCCTTGGATAGAACCATTTACAGTCCTCTAAAAAATCAGTACGCACTTGAAGCTGATAAATGGATGGCACAGCATCCTGATAGATCTATTAATCAATACCAAGTAACTTCTATTTTCGACAGAGCGTTTAAAAAAATTGCTACTGTAGGTAACGCAGTTTGTGCATTCAGGATGACTGGAATATATCCTTTTTTTTTTACAACACAGGGGGCAAACGAGCATGCGAGTCGCATGCTCGTTTGCCCCCTGTGGTAAGTGAGTACCGTCGCCCATGATCATCCACAACACCAGCGGCATTGCAGGTATGCTGCCGGCCTTTTAAAAAGGAATATACTCTTTTCTTGAAGATTATGTTGTCGTTTCGGTTCGGAAATACTACTGCTGGAAGTTGATTCCAAAGAATGGTTGTGCGTGGAAGACGATTTATTTACAGAAGCAGAATTTGCACCATCTGCAGTTACTGATATGTGTAATCTATCTGCTGATGCTATAGCTCAAAATATACCTTCTTTGAACTCTATAAGCACAGTAGACGTTAAGGAGATACAAAGCCATAAAGTTATATCTGTTACCTTGATGGCACGACGCCTGTACAAGTTACGAAGAGGGTACATTCACATGTGATTTTTGTGCAATAGTAAATTAAGTTTACGTGCGTACACTTAACCGAAGGTGTGCGGATACTTTCCCGCCGATGCGGGTAAAAACCCGCGTTTCCCTTGTTCATTAAATTATTAAATAAAACTAATAGTTATTGTTAGAATTGAAATTTTACATTTTGTTTTTCTTCTCAAATGTTTTTAACGTTAAAATAAAAGTTTTTTTCTTTTCAATTATCAAAATCTTTTATTCTGGAAGCAATTAACTAAAAAATGCGTACGTTTACCCCACATGACTCTAAATATATATGAATAACAAATATACTTACACATATATGACATATACTATATTATACACGAAATTGAGAATAATATAAAGCACTTATAATATATAATTACATTGCAAATACTTTATTTATTTTAAGAGATTACTTTATGTAGTTACTTGAGACTTCGTGCTCTTTGGACTTGATCAATATCCGTCAGCAATGTGACAAATCAGCAATTATTAAATTAATAAGTCTATCAATAGACGGATATTATATTTTATAACACTAACAGAAAATTTTCAATTGTACTCGTATGATTTTTTTTTTTTTGATAGGAGAAAATGTAAATGGTAACCCCGCCTGCGGTAACGGGATACGCTGACGGAGCACCAGTGAAGGCTGATAGATGAGAATGAAAACAGGCCAGTTGGCCCATCATGATGAATTCATCAGGAATTAACCATGATAGTTTCCAGGGGGAACCGCGAGGAGGACGACCTGGTTGGGTATATTGCTAGCAATGGGATTCTCTGTCTCCATTACTAACAATCCCTTTCTCCCCCCCACCCGTATGAATTGAAAATTGTATTTCCTCCTATCTGATTTATTGTCTATGTCTATAATGAATGTAGTTAATACTATATTTATTTTTTTATATAATTGCTACTCTATGGTCCCGCCATAGAATGGATCACTTCTTTCTGTTACATGAGTATTGTAAGAAGTGACGAAGGGTTTTTTTTTTTATACAACTTAGAATGGCAAACAAGCTGACGGCCCATCAGATAGAAAGTAGTAACCGTTGCCTATAGACATGAGCAGTACCATGGACATAACAGAGTATACTGTTACGCCCACGATACCCCCCATGCGTTGCCATTCCTGAGGACTCAGGTGTTATTCCTCTATACTCTGTAAATTCATGCCATATCCCACCCTTCAAACCGAAACACAGCCATGCAAACACAACTGCTTCACGGTAGAAATACAAATGGGACAGAAGTACCCAAGCAATCGACTTTTGTACAAAGTCTCCCTCTGGTATAATACAATGGTATAATGATCTTCTATATAAAACAAATGATCCAAATCGTACGTCTATCTATCTGTATTAAAACCGGCTAAAATGTTACCACGGTAAGCGGCGCAACACTTTGAGTCATCCAACTTAAATTAGATCAATTTGAATAGAAAGTTCGAGTTATCTTCAAACTTGTTAGTACACACAAACACTAATTTAACTATTTACTGGCTCTAGCGAGCTTAACATTTCAACTTAGGTTTTAGAAGCACCATTTCCATTTACATTTGATTGCTGATTTACATCTTATTATAGAATATACTCTTTATTAACTTATTTTTTTTTTAATAATGACAATTCCTTCATCCCCGATTGAAGTAATTGGGGTTCCGTAACAAAACGGTACAAAGGAACACTTATGGGGCGGCTTTGTCTGTCCGTCTGTAACAGCGCTATTTTTTTTTTTTTTTTTGAGATGGGTGAAAATGGTGTGGTAACCCCGCCTGCGCTAACGGGATACGCTGGCGGAGCACCAGTGAAGGGTGATAGATGAGAATGAAAACAGGCCAGTTAGCCCATCATGATGAATTCATCAGGAAATAACCATGATAGTTTCCAGGGGGAACCGTGAGGAGGACGACCTGGTTGGGTATATTGCTAGCAATGGGATTCTCAGTCTCCATTACTAACAATCCCTTCCCCCCTAACAGCGCTATTTAAAAACGAATAATAAATTATATTTATTCATAATAGCCTTATAAAAAATTTCACTGTTACTGTCACTGTCATCTGCTCAATAGCTCGATCTTTTACAATGTAATCAAACTTTCTAGCTACCTTTTTATGTTAACATCAGATCCCTTGTGGGGTTGGGTGGACAAAATGTAAATGGGAAGCTAATATTCCAAGTCTACTAATACCTACACCACCAAATCACCGTTTCTATTAAAATACTCGACGATACATCTCTGCTAACGAAACTCTTTTTTTTAAAACAGATTTATGTGAGGAATGTGAATAAATGAATGAATGTGTATACTTTATTTGCATTATACAATATAGGGAATGAGCAAGGCGATTTACAAATACAACGATACAATTGTATAAGTACAGTGAGGCGGTCTTATTGCTGAGAGCGATCTTTTCTTGTCTTTCTCAAGACAACCTTAAGGTAATGGACTAATTGTTGTACAAGTAGGTGTGATAGTATTGTATAATTAAAAAAAGCATCTTTGGCATATTACAAATATAAGAAAATTATATGTGTGGGAATGTGGTGAGATAACGTTGTCAAAAATCGTAATTTTTTCTCTTGTTACTATACATAAGATTTAAAAAAATAATACATTTAGTAAATAAATTTGTATAAGTATAAATGTTTGACATGAGTTAAAGAGTAATTACTAATGCTGTCGAAATTTTGACAAAAAAAAAAAAAAAAACAATTACATACCTAACAGCTTCGAGTGCTTCGCCCATGGCATCTTCGGACCACGGCGTGGGGTTAGAGCGGGACAACTCGATGCCTTCTCGCTTACACCTGCCGTACAACGTGCCTGAAATTAATAATTCAGGAGTGTTTAGTGATGAAACACGTGCATCTGTGTTGCAATCTAAAATGGCGAACGGTAGAATGGTAGGGCGCCAGATGATAGGTCAGGAAGTCATCCATAAGTTAGCACATCAGAGGGAGACTTTGTACAAAAGTCGATTGCTTGGGTACCTTTGTTCCATTCGTGTTTCAACCGTGAAGCAGTTGTGTTTGCATGGCTGTGTTTTGGTTTGAAGGGCGTGAATTTACTGGGTACGGAGGAATAACACCTCAGTCCTCAGGAATGGCAACGTATGGGGGGTATCATGGGCGAAACAGTATACTCTGTTATGTCCATAGTACTGCTCATGTCTATAGGTGACGATTACCATTTTCCATCAGGTGGGCCGTCAGTTTGTTTGCCATTCTAAGTTGTATAAAAAAACATTGTAGATTTACTAGGAATCAACCACTACGCTTTCCAGGAGGGAGAGGAGGCAGCCAACTCGTCTCAATTTGAAAGGAATGGCTAATATTAATTTCACTGAACTGTACTGAAAAATATGTTTTATTTCATTGAAGAACTTGAGAATTATTGGGGAAAGACTGTTTTGGTTTAGCAGTAAAATTATCGAGTACAGTATGAAGACTACCGTTAGATAGTGAGTGTCGTAAGAAGCATCTAAGAGAAGGCGAAGGATGGGAAGCAGCGTCCCTCTTAAAACACCTTTAACGCCTAACTGCGGTTTCCAATCCGCCTGCCAAGCATGGCAACTACTGTCAAAACCCCCCAAACGGGAGGCTTATGTCAACAGTGCACAGTTAAAGGCTTATATGTTGATGATGATGATGACATGACCCCCCCCCTTCCACCCTCCCTAACGAGGTGGTGAGGTAGTTACCGGTTGGGATGCCGAATTGCGAGGCGGCGCGCTGCACGGAGCTGGCGCCGCAGCGGATGGAGGCGAGCGCGCGTTCCAGGTCGGCGCGGCGCCACGCCGTCGGCGCCGCGTTGAACGGCGCCGCCAACCGGATGCCCTCGCGCCGCGCTATCTTGTACAGTGTGCTGCTTGGAATACCTGTCGACCGCATACACCAGTGTATCCCAACCTTTTTTGTGCCATGCCCCACTTGAATATTTCTAAAATTTATATGCCCCCATACATAATTTTTCCCAACAAAGTTTACTTGAACAAAATTATACCTAATAAATATTTATAACATTTTTTTATATTACTTTTTTTGTTAAATTTGGCACGGATATCTACTCGTAGCATTGCATTTAAATAAACCGGAGCAAGAACGTTAAAATCGCTTCGAGTCCATTTTTTAATTGCCCTCCCCCCCTTAACTATAAAGTTGCCCCCCTGTGGGGCGTGGGCCTCGCGTTAGGAAACACCGACATACCCCCTCATCAGTACTAAATCAAAATATTTTTATTGAAAAACCCACTCAGGTGGAAAGGTTTTTTTTTATTAGATGATGACAGGTTACTAGTAAATGATGATAAATGAGGATGAAGTCAAGCCAATTAGCCTATCACCATGAAATAACCACGATGGAGGACACACGGAAATCGACCAGCCACTGACCGTCCACGTCCTCGAATGGACTGAAACTACTCGGGTTCCACAGAGGTTGGAAGATCACGGACGTACCGTAAGCCTTGCTCGCTTTATTGGCAGATATAGCGCCGGCCCTGAGTGCGTGCAGTGCGCCGCGCAGGTCGGCCTCGCTCCACGACTTGGAAGCTCCCTCTTTCTTCGGCGTGTCAATGCCGAGGCGGTGCGCGCGCTGCCACAGTGTGGTCGACGGTATACCGTACGTCGCTGACGCCTGCGAATCGGACGACAACCTTATGAATGAATGAAACAACAAATAAATCTGGACAAGTGGCGCTCTTCCACTGTGCTTTTTCAAGGCACTTTCTTCCACGCACAACCACTCTTTGGCATTAACTCCCAGCAGCAGTATTTCCGAACCGATACAACATCATAACCTTCAAGGAAAGAGCAAGCTCCTTTTTAAAAGGCTAGCAGCACACCTGCAATGCCGGTGGTGTTGTGAGGCGGTGATAGTCACTTACCATCAGATGAATCGCATGTTCGTTTGCACCATGTGTTGTAAAAAAAATACGATGCCATTCTTGAGACCTTATTTGAGGACACTTAGTGCTATTACTTATACTGTGATGGACCTAAAAATTAATTCAATTAATGTTACGGACAAAGACGGGTCATCAGTTTTATATAAGTACTACGTACCTTGGTGAGACTCATGTTGTGTTTCCGAAGCGCTTCGAGCGCGTTGTCCATGTCCCGTTGGGTCCAACTCTTGGGGCTGCTCCGGGTCGACGGCTCGGGCTGGGTGCTGCACGAGTCACTGGTATCCTCGCCACTTAAATGTTGTTGCTCTGCCATTGAATATGAAGTATGTAGTTGTTTTTTTTTTTTTTCTAAATTTCTGTGTGTTCACTAAGGACATTATTTTATAAGCTTTTATTTAATTTCAATCTTTGTTAGCTCATTTAAGTCAATTCTTAAAAGCTGAATAAGGTCCTCTTAACATATTTTGACCAAATTTTGCATATAATTTCAATTTATATGGTAACATTGTTATAGTCAAGATAACTCACATTGGAAATAGGGCCGGAACCCGCGCGTAATGCCTCTGATATTGCAGGCGTTCATGGGCTACGGTAACCACTTACCATCAGGTGGGCCGTATGCTTGTTTGCCACCTCAGTGGTATAAGAAAAATTTGTCTTTAAAAATATTTTTAAATACGCTTCATTTTAATTAGAAGATTACTATCAAGCTTTTATCGGTTCTCACCTCCTTCCGAGAGTGGTTCGTCTTTGACAGACATCAACGGCATGAAGTCTGCTGAGTCAGGCACTTCGTTTGAACTGAGGATCGTCATATGCCGGTCCAGCAGTGTCGAGCCCTACCAACAGACACTGACCCTGTATTTTTTTTATACATACTAGCGATCCGCCCCGGCTTCGCACGGGTGCATATTACATCACATCACATTAGAAACCTTTAAAATTATCAGTGTTCCTTTACTATATTATGCATGTATTATACATATAAACATTCCTCTTGAATCACTCTATCTATTAAAAAAACCGCTTCAAAATCCGTTGCGTAGTATTAAAGATTTAAACATACATAGGGACGGACAGACAGAGACAGCGACTTTGTTTTGTACTATATAGTGATTGTTACGGTATTTAGATCACATGATAGATTATCGAATATTATTAAAAAAAATCATCTGCTTATATTATATAAATATTCTTCGTCTCAAATGATCTTTACTGTGAAACATTCCGTACCCATTATTCATTCGTGTTTCAACCGTGAAGCAGTTGTGTTTGCATGGCTATGTTTCGGTTTGAAGGGTGGGATATGGCGTGAATTTACACAGTACAGAGGAATAACACCTGAGTCCTCAAAAATGGCAACGCATGGGGGGTATCATGGGCGAAATAGTGTACTCTGTTATGTCCATGATACTGCTCATGTCTATAGGCGACGGTTACCACTTTCCATCAGATGGGCCTGTTTTCATTCTCAGCTATCACCCTTCACTGGTGCTCCGCCAGCGTATCCCATTAGCGCAGGCGGGGTTACCATACCATTTTCACCCATAAAAAAAAACACTAAATAAGAAGATTGGTAGCAATTGAACAAGAAGGAATCTAAACAGCGTTGTGAAATAAATGTTACTAGTATTTTTTTTGAACTCGTCAGAGGGTGCAGTTAAAGATTTGAGTGATAAAAAGTAGAATTCATTGCTTACAGCAAATAAACACCATAAGATTATGTTGTGTCAGTAAGTGCGTTACTGGTATAATATTTTACCTTACCAATACTTAAACCAGAGATATATTTTTGAATGGATGATAGTGGAATAGTAACCCCGCCTGCGCTATCGGTATACACATGTCCCACCAGTGAGAGGTGATAGGTGACGATGAAAGCAGGTCCGTTAGCCCATCGCGACGAATTCCACTAGAATTAACCACGATAGTTAGATGGAAAACCGCGTGGAGGTCGACCTGATAGGGTGTATTGTTAGTAATGGGGAAATTCGACCCCATTACATTTACTTTACTTTCCCCCCAACCAGAGATATTGTACCTTACGACCTCAAATACATTGCAGGAAGTCAGTGGATGCAGGTGGCTCAGGGCTGTTCCTTATGGCAGTCTATGGGGGAGGCTTATGTCCAGCAGTGGACGGATAATGGCTGAAATGATGATGATATCGTCATAGTGGTAGAATACCGACGGACCTTTATATGTAATATTTGTCAGATCCGTCAGTATTGTAGGACTATGAGGATACGTGCGTGGGCGGGCGGCTTACGGTGGCGGCGGCGTGCGGGGCCGGCTCGAGCGTCTCGAGGGTGAGCGCGAGGGCGGGCGGCGGCTCGGCGGGCTCCTGCTTGACGCACACGGGCGTGGCGGCCGGGCCCGCCGGCGCCGGCGGCACCAGCTCCTCCAGTGCCGGCTGCCTCTACGCACAGCACGACGCACCTCATACACGCATGGGTAATGTGTTCCACAAAACAATTCTTACTAATACTATACTATGTTACTTATATATATATATATGCTATATACTTACTATACTATGTTACTTATATAAATGCGAAAATTGAAGATGTTTGTTAATTTTTTACGCAAAAACTACTGAACAGAGGATCTACCATGAACTGCTTTCCGAAATTTCGAAGCCGAATGTTTGAAAATATTAAAAATGTTAAAATATCATACATTTGCACTTTTATGGTAGGTTTTGTAACAAATGAAATGTTAAGCTGCATTTACTGAGCTGATTTCAGTATGAAAAAAAAACACAATATTGAGTCCGAAAATTCGGAATTTCATTTCAAGTTAGACCGGCAGATTTGAAAGAAATTGTATACAAAGACGGATCATATTCTAACTTATCTGAGACAGAATACATTTTCTGTCTAGGGAAAATAGATAAAGTTTTGTTTGAGAAATCAGTTCAGGGTACGATAAGGCTGATATACCTGAAGAAGGTAAAAGCCCTTAAAATAATAATAATAAAAAAAAAAAAATTTGATTATAGATGGAAAAAAATTTAACTTTATTAATAATATTATTAAACAAAATCACTATTCGTAACACCACTGTGTACTTATCGTAATACGACAATAATTGTTTAAAAATATCACTGGGAAATAAGTAATGTTGTAAGTACATACAAAAAGGGACTAAAGTTTACATAAAAATTCTGAATAATAACATCGGATAATTGGCTGTATGTTCTAATTACCTTTGCCTGCCTTCAAATCGATTTGGAAACAACGACAACAAATGTTACCTGTAAATGTTGTAAAATTTGTGACGGTACGTTTTCTTCGCTGTGACTGTCATGCTCCGATTTTATGTGATGTCCTAAGGAGGGGAGCTAGAAATAAAATATTAAATATCTATAAGTCAATGATTACAGACAGGAAATGATATCTAGTGAATACCAACATAAGAATAGTAAACAAATATGTGCTAAATTGGCCAGTTTCACTTGTTCCTACCAATGTTTCGCCACTGGATGGTAAGTGTGGAATTCTATTCCATCTATCTCCACTGGTAGATGTGAATGGAAATTGATATCCACTTATCCTTACCGAGCGGTTTGGGGGGTAAGTGACTGTTAGTAATGGGGTCTAACTACCCCATTGCTAGCAATACACCCTATCAGGTCGACCTCCACGCGGATCCCCCTGGAAACCATTGTGGTTAATTCTAGTGGAATTCGTCATGAGGAACTGACTGATCTGCTTTCATCCTCACCTATCATCACATATATAATACACCTGTACGAAGCCGGGGCGGGTCGCTAGTGAGCTACAAAATGTAAAAAAATTGTAATCCCAGAGTTTAGTGCGTTTACTCTTACGCTTTATTATACTAATACTAGTATTTACCCGCGACTCCACTCAGGTAAACAGGATATGTTTTTTATTATACAACTTAGAATGGCAAACAAGCTGATGGCCCACCTGATGGAAAGTGGTAACCGTCGCCTATAGACATGAGCAGTACCATGGACATAACAGAGTATACTGTTTCGCCCATGATACCTCCCATGCGTTGCTATTCCTGAGGACTCAGGTAAACTAACTCTGTACCCAGTAAATTCACGCCATATCCTACCCGTCAAACCGAAACACAGCCATGCAAACACAACTGCTTCACGGTTGAAACACGAATGGGACAGAGGTACCCAAGCAATCGACTTTTGTACAAAGTCTCCCTCTGGTGGAGTTGGGTCACTGCGACACACACGGCGGAAACATATTTTTGTATTGTATCTTTCGTTTTATATTTAAAAAAAAAATAATTAATTTAATTGTATGAATTCAAATGTTAATTTACGTGTGTCATAAATGGCTCAAAGTGATTATCTATCTATATCAAATTTTATAAAGATTGATTAAGTCGTTAAGGCGCTATAAGGTAACAAACAAACAAACTGACTTTCACATTTATGGCATTAGTAAGGAGGACACGATGACATAATTGGCTATAGCTCATATATACGCCTATATGTATACTACATAACTACACAACCAACTTTCAAAGGCACATGTATGGCTCAAAACACACATCATAAATTCCCTTTCTAAATTATATCTTTTTTTTTATACAACTTAGAATGGCAAACAAGCTGACTGCCCACCTGATGGAAAGTGGTAACCGTCGCCTATAGATATGAGCAGTACCATGGACATAACTGAGGAAGCGATTGTTTTTTTTTATGGACGATAACGGAATTATAACCCCGTCTACGCTAACGGTAAACGCTGACAGGGCACCAGTAAGGGATGATAGGTGAGAATGAAAAGGCAAGGCAGTTAGCCCATAGTGATAAATATACCTGGAATTCAATGGTTTCTTATGTATCTGTTTGGAATTAGCCAAGATGGTTTCCAGAAAGGACTATGTGAAAGTTGACTTGACAGGGTATATTGCTAGTTATCTATCCCTGCTAACAATCCCTTTCTGAGGGGGAAGGGATTATTAGTAATGCGTAAATATCCAAATATGTTTTTTTTTTTTTTACAACACAGGGGGCAAACGAGCATGCGGCTCACCTGATGGTAAGGGACTACCGCCGCCCATGATCACCCACAACACCAGCGGCATTGCAGGTGTGCTGCCGGCCTTTTAAAAAGGAATATACTCTTTTCTAGGTTAGGAACTTTAAGTACTTAGGAAGTATAATCACAGAAGACGCTAGGTGCACATTGGATATTAAAACTAGAATAACGGTCGCAAAACCGGCCTATGACAAGAAAAAACATATATTTACAAACATCAAAAATATCCAAAATAATCCGTAAGAAATTTATAAAAACTTATATTTGGAGCATAGCATTATATGGGTGTGAAACATGGACAATGACGCAGAAGGAAAGAAAGATGCTTGAGGCATTCGAAATGTGGACATGGAGGAGAATGAAAAGGATAAGCTGGACAGAAAAACTAACGAACGAGGAAGTCCTGAAAAAAGTAAACGAGAAGAGAACATTGATTAAAATAATAGAGAATAGAAGAGGCAAAATGCTGGGCCACCTTATAAGGTGGCCCAGCATTTTGCCTCTCGTCAAACGAGTCGTATACGACTTGACGATTTTTTTAAGAGCATTGTAGAAGGAAAGATAGAGGGCAAAAGAGGAAGAGGAAGACCGAGGAATAACTACATGGGACAGATAAAAGAAACACTAGGTGTCATGTCGTATAGGGAGATCAAGGATATGGCCTGGGATAGAGCTGGCTGAAAGAAGATGCATGAATTAGTTGCACCGACAAGAGGAAACTCTTAAATAAAAAAAACTACTAATTAACTAATAATTACTAGTAACTACTAAACCCATTGCTAGCAATATACCCTGTCAGGACGACCTCCTCGCGCTCACCGCTGGAAACCATCTTAGTTAATTCCAAAGAAATTCATCACTATGGCTAACTGATTTATCTTTTTATCCTCACCTATCATCTCCCACTGGTGCCTCGCCAGCGTATACCGTTAGCGCAGGCGGGGTTACCATTCCATCATTGCCCATTAAAAAAAACCGGTCAGCTGTGAATCACTCGCCGAAGTTTTCGCATATAAATATATGTATATAATATGACGTAAAATGGCCTGTATTACGTTTCTCATACAAATTAGATACTTAATCATTATTATTATTGATACTACAATTCGCAATTTCTTATTTTGGCCTAAAATTGTGGTTAAAAACTAGACCGCATAACTAAGTTTGGACTAGTAGGTCAATTTTGAAATTTTGTATGAAAATTACCGTTTTATAATCCCTAGCAAAAGAAAATAAAATATTTTTTCAACCATTTCCCAATACGTAAAACTATTCAAAATTTGGACAGCATTATTTATTAATAAAACGCTGCGTCAGACGGATAGACAGACGGACAAAGTCGCACCATAAGAGTTTCTTTATATCTTTTTAGTACGGAACCCTAATTGCTTCAATCGAGAAACGTAACTTGGATCTCAATTGCAAAAAATGACGTCATCGAGACTAAATAATATAGCACACAGACTCATGATAGCACCGCACCGTCCGGCAGGATTCGTACCCGCGCCGCGTCTCACCCGAGCTCACCTTATATCACGGAAAACATGAGTACCTATTAGCTGGCAAGTTGAAAATATCCTATCTAGTATTTCAGATATTAATTTACAAAGTACAAAGTATTTAAACAAAGTATTCATTTCAATATTAGTTTTCAAAATTTATTTTCATGTATTTTTTACAAAAAAAAAAAAAGAAATACTCAATCGAAATATAAATCGAAGTGTAATTTATATTATTTTCATAAAGGGAGATTGTATTTAATTAATAATATTATTTAAGTGTAAAGTTTGTTGTGTGTATGTGTGAATAAAATAAATAAAGAAAAATATACATAAATTCGAGTGATTTATTAACTAACAAATAAATAAGTATTAAATTTTCGGAAATTAAGTTCAAATTCAAACCATAACTTTATAAAGTAGGTAAATCGGCTAATGATAGGAAGTAACATTAGCTGTTCAAAACGAGGTCTTGATTAAAAATGAATAATTATCTACCCACCTGATTAGTGAAATAGTTGTTGGCGAAGTTCGGATTGCTATCGTCCTCATCCGAAAGTGGTTCGCATTTCACTTGCGCCAATCCGTTGCCAGGCATCTCCTGGAAACTTCTACTAACTTAGTTATATACAATAACTTCACTACCAACGGTTACATTTTGAATAAGTCCACAACATTTTGTGAATAACAAAAATGTATATTTATATACTTAAAATGCGAAGCTCTCTACGAAGCGAAACGAAAACGTAATGCTCCATGTTTCCGTTGAATGTTGCGAAATCGAACAATCGTACTTATAAGTAGGTTTACATAGGCAATTAGACAAAAGGAAGCGGGCTTTATTGAATTTTTTCTCGAATGGTGCACAAACGAGGAGTGCAAAACTGATGCCCTCTCTTTCCCTCAGCCGTTCGCTGGGCAGTGGGCACACCAGACCGTCCCCGGGGCCTTTTAGTTCTTTTTATTTTCGCGCACACCCACCACAACACTACAACTCGTCTGTAAAGTTCGCATCGAAAGTTCGCACGGCTCTAAACTTCCCGCGTGTCTATTCAAAACTTTATCGCTAGCGGACGTGTGCGTCTAGTATAAACGACTTTAAGAAAAGGTCAGTAGAGTGTATAACGGTGCGCTATCACCTGCGGATATCGGTGAATGTAAAGTTGCGCGGATAACCGAGCGCGGTGTCCATGCAGCGGGCGCAGGTCCGCGTGACCCGACGTGCATCGCCACTTACGAACACATTCACTTTCAACGTCTTCCCGAACACGGCGAAGGACGGTGTAAAACGGGAGCCGATAAACGCGAGGGAAACGAAATCGACGAAGACGAGGGCGCGAAATTCACTCACTCACCTAGTCGGTCAGCGGAGGCCGCCGCAAGCACTCGCGCCCGCCACACATGCACCGCGGACCCGGCACGACGCCCGCCACTGCACCGTGACCTTCGGGAAACGATGAGATGTCGCAAATGAAAGTGAATTCGGCACACACCCGGCCGAGTCTGCGTCGCTGCGTGGCGCATGTTTAGGAGGTGCAGGGCGGGCGCGTGCTGATTTTTTTCCGCGCCGAAGAAATAAAAACAAACGCCTTTTTGCCGGGAACCGGCCGCGCGCCGCTCGCTCGTACCGCCCGCTGCCAGGCTGCAGTTTCATCACGACTCGAAACAAATTCGAAGCGTGAACTACAATTACGGACATAGAACCATCTAACTTTAAGAAGTTCGAATGTTTAGGAAAGGTATGCTTAAAAAACTGAACCGTAAGCACTATAGGGAGGGTAGATGCAATATAGCGCGTGTAGATATGCAGAGCGTGGAGGCAGAGGGCCAGGGGGTGGCCTCCCCCGGCGCCCGACCAGTCGGCGCCCCGCGCGGCGCCTTCTCTCTCCGCTCCGATTGATTTTTATTACAAGAATTTCGCTGGTGGTTTTTTTTTGTTTCCCGCACACCGAGAGGCTGGCGACGCACACAACGAGATTCGTATAATTCGTTTGTACGGACTTACTAATGCTATTGATTTTTATAACGAAGCGACGTTCTTGTTGGAGAACAGGCATCCGCTTTGTTGTTTTTTATCACAAGAGTAATTGTTACTTGTCTTTCTTTTAATTTCGAAATCACACCCAATGGATCAAATCAAATTAGCGGATTAATTAACTATTTTAAATTTAATCCTCAAACCAAGCAGTTGCATCACGTTGTATAATTATATATCAATCTTTACGCCAGTTCCCTAACTAGATAGACAGAAAGAATTGGCTACCAAAGTTTCTGATTCTTCCACTTTCGCTACTACACAAAGTACCTAATCGTGATAGGTCAGTCTACGTCGGCACCGGTACCTGCATTCTCCCACTTATCCACAATACCTATATCTATTTCTTCTTATTTTATCCGACCTTCTTTCCACATGCTCGAACTAATGTACCATTTTATTTTTTTCAAAACTTCTTAAATTGTTTGAAACTCTTTAGGATTAAGTATACTTTGCATCCCTATAAGTTTAGGCCATCGACCAAACTACTCAGGTGAAGTCATACATATCTTCCTCTGCCACAAAATTGGTAACTTCTAGCACATGGAATCACATGTATTTCGAAACCGATGAACATACCAATAATTATATTTATATTCCTCACCAGAATTTGGGTCTGTCATTAAAGTTTTTTTATCGAACATGTATCAAACGGAATTCTAGCGGAATATGTAATTGGATCGCTAGCTTTAAATATAAAAGGTCCACTCTCTAGTTACTGCAAGAATATGGAAATTAACACCAGTGTTCTGCAATGCTCTGACATACAAAACTATGTCAGTAAATTGTTCATATATTCCAGCTCGAGCTAATATCGCTCGTTAGTTTTGGAATAAAGCCTCGACCAGAACGTATCTGAAATCGAAAATAAAGGTACATTGGCGACAGATTTGAAAACTATCATATATTAACCATTAAAAACGTTTAGTGTTTTTTAACATTTCCAAAACAGAAGCCATACCAAAGACATTCGGTCATTTGTTTCGACATTACCAGTACCTATAAGCGAATTCCGCAGTTACCTTAAAGGCGAAGTCAATACTCAAAAGAGACCAAAGCAACGTTATCATTCTGTCATACCAAAGACTGTAAACATTTATATTATATAAATAAGAATAAGAAATAGGTCGAAGTACAAAAAAAGAGCGAAACAATATTTCTCCCCTAACCATAAAGAGGTGATTATATAAGTTGCAATAATAAAATTCTCTCGGGGGAAAGGGATTGTCAGTAATAGAGACTGAGAATCCCATTGCTAGCAATATACCCAACCAGGTCCACCTCCTCGCGGTTCTCCCTGGAAACTATCATGGTTAATTCCTGATGAATTCATCGTGATGGGCTAACTGGCCCGTTTTCATTCTCATCTATCACCCTTCACTGGTGCTCCGCCAGCGTATCCCGTTAGCGCAGGCGGGGTTACAATACCATTTTCACCCAGCAAAAAAAAAAAACTCTCATTGGTTTACGTCACAATTAGCCTATCGTGAAGAATTACACGAGAAGTAAACACAATAGTTTCCACGGGGAACCACGTGGAGGTCGACCTGATAAATAACATTGCTAGCAATGGGGCTGTTAGACCCCATCGCTAACAATCCCTTTCCCCCGATCCCATTAATAACAAAAAAGAGACTGGTCTGTTCAAGAATACTATTACTGATTGTAATTTTGTAGCTTTTTATTTTCTATTTTTTTTTTTTGTAAATACATAGATTGTGATAGTCATTTTATCTATTCATATTTTTTTCATCTGTTGTAAACTTAACTTTTATTTTAAAAAAAGTAACAGCTATGTTTCTTACCCGTTCTTCTGGGCTAAAATTGCATTCCGAATTAGGCGGTAGATTCATAAAAGATGACTATTTTTTTTAATGGATAATGGAATGGTAACCCCACCCGCGCTATCGGTATAAACCGGCGAGGCACCAGTGAAGAATGATAGGTGAGGATGAAGCAGGTCAGTAAGCCCCTCGTGACGAATTCAACAAGAATTGTTCACGATGGTTTCCAGGGGGAACCACGTGGAGGTCAACCTAATAGGGCATATTGCTAGCAATGGAGCTGGCAAACTCCATTGCTAACAATCCCTTTACCCCCAACTATTCATAAATTATAATTCACATATTATAATTTAATTTAATAATAAGTAATTTTGTAAAGTAATAAAAAATAAACTAAAAAAATTCCTTTCTCCCGCACTTGCTCTGTAGGAGGAACCACGTACCAACTGGAACCTTTAGACTTGGATGAGCTATGAGAATTGTCATCAATAACATATTTACCAAAGGGAGACTTTGTACAAAAGTCTATTGCTTGGGTACCTCTGTCCCATTCGTGTTTCAACCGTGAAGCAGTTGTGTTTGCATGGCTGTGTTTCGATTTGAAGGGTGAGATATGGCGTGAATTTACTGGATACAGAGGAATAACACCTGAGTCCTCAGGAATGGCAACGCATTGGAGGTATCATGGGCGAAATTGGCACTGTTCATGTCTATAGGCGACGGTTACCATTTTTCATCAGGTGGGCCGTCAAAAAAACGATAACTCCAAACAGTTGGTCTGTGTGCCATTTGTGTGTTTTTGAGAAATTATTTTAACGCCCACGACCGCTTCCTACGAACACACAGCTCACTAATGTCTAAAACTTAGGTTACATAGATAGAGTGTCTCCATACAAATGCTTCGAGAAAAACGGGTCAATTTTTTTAAACAATTTTGCGTGATAAATAGTTACAAGTGTTTATAACTTCTACATTTATTTTGTTTTATAATTTTTGTATCTTTTTAATGCGTACATACTAATTTTGTGTATTAAATAGTTAAATATAGATACGTTAAGATACATTACGTGCGTAAGTATATAGAACACTGATAAAAAAACGTCAAGCTCATTTACAAAAAGTCAGCTAATTTGACAATTAGCTGACAAGAAGTTGACCCGTCTTTGAGACTCGATGCTATATCTAAGATCTAAAATTTCTATAACTATAAAATAACTTCGCCTTAGATACACACACAGTAAAAAAAATCGAGTTTCATATCTACTGAATCAATCACAATACGACCGGCGCGGTGTCTGAGTGAATTGTTCTAAAATTATGTATATTTTTCTTATACGAATACTTTCACTGTATTTTGAGGTTATAACACACTCGCCACACATCTGCTATCCTTACTAATATTATAAATGTGAAAGTGAATTTGTTTGTTTGTCTAATCGCCTTAATGACTTAACCAATCACTATGAAATTTGGTTAACACATACTTTTATGAGACCGAGAAGAATATAGGCTACTTTTTAACTCGGTCAATAAACATATGCGTGACATGGACGCAGACGAAGTCGCGAGTAAAAACTAGCTTTTTTTTATACAACTTAGAATGGCAAACAAGCTGACGGCCCACCTGATGGAAAGTGGTAACCGTCGCCTATATACATGAGCAGTACCATGGACATAACAATTAAAGGGGGAAAAGCGATTGCTAGTAATGAGGAATAAGGTTTTAAAAATTAATAAACATTTGTTTGCATTTTGTTAAAGATTATGATCATTTAAAGTCAAAATCGTGATCCTTAATTCTTTTCAAAAATTCGATCGAATAAAACAAAAAAACGTCTCGATGGATTAAATCGAAACTTTGTGGAGTTTTTCTGGGCATATTGAACTGTAAAAGGCAACCTCAACATTACTGATTTTCTCGATATTTCCATCTTAGCGCCTGATTATCCCAAAAGCTACCAAAAGCCCTTCTTGATTTTTCAAATTAATGTAAATAATTAAAAAAAAATTCAATAACCATAGCTGATATTTGTTTGTCGGAAATTTATTCAAGATTTCAAAACTCGCCTTAATTTCCTTGTGTCATCAGCAATTGCTGAGATATTAATAGTTAAAAACAAAAAGATCTTTTTCTATTCAAAGTTCGATATCTCAGCAAGAAGTGGTCGTATCGAACTTTGCAAAAAAGCAAATTAAAGCTTAATAAACAAGCTTTCCGATACATATAGTGATTAAGTTGGAAACATTTTTTTGGTCTACGAACCAAAAAAGAACCGAAAAAAATTTGAAAAAAATTTTGTATCTTTACTTAAATATGTATTTATTTGTATGTATTTAAATATGTACTTTGAGCTTTAAAATCCTTTTTTTTAAATTCCAATACGACCATTTTTAAGGAAAATACAGCTACTTGAAAAACCTCAAAAAATTTAGCATTTTTATTGATCCCTTAATTTTTTCCTCTAGTGTATGATTTAACAAAAAATTTCTCTTCAATTTGAAAACATCAAATATGTCAATACAAAAGGAAAGCTTTCCGATTGAAAAAGACTTTTATGCAATATGAAACGGCAAGACAGCTCACGGCCCGACTGATGGATAAAAAGATATCCAAGATATCCGTAGCCTACAGATATGAAAGCAACTTGGATATTACAGAATAAACTGTGATACCCACGGTATGCAGGCGTTGTAATCCCTAACGACTATAATGTTATATCTCCGTGTCTTGTAATTCACTGCCCTGTCCAATCCTTCAAACCAAAACAGCCACGAAAGTACAAGTGAGGTATGTATGGAAGTAGTGAGGGAATGGAATTGTTAATAATAGTTTCAGGTCGATTTCCACGCGGTTCTCCCTGAAAACTATCGTAGTTAATTCTTCTGAAATTGGCCACAATGGGCTAACTGATCTGCTTTTATCCTCACCTATCATCTCTAACTGGTGCCCCTCCAGCGTATACCGTTAGCGTAGGCAGGGTTACCGTTCCGTTTTCATCCGTTAAAAAAAATACAACTACTTCACGGCAGAAACACAAGTGAAATAGAACAATGACTCATGTACAAAGTCTCCATCACCTTCCAACCCTTATCCCAAATATTTATTTGGAGTCGACGTAATTTTTTTTTATTGTACCACATGTGATCGCACCATCCTTAAACGAAACCAGAGACAACATAGTCGTATAATACCGTCAATCGAAACAAGAATGGTTTACTCTCAACGATTAGCTGCACTATCTCGGCGCACTAAATGCCTTGTCACCTTTTTTTTTTAAGAAATCGAGGTTATAATACGTAGCAAACACGTCACGGGAAAGACCATTTCGCACTGTTACGTACCGTAAATTTACTTCAGGTAAATTTGTATGCTAGTGCGCGCTCTTTTTTCTCTTCCATCCTTTTCTATTCGCAGTGATTTCCGCATTAACTCCTATTATAGCCATATCATCTGCCACACAGTCCATCCATGTCTTTTAAGTCTTCATCCGCCCTTATAGCCATCTACATACATATTTATTTATGTACAATGGCCCCCTGCTGATGAAAATCACTCAACAAGTTTGGTTAACAATTTCGTAAAAAAAAAAAACGTACGTTTTATTCGGTACTCATATATTCTTCAGATTGTCGGTTAATAAAATATCAATTTCAGATTATTTATTTAATTATTTACTCTTTATTGCATCACTTAAAGAATAATACAAAGATAAATATATATTACACTTAAGTACAAAAGACGGTCTTATCGCTAAAGCAATTTGTTCCAGACAACGTTTGGGTAGAAGAGAAAGAAAAAAGGTTATGCAAATTTAAAAAGCTCTTAAAATAGTGTAGTAATAAGTAACTACCTAATTTCCGTTCTATGCTGTGCAACTCTTTTCCGTTATTTCTTACAATCACTTCCTTTACCTTCTTACTTAATCAAAACTATATTAATCAATACAACAACTACATAATAACAGGGGGGAAAGGACTCATTAAAAAAAAATACATAATAACAATTCCTATTCACATATGTGTCAATCGTTCAATAAAACAAGCGAAAAGTTTGATATATTTCATCAAAGTACCAATAATTTTAAAAAACAATTTTATATTATATATTTAAAAGCTAATTTGTTAGTTTATTACTTTTTTTTTTTTTATAACACACGGGCTACGAACATGTGGCTCATTTCATAGTAAATAGACTACTGCCATCTATGAGTAACCGAAATAGAGAAATTGCTGATATGCTGTCGGCCTTTATAGTGTCAATCACTATGAAACTTATGATACACATACTATTTGGGATGGACAAGGATATTATAGGTTACTTTTTATCCCGATGAGTAAACATATCCCGGTCACGCGAACGATGTCACGCATAAAAGTTAGTTAAATTATAATTTTGAAATAGTATAAATTATGATCTGTATATCTGTAAAAGCATTATAACTGTCATTCTTAACCTATTAACTGTCCACTGGTGCACATAAACCTTCCCGTAAAGGGAGTTTTGCCAGTAGTTGGCACGATTGGCAGGCGGGTTGGCAAACGCAGTTAGGCCTTGGAGATGTTTTAAAAGAAACGCTGCTGCCCATCACTCGACATCAAATTCCCTTAATCGTCTTTTACGACACCCACGTGAAAGAAAGGGGTGGCTACTTCTAAACCGGGATCACACGACACATTTAATTTAAGGCTTTTATATATAAAAGCGTTAAATTAAATGTTTTGCATTACTTACAAGCATTTCATGAAAACATCTTTGTTATAAGCGGGGTCCAATGTACTCGCTGTTGTAAATTTCTTGTATTTAATAAATAAATAAATAAATTATTGAAACGATAGCTAGGAGCTAGCAACCCCATGAAAAATTAGCAAGAATAAATTAGGTTATTTCCCATAACACCATAACCTTGTTAAATTATTTCATAATTTATTATTAAAATTGAAAACGTATTTTGTATAAAAAAAATATACATACTACATCTGCATTATAAAGTAAGTATAGAAGTCTCTAAAGAAGTTACCTACTCGTATAAAGACACATTCAAAGTGCGAATTACGGAAGTGAGACATTAACGAATTGTACGAGGATTATGAATATAAAAAAGCACGACTTCATTGCATTTCCAAAAATATTTACTATTTCATTTTTAGATTATTCTTGATTATTTTAAAAGTTCAGCCAAATTCTGAAATAGTGAAAGGCAAACTTAATATTGACACGAATGTCAAAACCGAAACTTAACTTTCACTAGATTTGAAACCGAGTAGGTAAGTCGATTTGTCTACTTTACATTGAAGTAAAATTTTCAGTTTCTCATAGAAAGAAAGAAATAGACACTATTCTTAATTTGATATAAATTCTTTATTAAATTACTTTGATAAGTATATATTATTCTTTAGTTTTTAAAAAATTGTTGCATTCAACAAATTATGAATAGAACAATTATACTATGGTATGATTGTTCTATTCGTAATTTGTTCTTGATATATACCTACTACAAATATTATAAATAATAATTTAAGTACTGTAAAATTTAAAAATGGGTATTTCAAAGAGGGAAAAATAAGCATTTTCTCAGTTTGCTTCCATTGTTGATTTATTTCATGTTAAATAAAGCGCGCGATCTTACGCAGCGAGCTAAGGCTAAACAGGTCTAAATATGTCTAGTAACTCACTACCATGACAACAGATGGCACTGAAAATAGTCACGTTTGTTTCATAGAATCGACTATTTTAATGATATTACTTCGTTAACAAAGTTAATATTGAATATATAAACTCGAGCATATAGTATATATATCAACAAATACAATATTAGCCTACCTATTTGCATAAACAATAACCGTAAATAGTTTTTTTAAGCTCTATAATATTTATTAATGGCAACATTAATAGAGCTTATTTTGGGTCACTCGCGTCGCTTCCAACTTGTACTTCGTTTGGATTTTTGTGTAGAGGTGCCTTTCTCTAAACTTGCAGCATAGAACGAGCAAAGTAGTTTAGTGTTTTCAATCAAGAAAGCTGGCGGGTGTGCAAATGTGTTAAATTAATGTGGCCCTATTACATTATTTCCAATCTGCGTATAATAGTGTTATAATTTGTTTGAATAGTTGATGAAATAGTCAAGGTAAGTGTTTGGGATGTGTGTAGCATTGTGAACGTGATAGGAACTAAGCACTTATTGCTACGAGTTTTCATCTTGAAAATTTCCACTCGTGAACTTTCGAAGTAAAGTTTCTAACAAGTTCATTGTTGACTTTAAACTTTTCCGTACTTCAGCGCATCGAAAACGCCCGATGAACTTGAATGAGCCACAAGTGTCATGAAAAGTTTGTTCAGAAAATAGTAAAACTTAGAATTTTCGTCGCCATTTTATTTTTTGTCGCGCTGGAAAAGCGGCCATTTTCTTTGTGCCGCGTCGCTTACGACGACTCGTATGTGGTCTCTGAAGTTAAATTAGTTAAGTTGGGCCGTGATCTCATCATATGAAGTGATTCGGTGAGATAATTTGCTCGCTCCGGTGACAATCGTGCTGTGTGTTATTTGTGTGACTGTTGTAAAGTTGTCATTATGGCCTAGTTACTGCGTGATGTTGAAGCCTTGTTCGACTTAGTGTTAATCTCGTGCTTTGGTGCCGTAGGGCCGAGGGCGCGGCGAGTGGCAAGTCGGCATCATGGATGATGATCAACAGTTCTGCCTGAGGTGGAACAACCACCAGTCGACACTCGTGTCGGTGTTCGACACACTACTCGAGAAGGGTATACATGTAGACTGCACCCTGGCAGCCGAGGGACAGACACTCAAGGCCCACAAAGTGGTCCTGTCCGCGTGCAGTCCTTACTTTGAGGTTGGTACTTTGTGTGTACGCGCACAGTTCGAAATATGTAGGTCAATTGCTATCGTGTTTAAGTTAGTTGCAAGGCAGCACAGTTTTGCTCTAATAAACATTCCATTTGTTTCATTTTAGCTTTCATGCGTTAGCAATTAGTATAAACTGATGCATAGATGAGTTGGCAACTGAAAGTTGTCTGTGCTGCTTTCATATAATACTTATTTACACATTATAAATAACTTAAATTACTGTTAATATTTTAATAATAACTCATTATTTTTCATTTAGAACAATGTTATAGGTTATTGATGACCTATAATTAGATAAAATAAATTGTTTCTTAAATAGGTATTCAACTGTATATTTATGGAGTAGTAATATAATGTATAATAATGTTCCATAGCTAAAATAGTTTTTACATATTACAACACATTTTATTTCACTATAATTATTATAATATTATAAATTTGCCACACATTCCAATATACAAAAATAAAAATACTAATGATCAAAACATTCTTGTTTCTATAGCCTTGTTATTATGTAAACATTGACTAATAAAGAAATGTATACATTGTACACACCATAATAATGTATAAACAAGTAATAAAAGTGAACAAAATGACTTGAAAGGAGACAATGTTATTGTTTCAGAGTGTATTATCACAGCAGTATGATAAACATCCAATAATCATATTAAAAGACGTAAAATATGCAGAACTAAGAGCTATGATGGACTATATGTATAGAGGAGAAGTGAACATATCCCAAGACCAGTTGGCAGCGTTGCTTAAGGCCGCCGAGTCACTGCAGATCAAGGGACTGTCAGACAATAAGCCGTCGAGGCCACCGTCGCGTCCGGCCCAGGCCGTGGTTGCACACCCGCCTCGCGTTCCATCACCACCTCCACAAGTAAGATATTACTGTATCCTACTGATGTTAATATATATTTTTTACTCAGTCATGCTTAAAAAACTAAACAGATTTAAATAAAATTATACTATATTGTAAATATCCAAAACATTTCAACATTCATACTCTCATGCAACAGTAACTTTATTGAAATATTGTCCAGATTTAAGAGAAAAATATTCAATTCAATTTATTCATAACAATATTAAATCGTGTTGAATATCTTAGTTATAAGAAGAAATCAAAAGGATTTTACAGTAAACAGAAAAAAAATAAAGCAAATTTTAACTTCACCTTTATTTATACATTATCTTTTTACAGAATTTGTAAAGAAATTTTACCATATTTAAAAACATTATATATCATTGACATTTGTTTTCAAAGTTAATAAGTAATGCATAATTTAGCTGTGAGAGCTAGAGAGTGCATCACTATTTTAACTTTTTAAGTCTTGTGATATTTTATACATCATATCATCTTTTTCATATCTATAACTGAAACAGAGTAGTAAATCCTATTTTATAATCCAGAGAGGATGATACATGATGTTTTTGTCTTTAAAGAGTTTTCATACTGAATTATGTACAATATATTTGTAAATTTACAAAAATTATTAAAAAAAATTATAAATAATATCCTAGAATACTAATATAAAATTATGAATGCTTTCTATTGCTCTGAAATACTAAACATAGTATATGTAGTACATAATTTTTATGACATTTACATAATTTGCCAGTCATTTTATATTTTGCTTTTAAAATTTTCAACATGTTTTACTATGAAATCTCAAAATTTTATTAATTATTTATTAGGAATCATATTGTATAGTTTATTGATTTAGTTCCCTAAAAGGCCCTTTTAAATTAAGTATCACTGACAAATATCTGAAATTATTTAATATACATCAATTCTGCAATATTAAACCCTCTTAACTAATAATTTACTAAGAGTTTTTTTATGCTACTTAGAATGGCAAACAAGCTGACGGCCCACCTGATGGAAAGTGGTAACCGTTACCTATAGACATGAGCAGTACCATGGACATAACAGAGTATACTGTTTCGCCCTTGATACCCCCCATGCGTTACCATTCTTAAGGACTCAGGTGTTATTCCTCTGTACCCTGTAAAAAAAATTACTAAGATGAATTCAGATAAACTTGATATCTTATACAAAATTCTGTTTTTTCTTGAGGTTGATTTGAAGGATATGCTATTTGGCATTAAATCTGCCTTTTGTGCTATGAACTGTCTAGTAGTTATTTACAAATATAAAAAAAATACACAATTCATAGGCAAGCAAAAAGTTAATATCATGGTACTATCACTAACTTTAACTATGTACCTAATACTTTAATAAACAAAGCTTAAAACATAATTAAGATTGCAACTTGACACACTAAATTGATGCCAATAAATTTGACCTTGAATACGTCACATTTCTCTATGGCGACGTCACCTCCGTGTGTAAGCGGATTGGAGGATAGTTAACTGTAGTTTGGCATCCTATTCTACCAGCTGTTCTCTGATTCGGGTGTAAAAGAGATGAGAGCCCCACTTGGCATGAATTTATATTGTAATTTATTGCTTGTAAACTATATAACTTCAGTAATAATAAATCCTCTATATTGTCATGTCGATCTAAGTTTTTCCCGCGCCTTCGTCCACGTGGTCGGGATATGCTGATTAACTGGAATTAAAAACAGTCTTCCATCCCACCATATATAATTCACGATTATTAATTGTGTAGTTAAAGCACCCACATACTCCCTCTTTCTTTCACATTTATACTATGTACTAGTTATTTCCCACGGCTTTACCCGCGTCCGATTAGTGTATTACCTATCCTATATTTTAACTTCGTATAAAGATACAATGTAACCTACCCATGTACCAAATTCTATTCAAAGCCATTCAGTCGCGTTTATAATAGTACGATCATGCCTACAATATATATAAATATACTAGTATATATATATATATATATATATCTGAATTATAGTTGTGGTATAATATTGATGGCTTAACTAACTAGGTTGCCTTAAAGAGAAGGGAGGTGTTAGTAATGTGAACTATTAAGTCTATTGCTAGTAATATACCCTGTCAAATTGTCCACGTGGTCCCCCGACCACGTGGTAAAAACTACCATGCCGACTTCCAGGTGTATTCATCACGATGAGCTAACTGACCTACTTTTTCATTATCGCCTATCACCCCTCACTGTTGCCCCGCCAAGCATATACCATTAGCGCTTGGTTACCATTTTATTACCAGCCATTGAAAACAAAAAACTAGATTGCTTTCTGCTTAAGAAGATTTATATCCCGAAACATATAATTCCTTTGTCTGTTAATATTCAAACATAAACAATTTTATTTCTCAATGATAACATTCAAATTACAGTCATATTTTTATAAAACTGTCCTTGATATTTTGAAATATGATAGTAATGCAAAGTGAAAGTGCTTGGATATAGGTACTGGGAGAAGACCTAAACTAAAACCACTTTCAAACTTTTGTATAAGAACTTTATGAGAGATTATGTATAAGATGAGTAGAAACTCTTTGGCACTCAGTTCTCTCTGCCTTAAGACCATAAAGCTTACTTACTTAAAGATAGACAAAATATAATGACTAAAGTTTATTGATTTATGTACAAATCATTAATATTTTTTATTTATAATCATTTAGAAATACTAAAAAAAATTAAAGTTGTAATGGCTGACAATATGCGCATGTTCTGCTACACTAGTTGTCTCTTTAAATTGTCATTTGATAAAATTCCTAGTACTGTAGTTTTTCATTGTTATATTCAGAGTACAGTGTTACACAATTTATTTTAAAGATTGATAAACATAGATAAAAAGCTTTGCACTACTACAGTGACTTACAAGGAACTGATAGCAAATCTAAAATTTAAAATGAATAGAATAGAATAAGAATAGAAATCATTTATTCAAATAAACTTACATTGAAGCACTTTTGAAAAGTCATTACATTTTTTTTTAATTTACCGCTCGTTCGGAAAGCTGTCTCATCACAAGAAGAACGAGCAAGAAACTTGCGTGATGCTCTTTTAAATAATTTTATTATTATTTTACATTTTTAAGTTTAATTGTGTGAATACAAACCACCAATTAGCACTAATTCAATTAAATACTCAAAAAGAAAAAAAAAATTGAATACATAACCAACTGGTTAAACAATTAATAAGAGGAAATCAGTCATAGTGATTAGAGCAGACCAGTCCCTACAAGCAGCACCCGTTCACGAGTATGACGGATGAGCCAGCCATCACTGCGCTCGACCATATTTTAGGGAGCCCAATGACCCGGCCCACCACGCCGCCACAAGTCTGGACATTTTAGTGAGCATGACTACTCAAAACACTAGACCACGTCAAAGCTACTCACAATTGCCATCTGATAGTTATAGTATTCACATTTTACATAAGAATGCATGCGGCAATTAATAAAAAAAACCGCTACGCTTTCATATTTCTAAAATTAATCAATTAAATCAAGAAAGCAATGAGAAAATAAAATTATAACGTTGTATGCTAATAAACTAATTATTTACTTGATATGTTGTCATCTATGAATTCGTCTATCCTGTAATAGGCTTTCTTACATAAAAATTGTTTAATATAAGATTTGAATTGCCTCTCTGTCAGATTTAATGCAGATTCCGGCAGTTTATTATAAAATCTTATGCAATTACCATAGAATGAATTACTGATTTTGTGCAGACGGCATTTAGGTAAAATAAGCTTATTTATATTGCGTAAGTTTCTACTTGTACAGTCTTTGAGTTTTTTAAAACTCGCTAAGTTCTTCCGTGTATACATAATATTTTCATAAATGTATTGTGAAGTAACTGTGAGGATATTTGAGTCTTTAAAGCACTGACGTAATGACTCTCTCGAACCCATACCATAAATAGAACGTATGGCTCTCTTTTGTAAAACAAATATAGTATTTATATCGGCTGCTTTACCCCACAGCAGTATGCCATAAGACATTATGCTATGGAAATAACTAAAATATACAAGTTTAGCCGTCGCCACGTCTGTTAATTGCCTAATTCTTCTAATTGCATATGCAGCAGAACTGAGTCTACTGGCCAATTTTGAAATATGGGGCCCCCATTGTAATTTCGAGTCCACTGTTATACCTAAAAAAACTGTATCATTAACAAAATTTACTATTTCGTCTTGATATGATAACTGTACTTCAAAAACGTATATAAATTTTCCATGTTGTGAGTTTACAAATCTTAACACATTGTGTATAATGCAGAAATAATGTACGTAGATGCAATGGTATTTAAAATATTCCCTAGTAGTATTGATGGCTGTTACTAAATTGTACTTGGATAGTGGCCAAATATGCCTAACTTTACTTACACTAGTACTGTTCATTTACTTAATATATTTATCACATGTTTGTGATTGCTTTTGAATTTTGTTACCTCATATATCTTTTTTATACACCTTAGGATAGCATACAAGCTGATGACCCACCTGATGGAAAGTGGTAACCGTTGCCTATAGCCATGAGCAGAGTACCATGGACATAACAGAGTATACTGTTTCCCCCATGTGTTGCCATTCCTGAGAACTCGGATGTTATAACTCCGTCAGTTGTAAACCGATTAGAAAAATTATTTTTTTATTTGAAAAGATATATTTACTGTTTGGTCCCATAGAAGTTTTATCAAAATCGCTTTAATAATTTTGTTTTTAAATTACAATAATTGGTTTTGCTACAATTGTTTTTTTTTTTTTTTTGTATGAAACTAGTATACACTATAAGTGTTTACTTTATTTTACCTAAAACTACTTGGTACAGATGCCACTAATTAATTCGACCAATTATAGTCATAGTTAACTAGTTTTCAAGTACATAAAATTTTTACATAAGTGCATTCGTAATTCATATTTAAGTGTTCAAAATTAATAAGACAAAAATAATTCTAATTAACTGTACCTTTACTCACTTATATATATTATTGTTTATATAATAATCATGTATTTAGTAACTCATTACTTGAATAGTTCTTGGGCAGTCAAGCAGGGTTTTTTAGCAGTTAAAAAGAAGAAATACCTATAATTTATGAATTCAGATATTTTTACAAATTCACTTAGGTGTTTAAATTATTAGGTAAAATTAATATTTGTATGGATTTTATACGAATTGAGATTTTTTTAATGGATGATAATGGAATGGTAATACTCGGTATACACTGGCAGGGCACCAGTGAGAGATGATAGGTTAGGATGAAGCCTAATAGGGTACATTGCTAACAATGGGCTGTCAAACTCCATTGCTAACAATCCCTTTTCCCCCCAAATTGAGATTTAATAATGCCTGATAGCATTCTCTACTATAATTATCTTTAAATTATTATTTTTTTCCAACCATAAACTTGTTTAATTTAATGCATCATTAGGTTGCACAGTTGTTAATTACATGAATTGTTCTCTACTTGAAATATAAATTGCAATTCCGTTTCAAAACTACATATTATTAAAAAAGTTGTTTCATCTTTATAACACAAAAAAAAAGAAAAAAAAAAAACAAAGATTCCAGACTCATTGTAATATTAATTTGTCTCAATACATAACTAATTGTCAACATTTACTTGACAGGTCAGAGATGGCAGCATAGACAGCCGTGAAGGTTCAGTAAGTCCAACTCGCCGCCGGAAGAAAGCCCGTCGTATGTCAACAGAGACCACACCGATAGTACCACTGGCGCCCAACAACGACAGCGCTCAAGGGAACGGCGAGGAGACACAGTGTAAAGAGGAAGTCGCTAGAGACGGCGTCGAAGATCTCACTCTTGACGAGGAGGCAGAGGAACAGCCGACAGCTACCCACAACGACGTTGTACGCAGTTAGTGTCGACATTGATCGTTACTTTTTTAGCATGTAATGTAATGTAAATTGGACTCTTATTTTCCACGCTAAACCTCTCATTTGGGCCGTTGTGCGCATGACTCATAGCTGGTACAGCCAACCCAACTTCGCCCAGAAGCACAGGAGCTTCCTGGGATCTTCACAGGCCTCACGGAGCGACCTAACCGTTCCGAGGATTTCTAAACATTGATAGGCCATAGCTTCACATTCCAAGATTACGTGAGCAGCCGTTTCTTCGGCGTCGAAACAGCCTCAATATAGAAAGCTGTCTGTGGCTTCTATTGTGTATAAATGTTTGTTTAATAGGCAATAACCCGTTATTGTCCCTATCATTGTTTTAAGGATTTTCCTATCTAGATATAATAAACGTTGATAGGGGAATAATTGATTGTTAAAAATAGGGATTAGTAGCCCGATTGTTAGCAATACACCCTGTCAGGTCGACCTTCTCGCGGTGCCCCTTGGAAACTGTCATGTTCTATTACAAGTGAATTCATCACGATAGGCTAACTGACCTGCCTTTTCATTGCCACCTATCATCCCTCACTGGTTCTCCGCCAGCGTATACCGTTAGCGCAGGCATGGTTACCATTCTAATATCATCCATTTATAAAAAAGTTGATTCAACGTTGGCACGACCATTTGTTAGCATGATGAAATTACTGGGTATACGCTGAACACTTCCATGTCACAGAGGTTGCCAACACGCGAGCATTTAGCACATAGCATAGAGCACTTTGTCGCATTTCTACACATCTTTTGCTTACTTTGTGTGCATTGATTTCAGATAGGGACCAATTAGTATGTAGGAACACCTAGGTGGCGTATTAGTTCTCTGAGTGGTCATCCTGCGATGTCGACGTGCTCGAATTTTTTTATATTTAATAACGTTGTTATCCCGCAATTTGTGTTTTTAGTATATTGACATTGTTCCTCAGAATCTCTCTAGATGGCTTAATACTCGTATTGCTATTTGTTGTCAAAGCGATGTTTTATTATTGTGAAAAAATATACGCTGTTGTTAGAGGGTTAGCAAGCATACACATTATTACAGACTAAGGAATACAACTTGTTAAAACCCCATCCAAATTAGTGCAGTAGTTTTCATGTTTTTTTTTTATACAACTTAGAATGACAAACAAGCTGACGGCCCACCTGATGGAAAGTGGTAACCGTCGCCTATAGACATGAGCAGTACCATGGACATAACAGTGTATACTGTTTCGCCCATGATACCCCCCATGCGTTGCCATTCCTGAGGACTGCGGTGTTATTCCTCTGTACCCAATAAAGTCATGTGATGCCAGAACAAACATATAGACAGATAAAATTGCTAAAAGTTATTGCTAAAGCAATAACCCCTCAAGGGAGGTTTATGTTAACCAGTAGACGGTTAATGAGATGTAATTATTGTTTAAACATCTATTGGTTATTATAAATCTCCTCATATCAATTTATACCTGATAATATGTTTTTTATACCCGATGGAGACTTTGTACAAAAGTCGTTTGCTTGGGCACCTCTGTCCCATTCGTATTTCTTCCGTGAAGCAGTTGCGTTTTTATGGCTGTTTCAGTTAAAGAGTGCGATATGAGAGTGAATTTACAAGGTACAGAGGAATAACATCTTAGTGCTAAGGAATGGCAACGCATATGTTTTGTTAATGAATGATAATGAAATGGTAACTCCGCCTGCGCTAACGGCATACGCTTGCGCAGGATCATGGGGCGGCGAGGTAGGGTATCATGGGCACCGCAGTATACTCTGTTATGTCCATGATACTGCTCATGTCTATAGGCGACGGTTACCATTTTCCATAAGGTGGGCCGTCAGCTTGTTTGACATTCTAAGTTGCATAAAAAAACTATGCATATACAAAAAATAAAGTTACTAACGAAAGCAAGTCGCTAATGAACTTTAATTTTCAACTAACTTCAAAAAGGTTTTAAAATTGATTGTATTTTTTTTATGTTCTTTACCTCATAACTCCGTTAGTTGTAATTTTTTTTTTAATCTGAAAGGACAAATCGGTTTTTTGTATGTGTACTTACAAACTAGTTCCATAAAATTTTTTCAAAATCGATTCGGTAGTCTACTTATTAAAATAACTGGCCCTACCCAACTTGAAGATTTTTTTTTTTTTTTATGAAAAATCATCATTTAAGAATTCTTTTGAAATAGAAGAATATACATTGTTTTGATCTAGTTTAATTTTTAAATCAAAATAAGTAATTTTGCTACAGTTGAAGTCTGTTTTTTTATGTAAAACAATCTTAAATATGTCCCTTTAAATATGTTTTTTTTTTAATGAATGAAGTTTTTTTTTTTTTATACAACTTAGAATGGCAAACAAGCTGACGGCCCACCTGATGGAAAGTGGTAACCATCGCCTATAGACATGAGCAGTACCATGGACATAACAGAGTATACTGTTTCGCCCATGATACCCCCATGCGTTGCCATTCCTGAGGACTCAGGTGTTATTCCTCTGTACCCAGTAAATTCACGCCATATCCCACCCTTCAAACCGAAACACAGCCATGCAAACACAACTGCTTCACGGTTGAAACACGAATGGGACAGAGGTACCCAAGCAATCGACTTTTGTACAAAGTCTCCCTCTGGTGGAATGGTACTGGTAATGGTTTCCAGTTTCTGTGCCGGAATGTACACGGCAATTGTTGATATTGTTTTAATTGAAATAATGACATTATACCTCTATTCCAGATTTCCAATGGCATTTGGAACGATCTCAAGACGAAGTACTAAACTCGAGTGACAGTGTACGAGAGTCGCAAGGTAAGCTCGCATTATAATTGCGGCAACACCGCAGCTGCGGTTCCGTCCGCGGCCAACGTATCTGCAGTGTTGCCATGTACGACAAACGTCTCACATTGCACTCGAACATTCAACATTTTTTTTTTTTTTTCAAATTATATACACTGCAATGTTAGATGTTTTATGGGACTCAAGTGATATTCTGGAACAATTGACTTTTCTATTTAAAATTGTTTTAAATAATTCTATAATGTCGTCGTATTTATAATCGTATTGTTGTTGGTGAGATAAAAGTTAATCGTTCCAGACATACAAGGAACGGATGAAATGCGCAATGTCTTCCCATAATTTGAGACTAGTCAAACAGTCATTGCTTAAAAATAATCTTATTATATCTTGTTATATATAAATATTATATTCCACTACAGCGGATACGAGAGTGCTAGTGTTTTCACATGTGAAACTTCAACCTTATATTGAATAGTATCTAATATTAATATTTATAATTACTAATCATATTACAAATTTATATTTTTGTATGATTATGGACTTACGAGATATTTCAGTGAAACTGGTATTTGAGGTAATTGGTAAATGGTTTGTTCGTATGTGTAGCCTTACAAGGCGAGGTATACAAACGCATAAGGTAAGTATCCATCAATTTACATACTATTATCACGAGGGCATAATATAATAAATGCTATATTATATTGTGTATCTGCTTATGTTGTGTGTGGGACCAATCAGCGTAGACCATTGCATGCTTGTTGATACCATAGACTGACTGTCTAGCAATAGCACGGTTACTTATTATATAATTGATGCTAACCCGGTTTATTTTGTAACATCGAATGGAACGTAACATACTACTTTGGTTTGGTAAGTAAAATTTAACATTCTCATTATCAAATGTAGTTATAGTAAACGTATGTATGTAGGTAGACCATATTTTACATTGCACTACACTACACTGCCATAATCGATTCGGTTTTTAAAAAACAAAAGAGTAGGAACTTTTTTTTTTTTATTTTAATTATAAAGCTAGTGTCGTAGCAAAGAGAAATTGTCGCGAAAGTATTTGAGAGTGGTTCGATTTCGTGTTTTCTGATGGAAAAAAAAATATAAATGTTTGTTCATAGAAGATGTGTCGACGCACAGCGGCGCTGAACAAAAGGTAAATCTCAATTATTTTCCTTTACAACGTAGAATGTTGGTTATGTTGCTTGTTTTTATCTATTATTTACATATTATTTTCCTTATTTGCATTCACATGTGATTTCACTGCAGTTGTCTTTTCTTAGCAATTCGTGTTTTAAAACATCAGTGGTTACGTACAGGTTTATTTTCTTTAAAGCATGCATGTTGTCAAGACAAATAATATGTACGTGGAAGCATGTAGCTACTCTACGGCTCCCAGTGGATGCGCATTTCATTTTTCGAAAACATAACTGGGCAAAGAGTATGGATGATACAGTTTTTGCTGTGCAGGTTTAGGGCATACGCGGACGATACTGAATGTTAGTACCAACATACAGATCCCAGTCCATTCCTCATATAAAAATAGCCAGCACGTACACCGCTTTTTATCATATTTCAATCGCATATCTGTCACAATAATATAACATTCCATTTAAAAAAAAAAACCATTCTTCTATTGGGTTTCAAATATTTCTATACATCATAATGTGAATAATAAATAAATTAATGGCACACTATATAAATGTATGTTCTTTTAATTTCACACTCCCGTATTATCTATGGTTACCGTATGTTATTTATCTGAATCACTGGTATTATAATTAACCACCGCTTTATATTATGTGAATTTATTTTCGCTTTTCATGTTTACCCTTCCAGAATCAAAATTACCACCCATAAGCCTACCTAGTGCACTATATTATGCCAAAACCCCATTTCCCTTGACACGTGGATTTCTTAAGAGCATTAACGTTAAAACAGAAGAGGAAATAGGAAACAATATTGGTCATAGACAAAAGAGAAAGGTGAAAAAAATAATAAAACGGAACAAGCCCAAAGGGCCGATAAAACTAAAAAGGAAACTCGAATTGGGAGGATGTAAAAGGGGGCAAAGAAAAGATGTACAAGAACCGAAATATGTTTGTTCTATATGCCAGAAAAAGCATTATAAATATAGGAGGAACAAACTTAGACACGAAAAATATGAATGCGTCACTGGTCCGCAGTTTGAGTGTGAGAAGTGTAAAAAAAAATATTCCCAGAAAAAAACATTAATCGCACATATCGGTCAGAAACACCCCGGTTGGATCAAGGGGTATCAAGCCGCTCAGAAAAAGAAATAAATCTTTATTGTTGCATGTTCTACTTATATAATTACTTTATACATATTATGTTGATTTATATACGTTACGGATTTATTGTTTATTTACAAAGTATATACTTGAGTTTTATAAACATGAATTGCTAGAAAACAAGACTATACAGGATTAAGTATTTTCGTCGCCGCAATCTTTATATTGACATCATTGAGTCTTGTACTGGTCCCGTGGATGCCAAATAATATCGTTGATTATTTATTTAGGCATAGATTTAATCAAGTGATCTCCTTTATTACCCAGTATTAGTTATTGTCTCTTGGATAAATTTAGATCTCGTAAATTTTTTTTTAGAGTTTATTATATAGTTAAATGTCAAAGATATATCATCTGACTAGTTTAGTTAGTCAATGACTGACCCTTTTTTTCGAATTTAAAATTAAGTGTTAAATGTTGCCAAGTACAAATTTTCTTGTTTACAAATCCTTTTTTTTCTTTCTTTATACTTTTTGTTGCTTATAATTTTACAGAAGTTGAAGTTTTTTGTTTGTTTTTTTTTTGTCAATATATTCCTTTTGTTATTTATTTTGTTTTTATTATCATTTAAATGCTATTATCGCCTAAGTATTGTTACTGTCATGTGACGTGTGACTGAAAACAGACTGTATTTAATTTTCTATTTCAGGCCGAAAAACAACGCCACGTCATAGTATCATGACGCGTAGTAAAAAAGTGACCGAGGAAGCGAAGGCGACAACGTTAGCTATATTGAAAAATGTGAGGACTAGTAACAGTACGCCGGAGGAAACGAAGGAAAATAAAAAGCAGCAGCAGCAGGAGCAGCAGCAGCAGCAGCCGCAGCAGCAGCCGCCGGCCAAGCCGGCGGGCGAGAAGGCAGGGATAGAGACGCAGGACGGCTGCCGCTACGAGGGCTTCCCGCGGGCCGAGCGCAACTACCAGCTGCCGTGCGCGCAGTACAAGACCGAGAAGGGCTACAAGTGCCCCAACTGCCAGCGCTGCTACAACGCGCGCAAGAACCTCGTGCGCCACGTGACGCTGGAGTGCGGCCGCGAGCCGCAGTACAAGTGCCCCTACTGCGTCTACAGCAAGCACCGCCGCAACGAGCTCAAGAAGCACATCGACAAGAAGCACCCCGACACCCAGCACGCCGCCGACCAGCGCCGCCACCTCAAGCCGGTCTAGCCTCGCCGCACCGCTGCATTACTATATAGTGCCTTATCTACACTCTATATCTAAACTATACTGAAAACTATTTTCTGATCTTCCCTTTTAGATGGTATTGAAATTTCATAAATTTTATATGAACATTGTTTTAATTATGTATTGAATTTAATTGATATTCAATATTTTGAACAATTAAAGGAGTAAATTTTTATTGGCATTTAATTTGACCCAACCTTGTCGCAGACCCGAATCGATTCGAATTTTTTTTTTTTTATGGGAAGATAAAGTTTGAGGAAGTCAGTCAACTTGGATTGTGCATGTTTGCATGAACTTAGAAGCTTCGCCTTATAATTTCTAACAGAAATTATATATTTTTTTTATTTTTATTATTATTATAACGCATTTCTTTGGTTCCTTAATTTTATTTTAGCCTCTGGTAGTATTAACAAGACTCCGTATGTAGTTCCGCTTAACTTATTATTTGCAATACCTTTAATGTATTGTATTTCAGAGTTGCACAAGGATAGCCACCTGCCGGCGCTGCTGTCGCTGCTGTCCATACAGCACGCGCAGCAGCCGGCGCTGGCCGCGCTCGTGCCGCCCTGCGTCCACCTCACCGACGTCATCAAACCTAACCTTACCAAAGACATGGTGCCCATCCCCGCACAGCTGCAGCTGCTGCAGCACACCTTCATGCAGAACAACAACACGGTCGGCCCCGCCGCCGACTACAAGCCGCCGCCCAAGCAGGAGGACGACTCGGACGCCGAGTACGACGACACCGACGACATCGTGCTGCCCGAGGAGGCGGACGCGTACTACGACAGCAGCACCGGCTTCCCCACCGCCAGCATCGTCGGCGCCAACGACGCCTACGACGGCAAGCACGAGGGCAAGCAGCATTACGGCAAGCGAGACGGGAACAGCTCGGACGACACGGTGCGGCAGTTCGAGTGCAGGCACTGCGGCAAGAAGTACCGCTGGAAGTCGACGCTGCGGCGCCACGAGAACGTGGAGTGCGGCGGCAAGGCGCCCTCCCACCAGTGCCCCTACTGCTCGTACAAGGCCAAGCAGCGCGGCAACCTAGGCGTACACATCAGGAAGCACCACAACAACGAGTGGTACATATACGCCAGCAACAAAGTGAGGCGGAATAAAAAGACATCCGTTTAAAATATATTTATACAAACATGAATTAGACCAAAGTAGATACCTAACCAAATCGGTACTGCAATAATTATTTATATTTACGTTATTATTATTATTGTTTGTTGAGAACATATTATTATGTATACACTAAAACGTAGCTGTAATGTGCACATTCCCTAACGGCATTAGGTTTAACTTGTTGTTTTTTTGTTTTATAGTTTATTGTCGTAGTTAAGACTGACCATAAGTATTTTATTCAAATGAATATGGCCTAAGGTCGAATATTTATAATTACCATAGATAGATATTTATTGCAATCGCAAACCGTCGTGGTGAAACTGAGACTTCATCTCGCATTGGTGGCGGTCGCTGTTCGTGAACGGTCGATTACAATGTCCATCCGAATAACTCGAATTTGTCTAGTGTTTACGGCCTGTCATTCCTAATAGGGAACTAGATAATTCCAAATTTATATATTTAGTGCAATGATATTAAGAAACCTATAGGTAGATAATGTTATATAATTTTATATCTAACGCAATAACTGCTAATGACGCCTCCCATGTAGGAGTTGTGATTCATTTGATCATTACTGGTGTCATCCGTCACGGGTAGAGAATTTATTATGATTATGTATCGTTAGTAATCGTGTCTGATAAGTTATTGATGATTATTTATTGTACATCTTTTCTATCTTTTATCTTTTATTAATATGATCTAGTTTGAGAGACCACTTCCTTGTCTTCCTGACCTTTTTGCAAACCCAAAGTTTATTATTTTAAAAGTTGTTTATTTATTAGGCTAATATTAGTGGACTGTCCAAGTCCGTCGTAAGGTTGCGATGCCTCGCCACAGTGTCACCGTACAGCGCGTTATACTGCGCCGCCACGGCCGGGCGGCCGCTCGTATTACTTACTGTACCGCAATAATTTGAGGCATTATTATTATTATTATTATTATTAATTAGATAATGGAAGCTCATCCACTATGTGCCTACGATGTTACCTGTAGATGTATATGTAATATGTAGTATATATTACAAGTTATTTGGTATATATCAAGAGAGAATGTGTTCAAAATAAATTCTAAATTTTATATTATATTTGATATTATATACATATTATAATGATATTGAAATGCAATATTCCAATAATAGTCTTAACATATTGACTGTTGATATTTTTGTTGAACTAGGATATAAACAAAGCTATTTGACCAAAGTCAGTATTAGTTTATTAGCGTGATGATACGAAATAGTATGTTATATGTTGTTGTAGCACTCGAGTCATTGCTATGTATAGAGAATGTGTTTTGATATGCAATATACCGATCATATCATGTGTTACGGTTTAAGGTACTGATGTATGAGTTAGGATACGATTTTTGATGTTACGCCGTTTACATTGTTTGTTAATGTTATTGGAAATTTAGTTATCAATTAGTGTGATTTTTATATGAATATATTGGGGGTTCACTTGGTAGAAAAGTTTAATCAAATATATAGTATAGCATAAATTATCCATTGCTTTTTCTTTTATTTCCTATGATTTAAACCCTTGTTTGTAAAAACACGGTAAGTCCCTGTTTAGTGTATTCTAATTTCACATTTAACAAGGCATGTGTGCATGTTGGATTTTTTATAGCCCGGCTTCAAATTCTAAGTTGCATGACCCGATTGGTCTTTCTTTTCTTTTTTCCGTTCATACTAATATAATTAATAATTTCAGGTAGACCAGAAACCCCATGGGTCGGGAGACACTACATTTTATTAACAAACCGTTTGATAGAATACAAAACCCGTGACTAAAATAAGTATTGGTCCAGTACCGTCAGGACATTCGTTGGCACGCGCTAATACTCACAATGTACCGTTCGCTCGACGCGAAGTTGTTAAATTGCTACTGCCGTTTGAAATTCTGGAAGCAGATTAATTCTCAGTGCTCGGGATTTAATCGTTACAAAATAAACGTTATGATTTCTTTTTTTGTTCTTTTTTTTTTACTTTCCTTTTGCAAAGCTTTCATCACAGCACTCGGTGGATATTCACAGTAGACTATAGTACTATTTATTATTTATCTATCTATCTATCTATTTATTTATATAAATATATACGTATATATGTATATATATGTGTAATAGGTAGGTACGTATGACTAGTATGTATATAACATGTATAGTGTACCGCTTGTCCTGTCGTTAACCCCACGGGAATGTTGAATGTTGCGTTGTGTGCGCGTTGCGCGGCGTGGTCTGACCGAGTGTGTGGGCGTTTCAGGCGGCGGCTGCGTGCCGGAGGACGTGTCTTTCACTAGGATCGGCGGCCTGTCCTGGGAACAGTGGTCGGCGCGACTGGCGCTGCCGGCCGCGCGGCCCGACCGGCTCGACCGGCCCGACCGGCCCGAGCCCAGCTTCTCGTGCCCGGACTGCGGCCGCGTGTACAAGCTCAAGTCGTCGCTGCGCAACCACCAGAAGTGGGAGTGCGGCAAGGAGCCGCAGTTCCAGTGCCCGTACTGCGTGTACCGCGCCAAGCAGAAGATGCACATCGCGCGCCACATGGAACGCATGCACCGCGAGGTGCAGATGAAGCCCGAGCACTACCTCAAGCAGGACAACGTCGACGCCTGCACGTAGGGGGCGCGCCGCCCGCGCTTAGTCACTCTTCTAATACTCCCTATTGTTAGGATGTTTAGTACATTTTTATGTTAAATTTCTACGTATCGATAACTTTTTGGATGTTTATATTGGCGAATATTTTGTTAGGACCACATTGATATACTTTATATAGTAGCGTCTATATACGTGTTTTTTACGTACGAGTGTTGTAAAATCAAAAAGTAACAAATTTAAGTAAATCGTCCAAATTACTGGCAGGCCCCCGATTTATATCCGATTGTGATAATTGTGATGAAATCTCTTTTGTGATAGTGGCACGAGACGGTCACGTTAGATGTAATCGCCTACTAGAGGTCACGTGTAGTGTCCCCGAATGTTACCTACTCGACTGTAATGTTAATTAACATCTCTGAAGTGATGACAGAATATAGAATTATTATCATGAATTTAATTATAACGAATTACTCGTAGTATTTGACACTAGTTGCAGTTGCACTTGCAACAGTGTGTGTGCAACTGTTGCATTTATCCAGTAAGTTAAGTTGGAAAGTGATTTTTTTTTTATAGTTACGCTTTACTCATTTTTTTTATATATTTTTTTATATACAGCATTTATTGTGTAAACTATCATTCCTGGTTAAATACAAGACTTAGGTGTGAAGATTTGATGGAAATATAAAGTACAAGTTGTTTGGTTAAGATTGTTACCAATTGCAGTTACTGTCGCCTAAATTTGCAGTTGTTAACTGACAACTGAAGTGTATTCACACATCAGTGGAAACGAGAACTTTTAGATTTTTTTTAGTGTAAGTTAGGTCCTAGTGTCCAGAGATACATATATCAAAATATATCGGCACATTTTGTTTATATTTTTTAATTTATGCTCTGGCTATATATCTCGTGGACGTGTAACTAATAATGGTTAATGTTTACGTTGTAGTTGTAATGAAAACGAAGCTATTTTCGCTTAGGTAGCAAGCTCTTCTTTGCCATAATGCATGTTCCATTATATTATTGTAATACTCATTTAAGTTAATTTTTTTTTATTTCGATTATTTTTAGATCTCTTTACGTCTTATGCATTTATTTTATCAGTACTTTTAAGCTTACAATTTGATCCGTGATTGCAGTAGTGGTAATCCGCTCGCTAGTTCCTCGCGATGGCGTCTATGATGCGTGCGTTGTTTCTATATTATTGGCTCGATCCAATTAGTGATTGTTAGTTAGGGCCCGCATAGACTATATATAGTGCCTTACGTGATCTTTGACGCCTATTGTATAAAAGATCACGACACTGCCACAAAATTATTGTGAAACGAACATTGCACAGTTTTATAGTTTTGAATTGTTAAAATCAATCTTCCAAATAGTCTTTAAGTACGTTATACACATTACCATTTAGAGAGTATCATACAATAAGTGGTGGTATCGTGAAGCGGCATCGTTCCGCCCTGCACGCCGGCGTACACAGGCGCACGAGCCTGCCGCTGTGAGTGAGGACTCCACCGTATAACAGTGCGTAGAGCGACAGCGGTGCCGCCTCACCCGCACTATGCCACATTAGGTTTACGATCCGCTCGAGTTACCATCATACAATCAATGTAAAGTTCACAAAGTACAATCATTACATGTCTTGTCAATGTAAAACTAAGTGCCTTTGAAAAGTTAGTCATTAGAGTTTAAAATGTTTCCGTTAATATAAAGTTCGGTTAAATCACGCATTGTTGTTATTGCAAAATTTCTAGGTTGTGATTTTGACAGACTATTTTCCTATACGAATTGTTGCCAAATTTTGTAACAGATATTTGACCATGTTGTATATGTATAGATTAATTCGCATTGAACTACTACTTGATAGCTGTGATATTGCCATTATAAAACGAACTATTCTCCGATATTAAATTTAAACCGGCGAAGTGTATGTGCGCTGAGAGTAAGCAGTATCTCTTGAGGCCGCAACAGTATGTTAGATAGAACAATATTTTAATAATGACCCAAGTGATGTTAGTGACAACCCTAGATACTTCTGTAATAGGAATTACTGCCTAGAATATTTGTAGTATTGTAGTTACTTTGTAATCTGCCAATAAGAAGTTACAGTGATTAAATGCATTTGATTGTATTTTTATAACCTTTTTTTGTATTTTAATAAAGTTGCTATTCTTGATATGTAATAGTTTTAATATTATTTTTTTCAACCAGTAATTAAATTAGTTGTACGATAATTTAAAAAAAAATCCGCGTGTAGTCTATGAATATTGAGCATCTAGATGAAATAGATGTGGGATTGCACTAAATTCTATTTCATCAGGTGTGACATAATAAATTTAAGACAATCTTATGCATGCTAAACATAAACTAACAATATATATTTATTTACAAGGTGGACCTTTCACTGTGGACTTTCATATGGTTTACTGTATATTACCTATCAATGTTTCACTGATCTCCTACAATGGATGGTTCTGCATCACATGGTTGCATGCTACCTGGAATTTAGATATAAACAATAGTTTTAGATTAATAATGGTAGACTGTTCGGAGCAAATTAATGGGAGACATGGTGCATTATCCTCCGCTTACATATGGTAGCACATTTTCTTTTTTTTAAGGTGGCTTGGCTTACACAGTACGGTGGTAGCTTTAGTGTTATTGCACGTATTTATTTTTATTTGCGTTTTAATTTCAGTTGCACAATTTTACACTCCTTATATATTGGGTTATGGTGCTCCTGGTTTGAGCAGCGGTAAGGCCGGGTGGACACTGTACGAATGCGTCGATTGCGGCAACAAATACAAGCACAAGGGCTCTCTGCAACGGCATATAAAGTACGAATGCAGAAAACAACCAAGTTTTAAATGTCCTTACTGCGTATACAGAGCCTACCAGAAACACAATCTGTTGTTGCACGAGCGGCATCTACATAAAGACTTGCCAGAGAAGGTGGATTTCGTGACGGAATGACCCGCCGCAAATGTAATACAATGTCAGTACATGTTACCAACTAACGGCATACATATATACTAACCTCTTTTTGTACCAGTACCAATACTTTGGGGCACTAACGCTAATTCTCCACTCATTTATATTTATGGGTTATCAAAATGCATATTATTTTATATTTTTATAAATCATAATGTTTAGCTTTTTATATTTACAAACAACATTTGGTACATTTGCCACTAAAATATAGGTGTTTTTGTTACTTGAAATTTTTATATGACAACGAAAAATCTCCAAGTCTTACAAGTGGCAATTATGCATGTACCAAATGTTTTTTTTTTCTATACTTATTACTATTCGATCGAGGGAATCTTATTTTAATTGTATAGATACTGTAAACTTTTGCTTTTAATGGACCTGTGCAAACGAGAAATTTGTAAATTAGTACAAAATGCTCATACCAGTCTTGTTCACGTTATGCAGTGTTATATGTGTTTAACACTTTAATGGATAAAAGAGTACCCTAAAAATTGTCCTCTCGTGTACACAGGTCTCACACCTATATGCATAAAATGACAAAACAAAGCATGCTAAATGTTCAACAAACGCACAAAAATGGTTATTGGGGAAACGGCACTAAATAGTTGTAGTATTCGTATTACACCTAACAAATAGCACCAATAACTATTTTAACATGTTTTGATCAGCAAATTGATAATTCTTTATTTCTGTTACAGCCATAACTATTTCAATGTATAGAAATAGTGGACCTTTTACTTAATCAAGACTCCAAAACGAAAAATGACGGTGAGATATGAAGTAAACTTTACAGCTTCATACAAAGCTGTAATTCGCAGATTAGCTAAAATTGATGAATTCATTCGTGCCTATATTATATGCCAAAGAAGAGTAACACCTTCCTACTAATTCTAGGAAATGTAAAAATTCTATGAAACGTATATATATATATTTTTATAATCAACAGTATAATAAGGAAGTATTTTCAATAAATATTTTCGTTAATATTTTATAACTGGAGGGTAACGAAAAATATCTGGCTCGAAGGACCAGTTTAAGTGCAGTGTATTGAATTATTTAATATTGTATAAAAATATAGTATTATCAATTTTACAAACAGTTATCATTGTTGGTAGACGTAAGGTTAATTTTTGTACTGCGAACAGTACACACGGACAGGTCACTTGTTAACCTATTATAATATTTATTAGGAAAATATCAGAACAAATATTTATAAATCTATATAAGAGGCATGCGATTATGAAGACTACGGCATGTTGACCACATTTACATATACTTTTTAGAAATCTACAGGTTTCACACGCTGAAATAATGAAGTTACTGACATTTTATAACTGAAAATTATCAACATTTGGAAATAACATAATCGCAAAACTTGACTAAAATAATTTTATAATAGTTGTACTTTTATCAAAATGTTACTTATTTTGATCTATCTATTGTTAATAATCGTTTTAAGACATTCATGAGCAGTTAAATAAATATAAGTCTAAGTAATTGTGGATAATATTCCGTAGCCTTTTAAACAATATCAAACACTAAAGTGTACGTAATTAGTTTAACCCTTCTTTGCACCATTATGGTAAAAAATTTCAATCATAACATTGAGAATGCCCGAAAATTATATAAAAGGACAAGTTCACTTTAAAATGATCGTGTCTGGATACCTTTTTAATGTCCATTACAGAAAAAAAAAACATAGCTGTCAAATTATTTTTTTTTAACCATTTTTCCTTTAATTTTGAACATGAATTATATCTCCTTGATTTTTTTTTTTTCACGAATAAAAATCATGCAAAGAAAGGTTAAATGCGAAATATGCAAATATAAATTACTTAAGTCTTTAAGTAGGCAGCTATTATCTGAAATACTGTACCAAAAATCTCACCCTAAACCATAAACTTTATGCATAATAAGTAGATAATTAGCAAGTTATTACTTAAGACAGTGGTTTTTTTTTTTTTAATTTACGAATAATTCATAAAGTACCTATAATACATTGTTATATTTTCTTGTTATTAATGTTTGTTTAGTGTGTGTTCCTTGTTACCAAAGAATATTAATGTATTACCAGAGATTGTATAAACAAATTTTGTATTAAGGGCACAGTATTTCTGTTGAATTGTATATTATTTTTTTTGCATTTGTTACTGTTATGTAAGTTACCTTAAAGTTCAAATTATAATTCATGCAATATTAAAACCAAAGAATCTTCCAGTCGATTCTTAGCCATATTGAGTTAGTCCTTATACATTATGTAGTGTTAAGTAAATTATTACGGTACTCAAGATCGGTGTGACGTGGTTACCTGACTCCCAAAGAAATGTAAACCATATTTTTATTACGTGTTGAGTGTTTATTATGTAAAGTTTTATCTAAGTATAGAATAGTTATATTAAGACAAATAATATACTGCGAGACCCACCAACAACGTAGTTTAGGTATTATCGGAAATTTTCACCGTCGATTCACTGTTCGTTATATTACTAACAGTTTTCGTATCCTATACATTACTGTGACATTAATAACCAGTGTTAAATTTATATTTAAACCATCATTTGGAAAACATGGATCCACTCAAGTTCTCGACCGACTATAAAAAAGGTATACTTTCTCATGTTTATGTTGCTACTTTTTCGACAATATATACACGAGTAATCTGGCAGCTATGTCAAGTATATTATAAGTAAGTATTCCTAGCACTTATCAGGACTCAGATTCGATGAAATTTTTTATCATCCCCTTAAATAAAAAGAAAAAAATCTGTAGGCACATCCACCAGTATTCAGAATTCAAAATCAGCGTTCTGATCAGTCTTGTCTGAAGTATTTATAAATTAAATTTCATTTAATCATTCAGTCAAAAAATTGATAATATATGTGTGTGTGTATATATATATATATATACACATATATATTTCATCGATATTATTTTTTACACGTCCTTTAAACACAAATATGATATGTTTCTATCGTTGACACTCAATATTATCAATAACAAAAGTTTAATATCAAAAGCATTGCTGTACTGTAATAAAGATATTGTAATCTGCTTACATACTATAATATCACTATGATTAATTTCTGTCGTACGTTAATTCCTGTCTCTGTATCCACCTCTAATAATTTGATATGATTTTGTAAAGAGAACAACTTTAATACTTGAGTAGGTCCATGTTTTTTTTTTTTTTATTTTTTCTCTAGGTACAGTTAAAAAAATATATAACAAACATAATTGCAGCTGAGATGAGCGAAAAATCACTATAACTTAGTATATTAAAACAAAAACGCCTTATGGGCTTCTGTGCCTTATTTTTTATAAGCATGCTAGACTGTAATATTGTTGAACGATGTAGGATACAGTCGGTATAAACATGTATTCGAGTGTATAGACATAGTAGGCATTATACAAAACTGTAGCTCAGTGTTTGTATTTTTTTTAAAAAGGAAATCAGTAAACAAGGTGTGAACATTGCAAAATCTCATTTAAAACAGCTGCTACATTTAAATTGAGTTAAAAATTCGTAATTTTTTATATATTCGACCTATTTATTCTGTATTACTAGGCAGATATATTTTTATTTACAATACTTGTTAATTATTTAGTTGTGAAATGATCACTGTTCTTGTATTTAGTTCTAAACACTGGACGCTAAAAATTTATTGAGATTGTATAGAAATAAAACGAAAGTAAATTCTATAAATTGAAAAAAAAAAACAGTTAAAATAGATGCAGATTGGCAAAAATGTTGCCTGACATACTTGTTAAAATAAAACTGAAAAGCTAAAAAGAAAAACAATAAATATACTATTTATTTCGTTTACGTATTGTATTCGATTTATCATTATTGGCAATATAATAATAATAATAATAGCGCTAAAAGCTGAGAAATAAGCAATTCAATATAAATAATAATAATTTATTTACAAATTATTGGTGATTGCCAGTAGCAGATCCTAAGTTATTGTTAAGTAATTGTTCAGCAATATTTACCATTTCGGTGTGTAAATGTTTTTTTTTTTTATAATATCCAAAATAAGTCAAATTAACATCAACAAAACCAATTATTGATTAATTGCATTATAGTTTTTCAAGTACCTTCCACATGATTACTTTTTGATAATTTGAATTATTATTAAAATATTTTTTTTATAAAAAAAAATAACCCGCTTTAAAGCGCTTTAATTTTCGAACACTTAATCATATTTAATGCGATTTGTACATGGCATCCATATTTGTCTAAAACGTTACTTTCGTACAGCTACAGTGTCGATAAGTTAGCAGTGGTGTGTTTCCGAACTAATCTAGAAATAGCCATTTAGAATATAAACGTCTATAGTAGGTACAGTATTATTAAAAAATCAAAATTATAAGTATTGCTATATACCTTAGGCCTTTTAACTCTATTTCAGTATCTGTATAATATTTTATATATACATGTAGTGCAACGCACGCTACCATTACATAACAGCATTCTAGCATGCATTTTAAAAAGTTACCAATAAAATAGTATTTATTGTTATTATAATAATTATGTGAAATATTACCTAGTGCCTATTTTGATATTATATTTAGATTTAAAATTTGATAATTATTTTTATTAGATATAAATAAACAGAAAAATGGACGATATATAGGTATACTTCAATAGATATGGCACAAAATATTTTTTTTTTAATCGTTTCCATTCTTTTTTTCTTTTGATGCCTTGAATTTATGAAAATTAATTCATTTACAAGAATAAGATGTATAGATAAAAAAAAATAGGATATTTTATTGTGCAACAGAGTTGATCCTATATCTTTTACTTACTACGCATTTTAGCATTTTCACAAAATCTAGACTAAAGCTTGAGCTATTGACACTAAAAGAATGGAAAGTAATTAATTTTAGTCGCATAATAGCGCAAATTCTATAAACAGGCAAAAGGACACTTAGTAGAATTCAAATCTAAATGATATTTTAAAATAAAGCTAAAGTTGTTCTTTGTCTGGAAAAAAAAATGTTACCTATCTACGTACTTTTTCCGTGATTAATACCTTTTATATATTTCTGTTATCCAAAAAATACAACAGTGAGAATGGCACAAAATAATATTAAGTTTGGTGTATTTTTTATTTTTCAGTGATATGGAGTGCGTTTGGTTTGTTCTTTTTTTATTGGATTATGCATGTGAATAAATGTTCTCAATTAAATAGTTATTCGTTTGTTTGTAAATAAGTTATCCCGTCCGTTTCGTGAGAAGTCACTTACCAAGTCGTAATGTGGACTTGCTAAAAACAAAAAATAACTTGCCTAGTAAAAAGAATATATCTCTATTAAATTTTTTTATACTTGGCTTTATTTAGTAAATAATTTTGGCAATTTAAAAATATGGCGTTACCCACATAAACTATATAATAAACATATTTAAAGTAGTTTGTTTCTAACAAAATTCTATATAAAATGTGCCAAATATATTTATTAGATATGCCAAGGATAAAAAAATAATAGGTACTAAGAAACATAATACACAAAAGTAAGCCAGTCGTTACATTACTCATTTTTTAGACAATCTATGTCATTGTTGCAGGTGAAATGGATTTCTTTAAAACAATGATGCAAAATATGTTGCCCGTTGTGCCAATGAAGACAAAAAACTATTGGTCGCACTACGACATGTCGTACGAGTGTGAGAAGTGCAAACGGAAGTACAGGCATAAGAGTACGTATAGGAGGCATATCACATACGAATGCGGCAAAGAGCCCATGTTTCGATGTCCCTTCCTCGACTGCACCTATAAAGCTTACCAAAAGACCCACACGGATGCACACATCAAGACAAAACATAAAATTTTGTCGTTAGAATACAAACGATGATGCATGAAAGTAAGAGATTATTATTAAATTGAAATTGTGATATTAAAGAGTTAATTAATTGTAAATTTATTAATAATAGTTTCATTTTATTATGTACTTTCTTCCCCTTGCACTGATAATTATACTTCAGTTCCTTCTATAAACTTCTAGTCAGTATATAAAAAGTACTTTGTAGCCCCTAATCGCCTCTTACGACATTTTAAGCAGTAATGATATTCCGTTTACTGAACCGTTTATCACGAATAGATAAATCTCACACGCAAAATTAAAAAGTAGATACCAAATATTACCTTTCATTGTTTTCTTTCTTGATTTTATCTCAGAAAAGTAGATTCATTACATTTAGTACAAACAATATTTAATTTTTTTTTAAAAATTTCGAAATTAGCGCCAAACCCTATAAGATATTCTAGATGGTAGATAACTTCCTACTCTATTACCTAGGTACTATGTCAATACCGAGAAATATTTTTTTTACTATCAACAATTAAGCGCCTAGTTCACACTACACTGTATCCGAATTTGAAAGAAAAGTCACTCGAACAAATATCATTTTGACAATATGAATTGTCAAATCGGCTAGCTAATGTTTCCATTGCATTTATTAAAATGATATTTAAAATCTTTATTTTCTAATTTATGAATTTAATATAGATTCGAATTACAATGAACCGTTTAGTATGGATAAGTAGATGTCAAATCAATACAATAAGAAATGGCTTTTTTGGCTCTTCGATACTAACACCTAGTAAAAATATACAAGATGTAATCTTAATTCGTGGTCTACACGATCAAAAAAAAAATGCACGGTCTACTCTCAACTACGTTATGGCTATCGGTGTTATGACTGTAGGTCTAAGCTACGCGGCTGTACCATTATATAGGATATTTTGTCAGGTTTGTTAATACTAAAGTAACCTCAAAAAAATATAACTGGAATCAGATTTTTATAGTCACTGGATAAGTTTAGGTTTAGTTGATGGTAACTACCCCTAAGATACTGCATTTGGGTACTGTATTTAAAGACGAGCCGATGAATCGCTGCCTACCATACAATCACAAGTGAAACTTAGCTATAGACAAAAACATCTGAGAGTACATATGCCCTTGTTTTAAGGGGCCAGGCCCACTGGAAAATTATCTTATATACACCAACGGTGCTGCTCCTTATATAGCCTACTAAATAAAATATAATATAGTACTTTTCTATGATTTAGATTGTATGTTACTAACAAGTGATAGTAAATATATAAGTTACGTATATTAATTTTAGGCATACAGCTATGGTGGTACTACTGGGCATGTCCAATCAGACGATATAATAAGCAACATGCCTGTTAAAAAGCACAGGCCGTTGAAGATTAAATTCAATGCAGATGTTGCCTCCTCTATGCAGTGGAATTTTAAACCTCAACAAGTTGATATTACTGTGAGTATATTTGTTCATGTATATACAGCTATAGCATTCAACTTTTACAATTCAATAACACAAATAGAGGGAGATTTTGTACAAAAGTCCCTCCCTCTGGTAAGACAGTAAGGTAAATGACAGAGTTACTAGGTAGCAAACATAAAAATGTAAACACAAATTGAGAACTTCCTTTTTTAGGCTTACTACTGATAAAATAATAGTAGAGATTATAGCCATTATTTCTTATCTCTAGAAATAGAGTTTATTTCATTATTGATCCCATACTTATAATGTCCCTATAGATTTTTTTTTTGTTGAAAAACTAGATTTTAATTATTTATTAATATTACCTTCACTTTATTTATGTTAACATTTATATTATACAAATATTAACTATTAAGCTACTTATATTTTAAATTAAAACATCCTGATTGACATTAATTAATTATATAAATGCAGGTGGTGCCAGGTGAGACAGCACTAGCATTCTATACTGCTCGGAATCCAACAGACAAGCCTGTGACGGGCATCAGCACATACAATGTGATACCATTTGAGGCCGGCCAGTACTTCAATAAGATACAATGCTTTTGTTTCGAGGAACAACAGTTAAATCCACATGAACAGGTGAGTGACATTTTTAAAAAGCAACCTTTATTAAAAATAAGAAAAATATTTACTTCAGCACTTACATTTTATCCAATAATCTTCAAGTTTTTAATGAAATTGGTTTATTTTAATATAAAATTAAAAAATATTTAATTTAATTTACATTATGCTGCTAGGTATTGCACAATGAAAACTACTATTTTTGCTGTACTAATTTATAGTTCTTTTATTTTTAATTAATAATAAATATTAATGATATTAAGTATTTTGTATATAAATGATGATATCCAAGCTTCAAGTAACAATATCCAAACTTTTCTAATTTTAAAAAGTACCATAAAAAGATGCACATATTTCAGAGGTGCTGCTCATGTTTATAGGCGATGGTTTTTTAATGGGTGAAAATGGAATAGTAACCCCGCCCGCGCTATCGGAATACACCGACGAAGCACCAGTTGGCCCACCATGATGAATTCGACAAAAATTAAACATGATGGTTTTCAGGGGGAACCGTTTGGAGGTCGACCTGAGAGGGTATATTGTTAGTAATAGGGCTATTAGTCCCCATTACTAACTATCCCTTTCCCCCCTATAGGTGATGGTTACCACTTTCCATCAGGTAGTCAGTCAGCTTATTTGCCACTCTAAGCATCATAAACAAAAAAATCACTGTACACACACAAATAAAATTTGTGTTGATTTTGTATTACTATACTTGACCTCTTCCTTCTTAATAAAAACATTTTTTTTTTTGTATTCAGGTGGATATGCCAGTATTCTTTTATATTGATCCAGAGTTTACAGATGACCCAAAAATGGAATATGTGGATGAAATTGTGCTCTCATACACGTTCTTTGAGGCTAAGAAGGGCATGAAGTTGCCTGTTCCCAGCTATATTAAGCAGTGAAGTGATTGTTACGTTTAGTTTATTATTAGGAAACTTTATTATACTTCAGTTGTATAATTACATTGTGGTACATAGTCAGATTTTAGTCTAATATAAAAATGGAATAAATAACTCATATATTGGATGGACACCAATATGAAGTACATTATTTGTACATAAAATGTATTAAAAAAGAATCAATCGACTCCATGTAGTATTTCTGTGAGTATAATTTAATTTTTTTATCAATTGTTATGTTAATATGGAATAAAATATTAATTTGTTATTATTTTATTTTGACTGAGCAAATAATCACTTGTTCATACATTTTCTAAATGCAAATGGCACAAGAATTGCATTTATTCAATGATACTTACTATCTGTTTGCAACTGCCTCTGTGCCGATGAATTGTTTCCATACAAACTTGGTGACGTTGGTAGACAGTGGCCTATTTGCAGCAGTTGCTGACAAATACAGAAATGTAAGAAATAATCATCGTAATCAGACAAAGCCCAAAACTCTTTTATTACTTAATATGAAATCAACTAGAGGCCTACCACAAAATGAAATTCCAAATTTTTGACTCAATTTTGTGTTTGCTTTCATACCAAAATTGGCCCAGTAAATGGAGCTTAACATTTCGTTCGTCATAAATCCTATCATAAAAGTTTAAAAGAACTAAATGTTATAATTTTTGATATTTTTAAATTTTGGCACAAATTTTTAACTAATTACGTTTTTTTGACACCAAATTTGATTCTTACGGTCAAGAAATTTTGGAAAATATTTCATATTAAACTCTATGGATAGTAGCATTATCATAATAGATATTTACAAATGTAGATAGGGGCGTGGCTAGCAGGCTGCGTATAATATTTACCATTTTTATTCAAAAGTACTCGTGATTCATCTGGGAATTTTGACTGGAAGTACATTTATTGATTGCTATATCTTTACCCTTCATATATATATATATATATATATATATATATATATATTCTTTATTGCACTTGAACATCCATCAGTTTAGCAAGGGTAGGCTTGAATTCTCTCTTTGATTGATCTCTAAAGGAGATCTCTTCCAGCCAACCCAGTGTAGTTAGAGAGAAAATTAATTTCAGGACTAAATAAAAACTCTGACGAGGTTATGTATAGTTTATTATGTACGCGATGGTCGCGTGTGTGGTGCGCCGGTGTGCGGCTAGGATTTGATGGCGGCGGTGACGGGGTAGCCGCGGCGCAGCGCCATGCACTGGTCGCGGTCGATGAAGAGCGCGTTTGCCTTGCCGCGCAGCGCGGCCTCGAGCCCAGCTCTGGTGGCCAGCAGCGACTGGTGCGCGCCCTCGGCCGCCGCCAGCCGCGTCCGCAGCCTCTCCATCGTGTCCTGCAGCTCGCACACCTCCCTCACCAGCCTGTCATGCCGCACGCTCCACAGTGTAGTTTCGCATCTCATATACGTGACAATAATGGAAGTGTCGATAGATACGTTATCGCTACCGCGTACCTGACGCGACAACGATGATAGCAATGAGACGGCAACTACTGCCAAAAAACGACTAGGTTTTTCCATTCTTGTAAATATAGGATATAAAAAGAATTTCTCGACAGATTTTAAAGGATTATAAATGGCATATCTTATGCAGCGTTTTATTACCTTACACGAACCTTTGTCTAATAAACCCTGTGCCTAAATTAAGAGATCAGTTAGACCCACAGTCAAACCTTATAAAAGCCAGACCCAATAAACTGCTATCACTATGTTAAAATGTGACGTGATCATAAACATCACGTAACTGCCAATTACCGACCTCAACCAAAAGAGAAAAGAGGCGGCGTGGTCCAAGAAAGACGTCAAAAAATAAACAGTGCGAATACCCGATTGCCCTTTTTTGCGTCATTATCAGAAAAGGAAGCGCCGTCAAAAACTTGGCTAAGAGCGCTAAGTAAGCTAATCTTTCCGTAAAAACTACAGCATGGAATTCTTCAAAAAGGGCGTATTAAGGCTTCTTAAAGATCGACAAAACGCGCCTGACACCCATGGTGTTACAGGCGTCCATAGGCTACAATAACTTCGTTTACCATCAAACAAACCATAAGCTTACTTGCCACCATAGTAGTATAAAACATTTTTAATGCAAACAAGAGTTACTATTATTGATTGTGATAATCTGGACCTGTTCTGGGCGTCGTCGCGGCACTTCTCCAGGTGCGGACGGTTGGTGCGCGCCTGCAGCCGCGTGTGCGCCACCTTCATCGGCTGCAGCTTGTCCTCGATCGCCTTGTTCAGCAGCTCCAGCGTCTTCTCCACCTCGAAGATCTCCTGCTGGATCTGCCACAATTGATACGTCACTTATTGATTGGAGCGAAATCTATGATGTGCAAGATATCAAGTTGAAATCTTTAGTATTTTCACATGAAAGTATTTGACTAGTAAAATCGATTATTTTACTCAAACGATTTTTTGACCCTTGTTCAGGTATTTGATAAAAATATTCAGTTTTAGTGGTGAAACGTTCATTTAAATTAATGCAAATAATTTAATTTCATTTTCATCTTAAAGTTTATAATTGTATATATTATTTGTCAAATGACTTGATGCTTTCTTAATTTTTTTTCGAAAAATGTTTTTGTCTATTTATATTTTACATCTTGTTTCAAATGCCTGACTTAATACATGAGAACATTAGAAATTGGCGTGAATCAGTTACCACAAAACCATCTAGAATCAGTAGAGGTACCTACTGCATCAACGAGTTGATACCGTGTATTTCTGCCATTATAAGTCATATATAAAAAGTTGCCCATCTGCGTAGTTTTTTTTTAATGAACAATAATGGAATGGCAAGCCCGCCTGCGCTGACGTTATACACTGGCGAAGCACCAGTGAGGGATGATAGTTGAGAATGAAAAGGCATGTGATTTAGCCCATAGTGTGACTACACCTGGAATTCACCACGATGGTTTCCTGCGAGGGACACCACGTGAAGTTCGATCCGGCAGGGTGTATTGCTAGCAATGGAACTGAAAATCCGCATTACTAACAATCTCCCCCCCCCCCCCCCTCATGTGCATAGTTACCTTGTGCAGATGCAGCTGCAGCTTGTTCTTGATCTCGATGGTCTCGGCGATGCGGCGCGTGAACGCACTGTTCGTGTTGCTCCACTGGTCCCATATCTGCGTCGCTGACACGTTGATCAAGTTCTCTGAGTCTGTGTAATAAGTGATCATTACAACTTCATCATCATTATCATCATATCAACGGTTAACTGCCTACAGCTGAGCATTGGCCTACCCCATAAGAAGGTCTGTCAAAACCTTCTTATCATGCTTAGCCACTAGTCAGACTTTGGTGATGTTTTAAGAATGACGTTGCTGCCCATCCTTCGAGTCGCCTTTTACGACACCCACGGGAAAGGAAAGGGTGGCCCATTCTATGCTGATATCATTCATCCAAATTAAATAACACTACATTTTTAACTATTCTACAAGGCTTAAACATTACGTTAATCTCCAGACTTCCGCAATCTTTTAAGATGCCTACCTGAAAGAACAATTAAAATTAAATGTGATAATTTTCGGTTGTAATTTAATATTTCAAAGGTGTTCGATGCAAAATGTATATTTGCAATAATGCGAAATGTCTGTGCTGTCTTAAGTTGCAGCGAAGTCGAGAGTACTCTTGCCAGAGCCTCCGATTCCGACAGGGGACGACTAGTCTTAGTTCAATTTGACCAATCTAAGACAAACTGGGCGTTTACTGCAAAAAAAAAGCATTTACTGTGGCTCCACAATTTTGAAACACATGCATTATTGGTGCGTATGCAGCGCGGTTGTGTATGGGGTGGTGCGGTGCATGTGTATATAGGGTGGTACGGTGCGTGTGTGCGTGGTGCGTGCGTGTATGTATGGTACGATACGTGTGTTGGGCGATGCGATGCGTGTGTGGGGCGGTGTGTGTGTGTAAAGTGTAACGTGTGCATGTATAAGGTGGTGCGTGTGTGGGGCGGTGTGAGTGTAGTGTAGCGCGTGTACCGGACAGCATCTGCACGGCTTTGGCACGTTCAGACTGCGAGCGCTGCAGCGTGGCAGCGCTGGCGGCTGCCCAGCGCGCCGTGTCGCACACCGTGGGGTCGTAGCGCTCGATGCCCGCGTACAACTGCAGGCCCTGCGCATGCGCACGCGCCTATATTACTATGCTTACCACACAGTTCTACACACACACACCGCTCACTACGAACCGCGGACTCTATTTGAGTTTGTCATGAACCAACGAGATTATATATAATCGATAGACCTGCACGATTGGACTATTTATTTATTTAACTCTTTATTGCACCATAAATAAAAATATACAGTGACAAGTGAATAATTCAAGTGAAATACAGTAACGTAAATGCAGATTGAAATATACACATAAAGGTACAAAAGACGGTCTTATCGTTAGGGCAATCTCTTACAGACAACCTTTGGTTAAAGGAGAACAGATAGAAAAGGGCAGGTGGCGCAAGGGTGAATTAATAATTATGAACTTATATCGATTGCGATTCACTTTTTTACGATGTTGCGATCTGGGTCATACATAAAAAAGTATATTATTAATTAACCGTTAAGGTTTTTAAGGGTCTGCAACGCGCGCGTGACAACCCTGGTGTTACAGACGTCCATAGGCTACGGTAACCATCAGACGGGCCATATACTTCTTTGCCACCATAGTAGTATAAAAAAATAGGCCAAAAAGTAACCCAAAAAGTACTTCTGCAGTTATTGTAAAATTACTGGTGGGTACCTTGGAGAAGTTGTTGAGCTGGTGGCACATGGAGTCGATGCCGAGCGCGTACTCCTTGTTGCGCATGTCCGTCTCGAGCTCGTGCTGCGTCGCGCGACAGTTCTTCGCCTGCTGCCGCACCTGGCGAGGCAAACGCCAGGCGAGAACGTAAAACAACATAGTGTCTGGTGACGCTGTAAGATTTTACTGTAAAGGTAACTTTACTCGTGGGGGGGTGGGAGGAGGGGTAGTAACTATACACCGTACTAGGTCAACCTCTAAGTGGTTCTCCTTGCGAACCATCGTGGTTAATTCTTGTGAAATTCATCACGATGGGCTAACTAACCTGCTTTCATCTTCACCTGTCATCTATCACTGATGCCCCGCCAGTGTATACCGATAACGCAGGCGGGGTTACCATTTCTTTATTGTTTATTACAAAAAAAAAATCTTTACTCGTGGAGTTTTGAAAAAGAGGTACACAGATATGTTTGCTCTTAATATTTATCCGCATTTCATCAATTCCTCATCACATATCCTCACATCATCCTTTAACTGTCCACTGTTAAACATAAGTCTTCTCCTTGGGAGGATTTTGCTAGTAGTTACCATGCTTGGCAGACGGATAGGCATCCGCAGTTAGGCTTTGGAGATGTTTTAAAAGGGAGGCTGTTGCCCATGCCTCGCCCTCCCTTAATCGCCTCTTACGACACCCAAGAGAAAGGGAGAAGTGGCCCACCACCAGGACCACACGACAAGTTCCTGTTTTATGCCTGATGAAATAATCACGACCGTGACTCTTGAAATAGTAATCAAAACTCAATAATTTCGTATATAAAGTTTCAAACTGTACCTTTTCCAGCATATTTCTGAATTTATCTTGACACTCGCGTAGAACGGCGACCTCCTTCAGAAGAGATTGCTCCACCGCATCGTGCACTTGCTCCACACCTAGTTATATTTTTTTAACCTGTTGAATATTTATGAGCAGACTGCAAGCAGTGGCCGTTCGCGAGTATGACGGATGAACCAGTATCATTGAGCTCAACTGTACTTAGAACTTAAAATATCACTGAGTAAATTACCACAGACTCCTCTTTACTAGAGGGAGACTTTGTACAAAACTCGTTTGCTTAGGCACCTCTGTTCCATTCGTGTTTCTACCGTGAAACAGTTGTTTGCGTGGCTATGTTTCGGTTTGAAGGGAAGGGATATGGCAGTGAATTTACAGAGTACAGAGAAATAACACCTGAGTCCTCAGGAATGGCAAAGCATGGGGGGTATCATGGGCGAAACAGTATACTCTATTATGTCCATGGTACTGCTTATGTCTATAGGCGACGATTACCACTTTCCAACAGGTGGGCCGTCAGCTTGTTTGCCATTCGAAGTTACCAAAAAAAAAACTCGAGTTCAACACAAAGTAGAACTTGTATGAGGACTAGACAGATTTTATAAATATTTCGATACTTATTTTATTTTTAATATATACATGTTGTATCAGCCATTAACTGTTTACCGCTAAACATAGGCTACCCCATAAGGGGGAGTTCTGCCAGTAGTTGCCATACTTGGCAGGCGGTTTGGCAACCGCAGAATAGCTTTTGGTAATATTTTAAGAGGGACGCTGCTCCGCATTCCTCCACCATAAGCTATCTTAGCCGCCTCTTACGACACCTACGGGAAAGGAAGGGGTCATCTTGTCTATGCCGGGACCTACACGGCAATTACATAATATATAAATATATACATATTTAATATAAAAAATATGCAGGCCAATACAAACAAATGTATGAATAGGTACAAATATTTGTATAGCGCAGGAATGGAATGTGTCCAGGCCGTACCCTGCCTCTTCTCGCGGTGGTAGAGGCACTCCTGCACGATATGCAGCGGGCCCTCGATGCCGGCGATGGCGCGTTCGAGCTGCCGCCGTGTCTCGTTCAGCTTCTCGCACGTCGCCACTAGCCGCTCCATCTCGATCGACACCTGCCCACCACCATTACCACCACGCACGTTTAGTCACATTAAGCCGTAGTGAACTCCAGGTGTATTCATCACAATGGGCTAACTGACCTGCCTTTTCTTCCTCACCTGTCATCCATCACTGGTGCCCCGCCAGCGTATATCGTTATCGCAGCTACCATTTGCGGTGGGGCTACCATTCCATTATCATCTATTAAAAAAACTAGCTCATCCATCACGCACTGCCGAGGATTTCTCAAGAGACTACAGCATGGGGTTCTTCAAAAGGGGGATAAAGAGGTTTCTTTAGGGTCAGCAACGTGCGCGTAATACCCCTGGTATTGCAGGCGTTCATAGACTACGGTAACCACTTACCATCAGCTGGGCCGTATGCTTGTTTGCCACCTCAGTGGTATAAAAAAAACGCACTTTATTTGATGGTAACCACGTTATAGAGATATCGCCTTTGTTCTACTAGTGCTACCACTAAGTATTATAAACAAGTAAATAACTAAATGCGTATACTAAAAAAAATATTATATATATATATATATATAAAAAGGTATAAATATAATTACAATTTTCAATATGTTATTTTCCAATATATATATTTATATATATATATATATATATATATATATATATATATATATTTATACAACTTAGAATGGTAAATAAACTGACGACCCACCTGATGGAAAGTGGTAACCGTCGCCTATAGACATGAGCAGTACCATGGACATAACAGAGTATACTGTATGTATATATGTTATATGAATCTATTAAGAGCACGTTTTAAGTTATCATTGAGAAATAAGTAAATCTATCTCATGATGTTGTTATCTAAGTGTGTACATATCTAAAATTTGCAACAATATCTCACCTCATTTCTCCAGAACGTGGTGTCAGTGATGCGTTCACCAATTCGCCTGCCCGAGTCGCGCTGGCCTTGTGTGCCTATTTCATCTGTTTCCCTGTAAATATATATATGTTCGTACCTACTAGATAGACAATTAGTGCTTTATATTCGAAAATTCTTTTACTATAATATATAATGACATACTGTATACTGCTGTCTACGCCACAAAGTAACTGGTGTGATCATAATGCAAAGTAGATGAAAGCGTTTATTCTAATAAATAATTGTAATGAAGCGACACTAATGCTTTCTCGTACTCTCTGTAGGTCCTAATTCAAATCCGGCTCGAAGGATCAAGTAGGAGTTATCACTCGACTAGTGCTGATATTATCCCCACCTGAGCATCCTCATAATATCGTTTCGGACGCGCTCGGAATAGTTCCTCTTGGCGTCCGATTCGTTATAGTTGTTGATGCTGTTCTGATTCCACTCGTGTTGCGTGTAGCGGGTATAGAGGGCGGCGCGCGCTGCGTGCTCTGGGCTGCGGTCGAACCCGGTCACCAGGTTCGGGAACCGCAGCGGCTCGGCCGCCATCCCGGCCGGCGTGTAGCACGGGTCTACCATGGTGTTTGTTATTGGTTGGGATGGCCTAAAAACATATTGTTAACTAGTATTTTGCGACCCCCTATTCCCTTTGGTTCCTAACCTGTAGGTATATATTTTTTTAAATTATAAATATCACATTCCTAAAATTTTATTTATTATCATAATTAGGTATCGGTTAAATACAATAAAATAAATAATACATCATGAAATATCCAAAACGGACATCAATTACGTTGTGAAGTGTCTCTATAGAAAAGCGATACGACAATATTAGAGTTAAATAGTTAACAATACGTGCATTGCGGCTTTCTGCGATGTCCTTGTAGAGGCTTGGGGACGTCCAGTGAATCGCGACCTACACTTCGAAAAACAATGTCATAGACAATCCTTCAACATTAGACAGGCCGCATGCTTGACATCAGTATAAAAAATATTTGCAACAAAGTATCATTCAAATAACGCTGTGTTGACTTTCCTGAAGTTTAAAAAAAAAAAATGGGACTTACATGGGTGTAACTTCAATCTCCTCATATCCCATGATAGGTCTCCACGGATGCTTCTTGGGCGAATGAAAACAGTACCCAACCTGCGGTGGCACGCTCGGAGTACCCGCAGTTTCTTTCACGGGACTCCATTGTTGGAGTTGCTATGAAAAATTACAATTTTTAATTTCTAAATACCTTATGTTAACCAAAGACTGGAAAAGTGGCTATATAAAATGAAGAAATAAATTATACTGTGTATTTACCGTACACATTGATACTTCCTTAGCCATTACAAATAATTTTATTAACGAATAGAGTAAATAAAATTGTAATACTGAACTGAATATTTGTTGCTACATTGAGAATGAAAAAGAAGTAAAAATTCAAAATGTTTATTTTTCGTGGCTAATGTGCCCGGTTGTGCAACATAAAGAAAATGACCAGCGACTGTATAATTAAATGTCAGTTCTAAGTCAAGCCAACTATACTTTATTATAAACTCGATCGATAATAATGTTTAATCAAAATTGCTTATAAAATAGTAATTATATATTTGTTTGTAAATAAAATATTTTACAGCGTTGATTTTACTTTTAGGAAACATTTTTTTAATTTAATAGGAAATGAAATTATCTCTGAAGATTTCAAACGTTGTTTACAGGTTATCCAATCGACGAAAGAATCTAATGAGATTTGATTGGATGTAACTAGACGTTTTCGTTGTCAGGTTTCTATTATGTCAATGTCAAATGATTCGCTAACGTTGACAATGAATCCAAAGTGAATTTGTCGAATTGTCTCGCTGTCTTATGTTTTTTATTTGGCTTAGCTTAGCACTTTCTTAATGTTTTCCTTTTGTTTAAAAAAGCCAAATTTAGCTAAAGACCGCAATTAAAAAATAGTATGAGTGACATTCCAGAAAATGCGCCTCAACGTAAGCATTTCGTTAAAAAATTAACGAAATAGATTCTTTTGCAATAAGTTATTCACTCTTCAAAATCTTTTAGATTGTCCTGGTACCGAGAGCCAAGATGCTGGTAAAGCGTCAGCATGTGCTGGGTGCCCTAACCAGAATATATGTGCCTCTGGTAAGTGTTTTACTTTAAATAGACATTATAACAATTGCCTTGCCAAGTTAAATCCCTCTAAAATTATTGCACCAATATAAAACTTTTATTTTAATTAAAAAAAAAAGAATTCCTTTTGTATAGATAAGAAATTTAAAACTAGACTTATAAATAAACTTATATTTCTTTACCAATTATTTAGAGAAGGCAGAGAGAACAAAGTGTTAATATTCTTATCTTTTAATCATGTTATCTGTAGTGGCTGTATTACTAACGTATGCACTGTATATTATATTCATCGTATCCAAACAAATATAAATTTATTTTATTATTAATGAATTTAAAAAGAGTAACTGTATATGGTTGATGGCTAGAGAACACAGTCCGGTGTTAAATCCACCAATTTTACTGTGCAATAAAATTTAAATAAAAATAACTTCTGAGTAAGCTTGTAAACAGATTTATTTAAATAAAGATGATTAATATTCTATCATCAGCTATTTATCCCTAAAGAGAATATATATATATATATATATATATATATATATATATATATATATATATATATATATATATATATATATATATATATATATTATATATTATACAACTTAAAATGGCAAACAAGCTGACGGCCCACCTGATGGAAAGTTGTAACCGTCGCCTATAGACATGAACAGTACCATAGACATAATATACTGTTTCGCCCATGATACCCCCCATGCTTTGCCATTCCTGAGGACTCAGGTGTTATTCCTCTGTACCCTGTAAATTCACGCCATATCCCACCCTTAAAACCGAAACACAGCCATGCAAACACGACTGCTTCACGGTTGAAACACGAATGGGACAGAGGTACCCAAGCAATCGACTTTTGTACAGTCTCCCTCTGGTATATGTTTTATTATATTGTAATATTGCTATATATAATTGAATGTAATTATAAATATCAGGGGATTTACTGCAATGAATATTAATGTTATAAAGTATTACAATTTATTATAATGACAATTTATTATTTGTTTATTCTGATGGAAGATAAAGAGCATTAATAAATGTATAATAATACTTCAGTGTCATTAACATATGATAATAATGTTATTCATTTATATGATAGGATATGAATGTGAACTGTGACTTATCAATGTCACTGAATTAAGCAGTGTGATTATAATAAGGTACATTATAATCTGTTTTCTTATACTTAGCTCATTTAGTAAATAATCTTAGCTTGTTGTTTTATCAAATTAATGTATTATTTTAATATATATTATTATTATTACTAGATGACCCAGTGTTTAAGTCAACAAATATATAGATAGATAGATAGATAATTTATTTGCATCACTTACAGCACACAAACAGCAAAAGATACAAAAGCAAAGTGAAAAAAGATAAAAAAAGATACATGTACAAAAGATTAAAAAAAAACCAAAAACAAAATCAGAATGCATTAAATTAGTAAAAATTTTTTTTTCTTCATGCGTGTGCCACAGTAATACAAAATGGCCACAACTCAGCTTTATATGGCAACTTTATACATGGCAACTGGTGGAAACCGCTGTGTCGCCATTACCAATCTGCAATAAGTGCATTGTAATGTGTGTGCTTATATAATTAAATAATTTAACTATAACTACAACTGCTTTTCACTTCAAGTCTAACAAATTTGGTGTCAAAACCCGGGAATATAAGAGAACTATATAACACCTAGGAAACACAATCTAAGGCACCATATCTCTAAATTTTTGTCTAAAATTATAATTTCTATTTGATATAGCAGCAAAATCTTTATCTGAAAAAGCTAATATGAACTAATTTTGTAATAGATTTAAGTCCAAATTTTATTAGAATTTTAGTTTATGGTGTTCAATAAAACAGTTAATAAAAATTAAATTATCAAATTAAATTATAAAATTAAGTGATAGGTCTAGAGAAATGACATCTCAGAATTGACCCAATGGGCCACAGTGGTTAACAAAATAAAAAACTGTACAAGTTAGAGTATATATTTATAACATTTTATGAAATCAGTTGAGTAATTTCTGAAATTAGTGTGAAAAAACATGGGATTTTTATTTATTAAAAATTTCGAGTCTGTTTTTCAATGACTAAATTCAATAAGAACATATATTAAGGTTATTATTTATTGTGTTAAGAATATAAAAAACAGATTGTTAAACTAAATATGTAGTAAAATCACAAAAAAATGACATTTCAGGGTAGTCATGTCTGTAGGCGACGGTTACCACTTTCCATCAGGTGGGTCGTCAGCTTGTTTGCCATTCTAAGTTGTTTAAAATAAAAGTCAAAAACAAACAAATTTAAAAATTTGTTTTTGACTACCCTATCAAAGATTAGAATCCTGAGTATGTTTCTTTTATTTTTTAATTATAAGAGTTTGGAAAAAAAAATATTTTACATCACTTGTAGACTCAATTACTATAAACTATTAGTATAATATTAATACACTATGATGCCTATGGTACAGTTTGTATCTATAGACAAGTATTACCACATTTCTTCAAGAAAACTGTTAGCTTGTTTGCCATTTCATGTTGCATAAAAAAAGTTTTATTTATAAATAAGTAAATATTGATATTTTAACAGGAGCAGCCTCCTTACCGGACCCAGCCATAGATATAATTAAAAACAGACTATCAAATGTGAAGCACAAGATATTGGTACTGTCGGGCAAAGGTGGAGTGGGAAAAAGCACAGTCACATCACTATTGGGGCACGGACTGGCTGCTAAGAGTCCTGATATTAATGTGAGTCAATTATCAAGTAATGTCTTTAAATCTTCATTATGGGAAGTTGTTCTATACAGATAGATGGCTCATAATTTTTATTTTTGTAGAACATATTTAGGTAAATATATTTACAGAAACCTTATAATTTAGAATATTTTACAAAAATAACATTAACCCTCACGATATAATCTTCAATGGGTCAATCAAAAATTATTTTGCATTATTGTGGCAAATATAATGCTAGATACACCCACATTTCACCAAACATATTTGAACCCATCTTGACAGGGTGCAAGCTTTATGCCACACTTGTTTTCTATCACTGGAGAATTAATGGGAAATTTAAATTGGCAAGCTACATTTCTATGTCAGCCAAATTACAACTAACCAGGTGTGGTATAACATCATACCTCCTTCATATGCTATTTATCATCTAAATCACTTGTTATGACATAACATCTATCGTGATTACATTAACATTAAATGATCTCTATTAAAACGTGCATTACAAAGGATTCATGAATATCAAACGAAGACAGTGCCAATCAAACGAAGCCGTAGAACATCTCGCATAGTACATCTAATAGTTACTAATGTATAACGAATATTTTGCAATGGATACGGTAGTAGCAACTTTTAGTAAAGATATTATTTTCAGAATTTAACAATTAGTGTCACAGGCTAGTAGAAAACTACCACAATACAATTTCCAAGGTACCTGCCTTTTTACCAGAGGGAGACTGTACAAAAGTCATTTACTGGGGTATCTCTGTTCTATTCGTGTTTCTACCGTGAAGCAGTTGTTTGAAGGGTGGGATATGGCGTAAATTTACAGGGTACAGAAGAATAACACCTGAGTCCTCAGGAATGGCAACTCATGGGGGGTATCATGGGCGAAACAGTATACTCTCTTATGTCCATGGTACTGCTCATGTCTTTAGGCGACGGCTACTACTTTCCATCAAGTGAGTCGTCAGCTTGTTTGCCATTCTAATTTGTATAAAAAAAAACTTACTAGTCTTTATCCGCGACTATGTCCGCGTGATCGTGATAAAAAATAATTTATGTCCACCATCTCAAATTGTATTTATGTGTTAAATTTTATGGCAATTGGTTGAGCCCTTGACGTGCTAAGAGTTGCTTAACCAACACTCACTTTCATATTCGTTATATTAAGAAAAACTGACGTATTACCCTGTTATATCTGGACCTTCTCTCCTGCTCACTTCCGAACTCCATTTACACGTGTTCAAAAAGTAAACATGTGGAGCAGACACGTCTATTGATCCCGGGGGCTCGACTCGGAAGATTTTGCAAGCCAGCGCGGCGCCGTGGGCGAAATGGTACCGCCTGGTACCGGCTCACGGATCACGTGCTTCCTACTTGCCCTTTATATAGGTCAGGTATTATGAGCCTGGCATGCAAATTTTTGACCTACATTCTGTAGAAAAATGACGGTTTTTATGTAAAAAAGTGCCCTATGAAATAATCTCTTGTGAATTAGTCTGATACTTTTGTCTACTATTACTGTTTCGCCATAGAGAACCTAACATTGGCATGTCCACATTTCGCCGAATATATTAGAATCCAAAATGGCATGGTAAGCCTACTGTCGTCACTCGATTCAGGGCAATTGGCCTATCGTAATGAATTTATCAAAAATTAAGCACGATGGTATTCAGGCGTGTAAAGATCGACCGGCATGATATATTACGAGCCATGGGGCCACTAGCCTCATCAGAAATTAAATATGATGGTTTAAAGGAGAGACCGCGTGGAGGTCGACCAGCCTGGTATTTTTTTTTTGATGGGTGAAAATGGAATGGTAGCCTCTGCGCTATCGACATACAATGGCGGGCCACCAGTGATAGATGACTAATGTGGATGAAAGCAGGTCAGTTAGCCCATCCTGACGAATTGAACTAGAATTAGTCACGATGGTTTCCAGGGGGAACCGCGAGGAGGTGGACCTGGTTGGGTATATTGCTAGTAATAGGGCTATTTGACTCCTTTATTAACAATCCCTTTCCCACCCGGCCTGGTATATTATGAGCTGTGGGGTCCCTAGTCCCCATTACTAACGAACTTAGTTAGTAGTGTTATAATAAAAATGGACCATTTTCAGGTAGGCATCCTGGACGCGGACATCTGCGGGCCGAGCCAGCCGCGGGTGCTGGGCGTCCATGGAGAGCAGGTCCACAACTCGGGCTCCGGATGGTCGCCGGTTGTAAGTATGGTTTTTTTTTTGTTTACTGGTCATATCTTATCTTAATCATTCTACAGTAAAGCCATAAACGTTGACCATGATATCGACATTTTTGGTAAATCTTTAGTGCAGTTTACTAAGCTTATTAATAACTAGCGGCCCGTCCCCGCGTCGCACGGGTGGACATTTTTACATTTTAAAAAGTGACCATTAAGGCTGCACACGCGACGGAAGCTTAAAAATGAAGTAACTTCTCCCGTTTTCCCAACATTTCCCTTCACTGCTCTGCTCCTATTGATCGTAGCGTGATGAAAAATATATCTATTTTTTTTTATACAACTTAGAATGGCAAACAAGCTGACAGTCCATCTGATGGAAAGTGGTAACCATCGCCTATAGACATGAACAGTACCATGGACATAACAGAGTATACTGTTTCGCCCATCATACCCCCCATGCGTTGCCATTCCTGAGGACTCAGATGTTATTCCTCCGTATCCTGTAAATTCACGCCATATCCCACCCTTCAAACCGAAACACAGCCATGCAAACACAACTGCTTCACGGTTGAAACACGAATGGACAGAGGTACTCAAGCAATCGACTTTTGTACAAAGTCTCCCTCTGGTATTGTTTTAATATTCTTTTTTTTTTTACTGTTTCAGTACGTGACTGATAATCTGTCATTGATGTCAATTGGATTCTTGTTAGGCAGCCCCGACGACGCTGTCATATGGAGGGGGCCTAAGAAAAATGGTAATTATAGCGTATTGTGTAGTGTAGTGTAGTGAAACTACGCAGAATTGCAAAGCAGGCATCTGCCGATTCATAAAACAATAAAAAAATCTTTGTTTTGTTTTTTTTTTTTCAAGCAACTTAGAATGGCAATCAAGCTCACGGCCTACCTGATGGAAAATGGCAACTAGACCGTCACCTATAATCGTGAGACATAAGCAGTACCATGGACATAACAAAGTATACTGTGTCCGTCCATGATCTTATGATTCGTTGCCATTCCTGAGAACTAAGGTGTCATGCCTCTGTTCTCTGAAATTTTACTGCCACCACCCTTCACTGAAACAGCCGTGCAGACACAACTGCTTCACGGTAGAAACACGAATGGGAGAGAGGTACCCAAGCAAACGTCTTTTGTATAAAATCGCGCTCTGATTTCTGAATATTTATAGAAGATATCCCACCAGAGGGAGATTTTGTACAAAAGTCGATTGCTTGGGCACCTCTGTCCCATTCGTGTTTCAACCGTAAAGCAGTTGTGTTTGCATGGCTGTGTTTCGGTTTGTAGGGTGGGATATGGCGCGAATTTACTGGGTACAGGAATAACACCTGAGTCCTCAGGGATGGCAACGCATGGGGGGGTATCATGGGCGAAACAGTATACTCTCTTATGTCCATGGTACTGCTCATGTCTATAGGCGACGGTTGTCACTTTCCATCAGGTGGGCCGTCAGCTTGTTTGTCATTCTAAGTTGTATATAAAAAAAAATCTTAAATTGAAATATTGTTATTTATTGTTTAGGTATGATCAAACAGTTCCTCAGTGAGGTGGATTGGGGAGAATTGGACTACTTACTGATCGACACACCACCAGGTAAATTATGCCAATTTATATTTATTTATATTTCCCTCATCATTTTAGCTGTTTACTGTCCACTGCTGGACATAGGCTTCCCCCTTACAGGTAGGGAGGGAAGGGGACGACCGCAGTTAGGCTTTGATGGTGTTTGAAGGACGCTGTTGCCAATCTCTCAATTATTACTTACTAACATAATATCAAATTTTTGTTCCTTTACTGATCAAAAACTTGTAATTAGCTCTCTGTTTTTATTATTGTTTCTATAGAGAAATTGTAGCTTAATATTTTTTATATACTACAACTTAGAATGGCAAACAAGCTGACGGTCCACCTGATGGAAAGTGGTAACCGTCGCCTATAGACATGAGCAGTACCATGGACATAACAGAATATACTGTTTCGCCCATGATAACCCCCATGCGTTGCCATTTCTGAGGACTCAGGTGTTATTCCTCTGTACCCAGTAAATTCACGCCATATCCCACCCTTCAAACCGAAACACAGCTGCTTCACGGTTGAAACACGAATGGGACAGAGGTACCCAAGCAATCGATTTTTGTACAAAGTCTCCCTCTGGTAGATATATATAATATTCTAATAGAAGAAAGAGAAATTGTTTAAATTTAATAATAATATAATAAAAATAAATTGAAACAATTATATAAATAATTATATTCTTTGTTGCACTTGTAAATTGCATTGTTAATGCATTTATAAATATTGTGAGCAAGGGTGGACTTATTTGTCAAGTGTATAATAATATGATTTCTCACAATATCCGTCATCTTATATTCGCATATGGGCTCAGCTGAGCCGTTGCACGTCGACCCCTCGGGATTTGTTGTGCTTCCCCCTGCTTTATACCATCATTTTATAGATAGATAGTGTTACCCTAACGATATCCCGCTGTTTAAGATATCTGTAGTCCCCTGGCTCTGGATAAGCCATTCTCAGTAGACTCATGCGCATGCTCGCTAACGAATCACAGTTGCACATCAAGTGTTCCATGGATTCCGATTTCTCCCCGCACAGTCTGCACAGTGTGTCCGAAGATAGACCCATCTATATCAGTCATACGGCCTGTCTTTTTTTTTTCTTTTTTTTTTTTTTATAAATATTTTTTTTGTGTTGTTTCTTTATTATAATTCTTAATATATGGATTTTTTTTAACCCCTGTGTGGGTGTCGTCGCATATTTCTTGTAAAATAAAGTTTCTTTCTTTCTTTCTTTTCTGATGGCAGATAGCATGTGGACGCCTACTACGCCAGTAGCATTGTATTCACTACACTGGTTACGAAGTAACTTATTCATGTCTTTTTAAGAATCCATAGCTGTTAGTCTTTATATATATATACATATATACACATATATACATACGGTATACATATATATACATATATATATATATATTTCCACCTTGTTCACACACACACACAAACACGCGCGCGCGCGCGCATACACACATACAATAAGTGTAATGGAGGGGGGGGGGGGGTATTTAGTCATGGGGTCAAGCATCTTCACGATATACCCTATCAGGTCGCGGGGAAAGGGATTGTTAGTAATGAGATTTAACAGGTCCATTTCTAGCAATATCAAGTCGACCTCCACGCGGTTCAGCCTGGAAACAATCGTGATTAATTTTTGATGAATTCATCACGGTAGGCTGACAGACCTGCTTTCATCGTCACATATCATTCCTTACGGGTGCCTGGTTTGGGCCTATACCGTTAGTGCAGGTGGGGTTACTATTCCACTTTCATCCATAAAAATAAACCCCATTAGGTCCACCTCCGCATGGTCTCTGGGAAACCATGTTTAATTGGCAGTGATTATTTTTATTATTACGATCGGCTAACTGACCTAATTCTTCACGCCAATTCTCTTTTATGGTAGATATAAGTAAAAAATATGTAACATTCACCATTTGGCCATCGAAAGCACTTGTATTGTATCCTATATACTGTCACTGCAGGCACATCAGACGAGCACCTGTCCGCGGTATCCAGCATAGATTTCACATTTTTAATTTTAGTCGCGGGTCTACAATTATTAGAGTTTGATCTACTAAGAGAAATCATTTCACCTTGGCGAAAATCTATGTTAATAGCTATAGATGGGTGGTGTTTGTCTATCTTACTAAGTGGTTCAACGCTCACGATACTCACAACAAGTCGAATTCTTTCATTTGCATTGCCGGGCTGAGCGGCGCCACGCGTGGTGGTGAGCACGCCGCAGGAGGTGGCGCTGCTGGACGTGCGCAAGGAGCTGCAGTTCTGCCGGAAGGTCGGCGTCCCCGTGCTCGGCGTGGTCGAGAACATGTCGCTGTTCGTGTGCCCCAATTGCAAGGTATCGTGTTTCGTTAAAATAATAATTCGATCATATCGTTTATTTATATCAACTTGTAATTGTCCACTGCAAATTCCAATTTCAAATTATAGTACATTACTGCAGCGGCCAGCAACTGAAGCATTGATGGACGAACGTGCAAATGTGGGCCGAGGCGCAGCCGAGACACACATACGCGAGTCCATCAATGTTTAGTTGTGGCCAAGGCTTGTATAGTACTTTTCTCAAACAATGTGCGGAAATCAAAAACACAATTTTACTTTTTAAGTTCAATGAAAAATAATATGAATAAAGAACAATAATATTTCACGCGCCATAATGTTCCTTTGGTATTTTTTTTTTTTCAATAAACAGCTTTCTAATTATCAATTGGCTTTAATAAGCCAATTGATAAATGATATTGTATGTCCAATATTTATCATTATATCTGCTGAACATAGACCAACCCCATAAGGCGTCCAGTTTGGTAACTGTAACCACAGTTAAGTTATGGTGATGTTTTAAAAGGGATTCTGCTGCCCGTTTCTCGACCAATAGCTTCCCTTAGTCTCACGACACCCACATCCCTACCATCAAACAGTATTTATTTATTGTGACCTGCAGTTTACAGATGATTAAGCTTCAACATACTACAGCCAATTATAATTGTTGTATGTGTCAAATTATATACAATATTCATTTAATAAGTATATATCTTGATGATTAAATGATGATGATGATGATGTATGAATCATCATTTAAATTTTTTTATGCAACTTAGAATGGCAAACAAGCTGACGGCCCACCTGATGGAAAGTGGTAACCGTCGTCTATAGATATGAGCAGTACCATGGACATAACAGAGTATACTGTTTCGCCCATGATACCCCGCCATGCGTTGCCATTCCTGAGGACTCAGGTGTTATTCCTCTGTACCCAGTAAATTCACTGCGATATCCCATCCTTTAAACCAAAACACAGCCATGCAAATATAACTGCTTCACAGTAGAAACACGAATGGGATAGAGGTGCCCAAGCAAGTGGTTTTTGTACAAAGTCTCCCTCTGGTAAAACAAATATAGTTTATAAATATAGTTGCACTGATTGCGCAGAGTCGAAGCGAAATCTTCCCGGCGACGACGGGCGGCGCGGCGCAGATGTGCGAGGACCTCGGCGCCGCGCTGCTGGGCCGCCTGCCGCTCGACCCGCTGCTGGCGCGCTGCTGCGACCAGGGCACCGACTTCCTGCAGGCGCTGCCCCACTCGCCTGCCGTCGTCGCGCTCAACGATATCGTTGACAGTGAGTCGCTTGTCCCAGGGGCTGGTCCCATGCACTTTATAAATAACTACTATTTATCATGTAATACCATTACATAGCACTTAAATGGCGAAACTAATTAATTCATAAAGGTATTTTTAGGGAACTGATTTAGTATTTTTAGATCCTAAATCGCTCTGAGTAGCCAGAACTAAGGCAGGTAGGCTAGGTAATTCACTAATCGCTTTTGTCAGAGAAAACATGTCAAAAGTTGACTATAAATATCGTGCAATGTTTGGTTATTGCAAACTGCGAGATACGTACTTTATGTAATACTATAAAAATAAGGAATTTTTAGTAGAAATAACAATAGAGTAATTTATTCAAAAAACCAATGTACAAAATTGAAATAAGGGATAATCATACAAAAAAGAGCATTAAATTAAATTGAATAATTAAAAAAAATATATTTTACAATCAACAATGTCAACTTCATCCGTAATATATATGTATGTCAAATTTATTTTTAATTCTGGCTTTTATGTTAGTCACCAGTACAAAAGTCATGTACGGAGTAATAGCATTTTTCCAATAAAAGGGATCGTAATTTAATTTCTAAAAGAAAGTTTACTTAGAAATTCACTAATAATACTGCTATTCAATAATAACCCAAGCATTAATCAATCGGCAATTATACCAGAAGGAGATTTTGTACAAAAGTCGTTTGCTTGAGCACCTCTATCCTATTCGTGTTTCTACCGTGAAGCAGTTGTGTTTGCATGGCTGTGTTTCGGTTCGAAAGGTGGGATATGGCAGTGAATTTACAGGGCATAGAGGAATATCACCTGAGTTCTCAGGAATGGCAACGCATGGGGGGTATCATGAGCGAAACAGTACACTCTGTTATGTCCATGGTACTGCTCATGTCTATAGGCGACGGTTAACACTTTCCATCAGGTAGGTCATCAGCTTGTTTGCCATTCTAAGTTGCATAAAAAAAATCCATTACCTTAAGGTTGTCTTGCAAAGATTGCTCTCAGCAATAAGACCGCCTCACTGTACTTATACAATTGTATCGTTGTGTTTGTAAATTGTCTTGCTTATTTCCTATATTGTATAATGCAAATAAAGTATACTCATTCATTCATTCATTGAAATAAATATATTCTTACACTCTTAAACATACACAAGTAAGGTTCTTAATCTATGATACACACATACATATATACATACATATCTGTCACGCCTGTCTCCCATTAGGGTAGACAGACACAATGGAACGCCAAATGCTTCGATACAAACAAACCTCTTTCTCTTCTTCCACATTCATCAATCTTATTTATACATTAATAATCTATGATCTTAAAAAAATATCCTTTTAATATTTTAAAAACTTTATTTGTTCCAGAAATAATATCAGCCTGTGAAAGTACTTGAAGTTGAATTAATCGTCGACCAGTGAAGCCTTAATATTATAACTTAAGACTAGTCAAAAATTCAGGTGTTACACCTTGTATTAAAAACGTTGGGATAATATTATTGAAATATTATATTTTCTTTGTAATTAAAATTCAATATGAAATAAAGTAACCCATCTTTTTTTTCTATTAAGTGAAAAAATGTTTTTGTACATCATATTTTTTGTTGATGGATGATAATGGAATGGTAAATACCTGTGCTATCGGTATACACTGCCGAGGCACCAGTGACGGATGATTGGTGATGATGAAAAGGCAGGTCAGTTAGCCTATCATGACAAATTAATGATAAATTAATCACGATGGTTTCCAGGAGGAACCGCGTGGAGGTCGATCTTATCAGGTATATTGATAGCAATGAGGCCTAACCCCATTACTAACAATCCCTTTCCCCCTATACATAATATTTGTACGATTCTACGTACGAGTTAGGATTCCTAATGTAGATTTACTATCTGTAAATATAAATTAGAGAGATTCTTATTCCTGTAAATCTCAGCTTACTGGAAGCTTATTATGACTTGATTATCAATCCTTACATTCAACTGCCTCGCCATAGTATTATATTATCTATATACGGATTGTGCTCAGAGGAATTGTTCAATATGATGTCCACGGCCACTTTCTAGCATTGAACGGCTCGTCATCGACAGGGAATTCATCCTCATGTACTACAGCCTCAATGGTCGCGTACTGCGCGGTTTCAGAGATGTTTTCTCCCACAAACACTCAGTTTATAGAATGAGTCAAGGTTATTCTAAGAGACTACAGCATGGAATTCTTCAAAAGGAAAGTAAAGAGGTTTCCTCAGGGTCGGCAACGTGCGAATAATACCCCTGGTATTGCAGGCGTTCATAGACTACGGTAACCGCTTAATGTATTATAATTTTATTTTACAGAACTGTTTACCTATTATTTCTAAAGTAATCTGTCTCGTATAATTTGTGGTTGGCGTATTTTTTTAATGAATAGTAATGAAATGGTAACCCCACCTGCGCTAACGGTACACACTGGCACCAGTGAGGCATGATAAATGAGAAAGAAAAAGCAGGGCAGTTAGCCCATCGTTATGAATAAACTTGAAACCAGAGGGAGACTGTACAAAAGTCGATTGCTTGGGCACCTCTGTCCCATTCGTGTTTCAACCGTGAAGCAGTTGTGTTTGCATGGCTGTGTTTCGGTTTGAAGGGTTGGATATGGCGTGAATTTACAGGATACGGAGGAATAACACCTGAGTCCTCAGGAATGGCAACGATGATGGGCGAAGCAGTATACTCTGTTATGTACATGGTACTGATCATGTCTATAGGCGACGGTTACCACTTTCCATCAGGTGGGCCGTCAGCTTGTTTGCCATTCTAAGTTGTATAAAAAAAAATTTAACACAATAGTTTCCAGGGGGGACCACGTGGAAGTTGACCTGACTTACGCATTACTAATAATCCTTCCCTGACCAAATGTCTTTAAGGTAAATATTTTGCCATAATTACTTATCTTTACTATCAGTTTCATCTAATTATTCATGTATCCGTGTGGTCCCAGCATAGGATGAGCTACCTCTTCCTTTCCTACAGGTGTCGTAAGAGGTAACTAAGGAATGTTAATGGTCAAGGGATAGGCAATAGCGTCTCTCTTATAATATAACCAAAGCCTAACTACGGTTTCCAACCCCCTTGCAGAGCGGGGCAACTACTGGGGTAAAACTCCCCTTACGGGGGTCACCTATGTTCAGCAATGGATAACGGGTGATATGTTGAAGACTATCCTTACCAATATTATAAATGTGAAAGCGAGTTTGTTTATTTGTTACCTTTTGACGGCTTATTTATCACTATGAAATTAATTATACACGTACTATATGATATGTATCAGAATATAAATTATTTTTATCCTGATTAGTAAAGATATCATGGTCCGCGGAAGAAGTCGCGGGTAAAAGCTGGTATTGAATTAAAATGAGGCAAAGGTTTAACGCACTACACAACACTTATGTGTTGTCAGAATGACACACCACACGTGACAATGACAGCGGTAATCTAATGTCAACTGTCAGTCATCTGAAGAAAATCATGTATCTTCTTCAAACCAAAGCTTTTAATTGAAAATTCGAATTTTCGAGAATATAAATTACAATACTTTCTTTCCTGTTACGTAAATAGTCACTAGATTATTTTAAATAAATTTATTAGTTGTCTTTTATTTTTTAAAAGCAACATTAATATCATTGGGATCTATTGCATCACCAATAAATTGTCTTACATGGGCATAATTATAGTAAATACCCGAAAGAAATGCCTTCTCATGGAATCGATGAAGAGGAAAAACCATGCAGAGCGTGTACGGATTTCAAAACTTGGGCTAAAAAGCAAAACAGGGTTACATCTCCCTCGCCGAGTAAACAGGTGAGGTTATAGTGCGATATTGATAATATTATCTCGTTTAAAATCATATCTTATGACTTAAAAATACACCAAGGTTACTCATTAATTATACTAATTGTCAATTTATTATTTTTAAAATTGATACCACAATATAGTGTATTTAACACTTGTTTGTTTTATTGTTTGTATTTGTTATACCAATTTGTATATATATTGGTCACTATATCTAAAAGATTACCCAACTTAATAGCTTTAGAGCTGCTTGTACTATTAAAAATTAAATAACAAATCTTTTATTTCTATATAGCACAGTTTTATAATACAGGATAATTTTAAGCACATTCCAATCTTTAATATTTTTGTCACTAAAAGAAATAAGGTGTAGAATAGTACATTTCAAGAACTTGATACTTTATGGTCTAAAAATAATACTCAGAACTTACTTAGATGGAGAGTAATAAGTTAATCTGTCAGTTTGCAAACAAAATGATATCTTTACAATTTATTTCAGGATATACCTAAAAGAACAGATTGCCCTTTAGACAAAGATGAATTGGGACGGTCATCCTGGGGATTCCTGCACTCTATGGCATCATATTTCCCAGAGAAGCCCACACACTCACAGTCAAGTGACATGGCTAGATTCTTCAACATCTTTGCACAATTCTATCCATGTGAACCGTGTGCTTTAGACTTTCAAGAAGAGTAAGTGATATAATGACTATTACTGGCACACTTAAAAAAGAACATCCAAACATAAAACACCATTTTAGTCCATAGGATTAGCAACCCATGATGTAAGATGGGTGTCAGTGTATAATGTGGTGTTCATTTCTATAGATGATAGTTACTACTTTCTATCATGTTGGCTCATCAGCTTGTTTGCTATTTCAATTGTATGAAAAAATCTCTTGTTGTATATCCATTTGTTTTTTTAATTTTTAATGTAAAAAAGTTTTATTATTTATAAATTGACTAAATAATTTTTAAGAACTAAGTCTCTGTGTACTTGTTACTCTGTGTAGTTATTAATCTTTTTTTTTATCTGCTGATTTTAATATTTGTTTTCAGCATAAAAAAGAACCCACCAAAAACAAGCTCCAGAGACGAGCTGGCAAAATGGCTGTGTGAACGTCACAATACTGTAAATGTTAAACTTGGTAAACCCAAATTTGACTGCAGCAAAGTACACGAGAGGTGGCGAGATGGCTGGCTCGATGGTTCCTGTGATTAATAAAGTCACTTTGTAAGAAAAATGTTGCCATAATATATGCCATTATATTTATTTTATATTGAATAATTAAAATATACCCAAGTTACCCAATAAAGGTCTAAAAACTACCAATTTAGAGGTATTATAATAATTTTTTTATTCACTTGGTAAATATCAAATATCTACAATTTAAACATTTTAAGAAATAAAATGGCAACATTTTTTATTGATATGTTAGTACAATAAATTAGTGTTGCTCGGTTTTAGTATGAGATTTTAAAGGATTTTTGTTGCTGTACACTTTACAATTTTGTGTAATTGTGCATTTTGTAAAAAAAAGTAGTTCAAGTTTTATAATGTATTTTGTATATAGATGTATGTGAATGCGCACATGTTTCTGAATATATGACTTATTAAAATAACTCTATTGAGTCGAAACTCGTATTTCTGTAACCTTTTATTTTAATATCGAGGAGGAAATCGTTTATCTATTTTTTTTTAATAGATGTAAATGGAATGGAAACCCCACCCGCGCTAACGGTATACACCGACGAGGCACCAGTGGAAGATGATAGGTGAGAATGAATGCAGGGCAGTTAGCCCACTATAATGAATTCGACAAGAATTAACCATGATGGTTTCCAGGGGGAACCGCGTGGAGGTTGACCTGATAAGGTCAATTGCTAGCAACGGGGCTATTAGACCTCATTACTAACAATCCCTTTCCCCCAATTTTATTTATCATCGTACAATATAGGCAGATAAAACTGAGTACCAATCACCTCACAATATCGTTCATTTCATTCACTTTCATTTCTTATTCATACCTGAAATTTCTTCCTCTAACAACATAGATCGATTTTGAGGCGACAAGAGGGGGGGGGGGGAAAGGATTGTTATTAATGCCAACTGCTTGTTCCCATTGCTAGCAATATACTCTGTCAGGTCGACATCCACGTGGTCCGTCCTGGAAACCAATTTGCTGAATTACAAGCGTATTCATCACGATAGGCTAATTGACCGGCGTTTCCATTGCTACTTATTATCTCTCACTAGTGTCTCTGCTAGCGTATACCGTTAGCGCAGGCGGGATTACCATTTCATTATCATAAAAAAAAATTATCAGTCTATCTCTCACTAGAATCCCATCGTCTATACTGCCAGTGTATCCCATCATGATGGGCTAACTAGCGTTTTCATTCTCATCTATCACCCTTCACTGGTGCTCCGCCAGCGTATCCCGTTAGCGCAGGCGGGGTTACCATACCATTTTCATCCATCAAAAAAAAAAAAATATAAAAAGAAACTACAATATTATACTATTGTAAAAAAGTTTATTCAAAAGTAGAAAGTCCCAGTAACATTTAACAACGATGTCAGTACATTTACATTATATCATGGGTAAATAAACCTTACAATTCATTTAAATTTACCATCACGTTTTACATGTCCAGATATTATCCACTCTGAAAATATTGACACACTTTTCATATTAGTAAACCACCATAAAAAATACGATCAATCCATCATTATCTTGATGCGAACAAGGTGTTTTAATTCTAGATTTTTAATGGTGAATTGAGACTAAACAAATAGAACAAAATACCTAAAATATAGAAAAGAAAACTACGAAATTATTTAGTGATGCAATCAAGCAAACAAAAATATGCCTTCAGCATTTTATACTAAATTGGTGAATGAAAGAATGGGGCCGATTCTGAGGCTATATAATAATAATAATAACAGAGACATAACATGTAATTGTTGCATACACATAGCCATAGGTGCGTGAGCATGCACATGCATATGCACGCATGGGCGCGCACACGCACACACACACAAACTCTCACACTGCACTTACTTGGTCTCGGCCCGTAAGTGCAGTATACGTAAAGTAGCGTATATACCAACTAACGCTGAGTTTGCATAAAAATTATAATATTTCTTTATTACTTGACTGGAAGTGATCTCTGTCAGAGATAAGTCCACCCTTGCTCACAATATTTATAAATGCATTAACAATGTAATTTACAAGTGCAACAAAGAATATAATATATTATAGATTATAAAGATCCAACAAAAATGGATCTTAATGGATAATAATAAAACTATTATTATTGTGAATTAAATCTATTGGAGAATTAGTTTACATTGTTTCTTACTATAAAGATTCCGCAGTGATATCGAAATGGAATTTAAATTTTAGGATTTAGTTTAGAAAAATGGCGCCTCAAAATCGATCCCACTGTCCGACTTCTTGCTTGATCTAAACACAACTTTGTATGTTAACGTGACGAGGGAATCTAATATGACCAATTATTGGTAATAAAAACGATGAACGAAAATAAAACGATGCACATTTTGAATTATAGATCAAGTAGGTAGTTTTTCTTAACAATTTATAAAATAAATCGATTGAAACCTAGCTAGCTAGTTAACAAAACGTCTCTAACAATTCTGCAATTTGGCATAACAGCGACAGGTTCACTTTACGAATTATCATAGAAAACGTTCAATTTTATGAATGGAATAGAAACAATCTTTTAAAAGAAACTTGAAAATATAAGTCGGCCACGATGCGTCTGGTGGACCATCAATCTATTATGTACTTTAATGAGGGTAGCAATAAAGCATATATTTTAAACAACCCTTTTATGACTTGAATATGAACTTATTGACATTATTATATTAAATGTCAAATTGGAAATGTGAATTCAAATCTTGTAATGGGTGGACATTTTATTTACCACATAGACCTAAATTGTGTTAATGACATATTCAAATAACTTGAAACAAATCATGCTTACTATAATGCCAGACTGGTCGTTGGGCTCCCTAAACTACGGTTGAGCGCAATGATGGCAGGCTTATCCGTCATACTCGTGAACGGGTGCTGACCTGCTCTTGTTTATTTTACATTTAATAATAACTAATTACAGTCACAATATCCTTATACATTTGTACATAAACAAATTGAAAAGAGTAACTGTTGGAGTTTTTTGCTGGTTCTTGTCAGCAGACAACATTCCGCACCCAGCAGTATGTAATTAAAAAAAAGTTGATTTAAAAGGACTTGTAACAAGTTTATTGAAAAAAAAAATCTATTCTATTAAATTCTAACGATAAATGTGGCCATTTAGATCACAAAGTGCTTTAGTACAGAGTCAATCATTGCAATTGTAAATCAGTCATTTTGCATGACACTGGAATTCGACTTAAAACTAAAAAAAAATATCTTACATAACTAAGAACCTAGGACACTTGAATAGTAGCTTGCAATTTAATTATATTGTAAAGAAACTAAATAATGTAGAATAAATCAACTAAATCCGTTACTCTGTAACACTAGATCTCAGTTCATAATAAACGTAAATTTATAAACAATGATTAAGTGAACAATTTTGTACTTTACATCTTTCGAAATGGAATTATTAAAAAAATTTTTTTTTATTCAACTTAGAATGGCAAACAAACAGACGGCCCACCTGATGGAAAGTGGTAACTGTCGCCTGTAGACATGAGCAGTACCATGGACATAACGGAGTATACTGTTTCGCCCATGATACCCCCCATGCGTTGCCATTCCTGAGGACTCAGGTGTTATTCCTCTGTACCCCGTAAATTCACGCCATATCAAATAACACACCTGATAAATGAAAATTAGTGTTTAGAAACTACATTTGACAACGAATATGTTTTTAGCTATTTTATATAACATTAATAATCCTGTTGTAAGAATTAATTTTTTTTTATGAACGCCCATAAATAGAGATTATATATATATAAATGCTAGTTACGTTTCTTCCTTATCAGATGGTGAACGAAATTTGGCCTGTATTTTAAATACACAATCGGGACTTAACGCGATTTATTAATTAAATAGATAAATATCTAATTAATTAAAACATTTTAAGAAATAAAATGGCAACATTTTTTGTTGATATAACAGTACAATAAACTAGTGTTGATCGATTTTAGTTTGAGAATTTAAGTGATTGTTGCTGTACACTTTACAATGCTGTGTAATTGTGTATTTTGTAAAACAAAATACAGCGTTTTTCAAGGCACTTTCTTCCACGCACAACCATTCTTTGGAATCAACTTGCAGCAGCAGTATTTCCGAACCGATACGACAACGTAACCTTCAAGAAAAGAGTTTATTCCTTTTTAAAAGGCCGGCAGCACACCTGCAATGCCGCTGGTGTTGTGGGTGATCATGGGCGGCGGTAGTCACTTACCATCAGGTACCAGTTTAATAATGAATTTTGTATATAAATGTATGTGAATATGCACAAGTTTGTGAATTTATGACGCAAAAGCTTTATATTTATCGACAATATAGATGCAGGTATATATACCTACCTACATACATGTAAAAGCTTTTACATCGCCTTAAGTCCCAATTGTGTATTTAAAATATGTGTACACAACGCGAAAGTTTAAAATTAACTAAACTTGGCATGTACTGTAACAACGATTAATAGAACGAACAAGTTGTTAGGAAAAAAAAAACAATTTTTATGTGTGTATGTCAATTGTTATTGTCCTTTAGCAATTATATATATATATATAATAATCTCTATTCGTCTTATGTGACCGATATATAAAATAGCCTGTCTTTTTTCTATCGCATTTATAAAAAAATTAACCATAATGAACCAAGATGTAACAGACTTCTCTTTGATCTTTCTACATTAAAAACATCACTGTGGATTACTTATAAATGACTTATTTTGTTAAGTGATACTTAAAGTTGCCAGTTATCATAATTAAAATGATAGATTACGTAATCGTACAGTGTACTACAGTATACTTATAATTGGAACATCAACAAATGCTGATATAAAATCACAAAACGCCACAAGCGCGCTGCATGCGGCCACATCACGTGGCGTGCGGTGGTCCCCGCTCGGCGTGCGAGGCTCACTGTCTGGGTTGCTCTCATAAGAACTCCATCTCCCTCTCGATGCCCACGAATTTGAGTTGCTCCGTTGGCCCGTATCTGTAAATTTGTATATAACAATCAAAATGGTATAATAAAGGGAAATATTTTCATGAATACGTGCGTGGCAACTATGTAGTTGCCGCGTATTATCCCTCCCCTCCCCACTTTCCACTGGGAAAACCTCCCTATAGGAGATTTGTGATAATCATTTTATCCATTCCATAGTTTTTGTTATAAACTTTTATTTGGAAAAAGCAACAGCTATGTTCCTTGCTTCTTCTTCTCAGCCGACATTGCGTTCCGAACTAAGCGGTAGATTTACAAAAAAGTGACTATTTAAAAATGCTTATTATTAAGTTTACTTGAATAAAAAAATATTTATTATTAATATTATTTAGAGAAATGGTGTCTTAACATCGGTCCTAGTTTTTTTTTTTTGATGGGTGAAAATGGTGTGGTAACCCCGCCCGCGCTAGCGCGATACGCTGGCGGAGCACCAGTGAAGGGTGATAGATGAGAATGAAAACAGGCCAGTTAGCCCATCATGATGAATTCATCAGGAATTAACCATGACAGTTTCCAGGGGGAACCGCGAGGAGGTCGACCTGGTTGGGTATATTGCTAGCAATGGGATTCTTAGACTCCATACCATACAAATTTACTATTTAGTTACTAGAACCGATGGGGGGAAAAGGGATTGTTAGTAAATCCCTTTCCCCCCCATCGGTTCTAGTAACTAAATAGTAAATTTGTATGGTTCTATCACTGGAGCTCACAAATATATAAATCAAGGACGATATCATTTTGTATATATAAGATTTCTAAACGCAATGCCGCAATATTTTAAAGTGTAAGATCTCGTAATAAAGTTTTGCTACTTATATACTCCCGTCAGCCGTGATTTAAGCGAATCACTTCATAAAAATCAGCATATAGACATATGTGCCACAGGAATGGCAACGCATGAGGGGTATCATGGGCGACACAACATACTCTGTTATGTCCATGGTACTGCTCATGTCTATAGGTGATTATTAGCACTTTCCATCAGGAGGACCGTCAGCTTGTTTGCCATTCTAAATTACATAAAAAAAAAATGTTTTGGTTGAGTCTTTAAATGATTTAAAGACTCGATTTAAAGACATGGGGTCTATGTGACCTTAATTTCTCCTTTTCTCAATACGCCTGATGAAAACTTAAAATAATTCACCTGTAATCGAAGAACAACTCCTCGCCGGGCTGTATGGCGCGCTTGGCGAAGATGCCGATGCGGTGGTCTCCGTTCACCATCATCACCTTCGCATAGCAGTTCGGGTTGATCGAGTGATTGGCGAAACGAATCTTGTTGCCCTTGCGCGTCGCGTCCACCACGAAGTCTGATAATTAATCATATTATTTAAATTCTCCACTAGCCCTGCCTTTCTCGTGAGTGTCGTAAGAGACCCTTAGACATCAAACTTAACGATCGAGAGATCAGCAACAGCGTCTCTCTTGAAACATCACCAAACGCTAACTGCGGTTGCCAACCCGCCTGCCAAACGAGGCAACTACTGGCAAACCCCCCAAGGGGCGGCTTATGTTCAGCAGTGGACAGTTAAAGACTGATATGGTGATGATTTAAATTGAATACTCTGCTGAAATCTGGGATTTATTTATTAAAATTTTTAATCGACTTCAAAAAAGGAAGCACTTCTCAATTCAGTAGTTTTTTTTTTATGTTTGTTACCTCACAACCTTGTTCTTTATTAATCTACTACCAGATTGGATAGAAAGGATATACTATCAGAGATAGACTTTGTTCAAAAGTCGATTGCTTGGGTACCTCTTTTCGCCGAACCCAAACTAAGGCCGAAAGTAGAATTTCTGGCCGAAACCGAAACCGAAAGTTCGGTCGGACTATTTACTACTACTACTATACTTATTATATTAGAATATAATAAATAAATAATATGGTGGCATACGAATAAATATAAAAAAATAAATAAATATGTATACGGACCGTTGTTGAGGTTGAAGAGGAACGAACACATGTACTTGTCGTACACCTTGCCGCGGCGGTCGGCCTCGTCCTGCGAGATGATCTCGCCGCAGTACTCCGAGATAAACTCGTTCTTGTGAGCGGCCTCTTTCAAGAAGATGCCCCAGCCGGCCACGTCGCTCGGCGCCAGTAACAAGTGCTTGTGCAGGCCCCTGTCCAATGTAGTTAGTTATATTTAACCTAGTAATGTATGCGATGCAGATATAAACTATCTATAGCGGTGTTTTCCAATTTTCCAAGGGGGGCAATTCGATAGTTAAGAACGGGCAATTAAAAAATGGACTCGAAGCGATTTTAACCCTCTTGCTTCGGACCATTTAAATGCAATGCTACGAGTAGATATCGGTGCCAAATTTAACAAAAAAAAAAAAAAAAATGCAGTAAATATTTATTAGGTATATTATTATTATTATTCTTATTTGACATTATCAAAATATCAACAATATATATATATATATATATATATATATATATATATATATATATATATATATATATATATATATATATATATAGGTAGTTTATATATAGGTGTTTGACTTTATTAAAGTTACAAAGCTGCATGTATAGTTTCTTTAGTTTGTCTATGACGAAAAAAGTGTTCATAAAAGATGTTGACCTCTGCACGGAGACGTTCTTGCAGCAGACGGGCGGCGCGCCGCCGGTGTTGTTGCTGTTGTTGCCGGCGGCGGTGTTGCCGGCGGCGGCGGCGGCGGCTGCGGGCGCGCGTCGGCGCCGCACGCCGAGCACAGGTCGGGGTCGCACTCGCGCACGCCCAGGTAGCACGGGCACTGCTTCGTGTTGCACTGCGCCTTGCAGCGGCAGCCCGGGAACCGGTTCTGGCCTGCCACACACGACAAGCGACACCTCGTCTACCGTGCACGTTCTATACCATGCCCTATACCGTGCGGGGGGAACGGATTGTTAGTAATGGGGAGATTAGTCCCCATTTCTATCAATGTACCCCATCAGGTCGACGTCCACGTGGTTCCCCCTGGAAACCATCGTGACTAATTTGTCGTTAATTTGTCACGGTGGGCTACCTGACCTGCCTTTTCATCCTCACTAATCATCTGTTACTAGTGCCCCGCCAGTGTATACCGATAGCGCAGGCGGGTTTACCATTCCATTATCATCCATTAAAAAAAAAAAAGTGCTATGCCATGCATTACACCAAACAAACTAAATTTGAGTTTTGATTTTAACCTGTTTTAAATTTCACTTTACTACGGAGAGATGTCTGGGGCAATTTATTTACCGGAGGGAGACTTTGCACAAAAGTTGTTTGCTTGGTTACTTCTGTCCCATTTGTATTTCTACCGTGAAACAGTTGTGTTTGTATAACTGTGTTACAGTTGGAAAAGTAAAATATGGCAGTGAATTTGCAGGGTACAGAGGAATACCATCTAAGCAATGCAATCTAGGCAATGCATGGGAGGTATCATGAGCGAAACAATATACTCTGTTATGTCCATGCTACTGCTCATGTCTATAGGCGACGGTTACCACTTTCCATCAGGTGGGCCGTCAGCTTGTTTGCCATTCTAAGTTCATAAAAAAAAAGAAAATTAAAAATAGAACAAAACAGATGTCGCAACAATGTTTAGTAAGACAATTATATTAAGATAGAAAATGAAGTAACTAGAAATAAAGCATTGATTTTTTTTTGGTTCTGTTTATCACAAATGGAAAGACAAAAGGCTCTGCCCATACAGCTCATGTCTATCGTAATAATCATTTTCAAATTATTAAATTTATCTTTGGTAAAAAAAAAATTCAAAATTTTTTAAATTGTTGAAGCGATATATTCATACAGAGAAAAAAAGGTCCTAGTCTTTTAAAAATTCTTGAAATAAGCGCGGGACATGATTCGTTTTAATAAATTTCAAGTAAACGATCTGTTGATTATTTGACAGTTATTTTGGCGGGAACGAACCATAGACTAAGAACAGAAGTATGTCGAATACGTTATCGAATCATAACACTGTTGAATTTCAATATCAATAGACAATTTGCCGAAAACTGAAACAAGATATCTGATTACTTCATATTCCTATTAATTTTGTGGCATGGAATTAGGCATTTTCGGGAAACTGACGAATACTTGGGTAACGGTTAGATATCACTTTACAATAATTTATTACAATTATATTTAAAAAAAAAAAAGCAGTTTGATTGATTCTTATAAAAAACTGTAATGGCAATAACATTATAGAGTTAACAGCATAGTTCTTGGGAATAACAAGGTATGAGAGGTATCACACGTTGTAATAATAACACTTTAGATGTAATAATTGCACGGCAACATTCTCGATAATTCATAAAAACATTTTATCCTTGTATGTGGCAATAAATAATTTTAATTGGAGGTAGAAAGATAAAAGGTTGTTGGTGTCTGCTCTTAAATACAGAAACAGAACAGTTTTGTCGTTGTCGCTCATAAAGTGTTTAATAAGTATAACATTTAATTTCACAATCGTGAGACTTTAGTTTTAGAATTTATTTTTTTTGTTTTATAAAAAGAACTTTGCAAAGGATAATTTCTCGTGTCGTTCTTAAATATTTAAAAGTATTTAAGATTGAAACGTCTGTCGGAAGATTCAAGATCGAAACCCTTAGTTCTTATAACATTTACGAGGTAATCTCAGGTAACTTTAGCATGCTTTAGGGAGCCGAGTGATCTGAGTATGTTGTAAAAGGAATTTTCGCTAATCAAAGGGTAAGTCATTTGAACTAAGTTTGAATCTAGGTAGTTTAGTAGTACTTTTAAAACAACTTGTCGGTTTTCACATTCTCAGATCTTTTAAAAAACTTATCGTACATACAGTCCACTTATATACTCGCACACACGTATTCTGCAATACCCATGGTGCTAACGGCGATAGTTACAGCTTTCAGGTAAAGTAAATTTAAAAAAACATATTTTTTATAAGCTCTATTCATAAGATACTAAGCGTGTGATTTTGTATGAAAACTGTGACTTTTTGTATTAATAAATAAATAAATAATTGAAAAAACCATAACTCACAGTCGCTGCTGCACTGGCAGAATTTCTCGCAGAAGTTCTGCGACTGAAGACAGGGGCACAGACTGTCGCAGGGCTGGTTCGGGTGGTCGCACGGAGTGTAGTTATACCTATGGACGGACAGCACATTTTATATATATATATATATATATATATATATATATGGCAATACATATATTACAATATGAAAATCTTAAAATTTAGAGTAATTAAAAAATTCGAAGTGGACGGGATTTGAACCCACGCCCATTACGCCATACCAGGGACAGTATTCTTACTACATGAACTAATAATATTACATTCAATTTATCATACAAAAATTCAGAAGTGTAGTGAATAAAAAAAATTAATTTTTTAAGTTAATAAAAACATATTTGATAAAAATCTATGGTTATAATGCAAGATATAAAATACCAGAGGGAGACTTTGTACAAAAGTCGATTGCTTGGGTACCTCTGTCCCATTCGTGTTTCAACCGTGAAGCAATTGTGTTTGCATAGCTGTGATTCGGTTTGAAGGGTGGGATATGGCGTGAATTTACTGGGTACAGAGGAATAACACCTGAGTCCTCAGGAATGGCAACGCATGGGGGGTATCATGGGCGAAACAGTATACTCTGTTATGTCCACGGTACTGTTCATGTCTATAGGCGACGGTTACCACTTTCCATCAGGTGGGCCGTCAGCTTGTTTGCCATTCTAAGTTGTATAAAAAAAAAGATGAAATTAGACAAAGCACATAATTAGATAATTATAAATATTTATTGTGGCCATACATCCAACTAGCTAGGTTCAGGGGGAAGGGATTTTGAGTGGTAAGAACTAGCAGATCCAATAGCAGTCAATGCTAGTAATATACTGTACAGAATACAATGTGGGGTCGACCTCCACTCAGTTTTCCCTGGAGACCTTCATGATTAATTTTTAGTCAATTCGCCATAATGGGCTATATGACTTCGTCGTTACAGTTTAATCTCCACTGGTGCCTCGCTATCATATACAGATAATGCAGGCGATTTCATTCAACATCATCATATCAGCCCCTAGCTGTCCTTTGCTGAACATAGGCCTCCCCCTAAGGGGGGGGGGGGGGGGGTTGCCAGCAATTGCCATGCTTGGCAGGGGGGTTAACAACCACAGTTAGCCTTTGGTGACGTTTTGATAGAGAAGCTACTACCAATCCTTCGATTAAGTTCCCTTAGTCGCCTCTTACGACACCCACGAGAAAAAAACCTTGTGTATATATATTTATTTATTTTACACTTTATTGCACCAAGTAAAAAGAGAAATTTCAAATACAGTAAATATTAATGAGAAGTGATACAAAAGGCGGCCTTATCGCTAAGTTATCTCTTCCAGACAACCTTTGGGTAGAGGACATTGAGAAAAAGGCAACAGGGTAGGTGGCGCACTATTATATAAATATTATCATATACAAATATATATACATACATACATATATACATACACATGTATATATAATATATAGACAATTAAATATAAACATAATATATATATATATATATATATATATATATATATATATATATATATATATATGGTGGCCCATTCTATATATCACATCCATTATCATCCATAAATAAGCCCACTATCTACATACACGTGGTGCGAGGCGGAGTCCTTCTTGAGCTGTATCTTGCGGCAGTGCACGGACCAAAGCCGGTGCTTCTTCTTCTTCTTGCGCGGCGGCGTCAGCTCGGCCTCCACGCGGCACTCCTCCTGCCCCGTGTTGATCCAGTACGTGTACACCTGCACCCACCACACAGCGTTACGGCTTATTACATAGAGCAAAAAAAAAAGGGGGGGGAGGCCAAAAATCTTAAAAAAAATTATAAGTAATACTTGATTATTCCCAAGTCTTAGTCTTCAGGAGCAGTAGCGAGAGCGTCATATTATATTCCGTGATGCCATGGTGCTGTTCATGTCTATAGGTGATGGTATAACTTACTGTTAGCTGAACCATCAGCTTATTTGGTATGTTCGGTTACATAAAAAAATGGTCGTACAATATCGTGAACGTTACTTTATCATTTTGTAAATTTCGTGAGGCAAACGAGCATGCAGCTCACCTGATGGTAAGTGACTACCGTCGCCCATGATCACCCGCAACACCAAAGCCCTTGCAGGTGTGCTGGCGGCCTTTTAAAAAGGAATATGCTTTTTTCTTGAAGGTTATGATGTCGTATCAGTTTGGAAATACTGCTGCTGGAAGTTGATTCCAAAGAGTGATTGTGCGTGGAAGAAAGTGGCTTGAAAAACGCACGGTGGAAGAGCGCCACTCGTCCAGATGGTTTAGTCATATATTCGTCCGTATAGTTGGTATCCCTTCTGGCATCAGAGAGGTCATTTGCAACAGACATAGTTTTTTTTTTTATGGATGATAATGGATTGGTAACCCCACCCGTGCTATCGGTATACACCGGCGGGGCACCAGTGAAGGATGATAGGTGAGGATGAAGCAGGTCAGTTAGCCCATCGTGACGAATTCAACGAGAATTGTTCACGATAATTTCCAGGAGAAACCACGTGGAGGTCGACCTAATAAGGCATATTGCTAGCAATGGGACTGTCAAACTCCATTGCTTAGAATCCCTTTCCCTCCCTTATACACATAGTTGTCAAATCATTGACAAGTAATATAAATAATTTGTCATAGTAAAATTACACGAGCATCCAATAGATGCAATGCACCATCATTATCATCTCATCACCCGTTAACTGTCCACTGTTGAACATAGGCCTCTCCCATAAGGTGGGTTCCCCCAGTAGCTGCCACACTTGGCAGGTGGGTTAACAACCGTAACGCACATACCTGCTGACAAGTCTTCGAGAGCATGATCTGAGCAATGGCACAGTAGTTGGAGGGGAACACCTTGTGTAGAGCCCTAAACAGTGATTGGTCCGAGCCAGTCCACTCAGAGTCCGTGTCGCCCAGCGTCAGACCTGCCGCATTACACCAACATTTAGAACACAATAGCCATATCTGATAAATACATACAGCCTGTGACTTTCACCGCATGACTGTAAAAATATATATACAAATTATAATAGGACTTGGCTTTGTGTAATCTAGAAATGTAAATTTTTTTATTTATTTTTATATTAATATTACATCTGGAATCAACAGCTTATATCTAGAATAATTTAAAATACTATATTTATACCATACATTAGCCAATTACAGATTCCCAATTTGTATACCAGACAATTTTATGCTTATTTTTGGAGGGTAGGCAAAATTAACTTTTTTCTTTGCATAATGGTGGAAATTTCCATCATAACATTGAATGCACAAAAATTATATAAAAGAACAAGTTCACTTTATGTCGATCGTGTCTGGATACCTTTTTAATATCTATTGCAGAAAAAAAAACATAGCTGTCAAATTTATTTTTTTAACCATTTTTCGTTTAATTCTGAACATGAATTATATTACCTTGACTTATTTCATCAATAAAAAAAAAAAAAAAAACATGCAAAGAAGGGATAAATAGAAAGAAAAAATAAAATCTATGACTATACTTATTTGAAAAATCGTATCACTGGAAGTTCAGTAATATATTAATATAAATTAGTGTAAAAGTGTGTACTATTTGTGTGTGTTATGTGGTGGTGTAAAAAACCTGTGTCAAACATATGACTTATATAACTTTCCACTAAAAAAAAAATTATCAATCGATCACAGGTATCGTGGTCGTCTCTCGTCAACTAGTTATGTACAATAGTTACCTAGTGCGTTGTACGCGTTGTCCGCGAGCCCGTCGGCCGCCGGCTTCAGGCCGCCGTTCGAGCTCCAGTTGCTGTTACTCGAGTTGCTATTGCTGCCTGCTGGTGACGCGTCGTTAAGAAAACAAAACGATTAGATAAAGATATGTTTATTTACAAACATGTGTGTATAGTAGGCACAAAGACATACTGGTTATTCAATGATAGCTTTGTATAGGTCTAACATGTTAAATCTTGTTTTGATTTGTAAAAACCTATAATAGATTTTTTGTGTCTTTAATGCTTTTTTATTATGAAATTTTCTAGTTATTGGTTTTTCTTTAATAAAAATTGAGATTCCTTATACTGGAGTCTTACAGCCCGATTTCTAGCAATATACCCTTTCTGCTTACCCCAATGGGAAACAGATGTGCTAGATATATCAACAGCATCTTAGCCACGAGAAACGGTCCTGAGTCACCTGCATCCATTTACTCCATGCAACGCATTTGAGGTCATCACTCCTTGGTCCTCAAAGTTCTTTTAAATTTTTAATATAATTTCATACTACTTAGACACGAAATTCCTTTTTTATCGTAATGTATATATCTAGTACTATGTTCCGTAGCAGGGAATGCGGATAATTTGGTAACACCTTATATATGTAAAAATTAGGTATAAATAAATTAATGAGATTGACATATAAATCATTCTATCTTTCCAATTTTGTTTACACACTACATACATACACTGTTTAGCACTACTACCGCCCACTCACTACTTCCTATGCCACTGTATTAGATTGACTGGAAAAAATCTCTTTTAGAGATAAGTTCGCCTTTGCTAACATTGTTATTACTGTATGTTTTAGTGCAATAAAGAATATATATATATATATATATAAAAGTATGGCGACCTTTCTGGTAGCGGTTGCTGTCGTTGCTGTCCTCGGAGGAGGCGTCGTTGGGTGAGTCGATGGCGGCGGACCGGCCCTTGTCCACCTCGCCGGCCGCCTGCTCACGCGCCAGCTGCTCGCGCATGCCTTCCTGCGGGGACACGCACTCACTCACTCACTATACTGCGAGTCAACGGACCGAATCATAAGAGAAAAGATCGTAGTAATTCATTAATCTTGGATATCTTTATTTATTTTTTTATACCACTGAGGTGGCAAACAACCATACGGCCTACCTGATGGTAAGCGGTTACAGTAGCCTACGAACGCCTGCAATACCAGAGGTATTACGCGCGCGTTGCCGACCCTGAAGAAACCTCTTCACCCCCCCCTTTTGAAGAAAATGATGAAATGAAATTTATGTTACCAAAAACTAAACTGTATACAATGTAACGACAACTTTTTTTAATGGGTGATAATGAAATGGTAACCTCGCCTGCGCTATCGGTATACACCGGCGGGGCACCAGTGAAGGATGATAGGTGAGGATGAAGCAGGTCAGCCAGCCCATCGTGACGAATTCAACAAGAATTATTCACGGTGGTTTCCAAGGGGAACCGCGTGGAGGTAGACCTGATAAGGCATATTGCTAGCAATGGGGCTTCCAAACTCCACTGGTAACAATCCCTTCCCCCCCTATATAACGACTACTACTCGTGTGATAGAGTCGCCCTCTAGTGTCAAAGATTTCTAATCTACCTGCGACGACACATGACAGATAGGAATGTTACGGCTCTTTAACCGGTTTTCTTGCTGGCCGCTAAGACATTCTATAGAACGTTTCGGTTTGAAGGATGGGATATGGCAGTGAATTTACTGGGTACAGAGGAATAACACCTGAGTCCTCAGGAATGGCAACGCATGGGGGAGGGGGTATCATGGGCGAAACAGTATACTCTGTTATGTCCATGGTACTGCTCATGTCTATAGGCGACGGTTACCACTTCCAATCAGCTTGTTTACCATTCTAAGTTGCATAAAAAAATTAGTAAGAGAACTCAACTCACCAACAGCATATAGCAATTGGATCCGCACGGCTCCGAGAACGGCTTGAGGTCGGGTCCCTTCCGCTTGGACAAGTTCGGTCCGGGGTGGCACGCTTGCAGACCTGGCAGTACGGCACACGTGTAGCTAACTCATAATTATGTTACTGAACACGGGGCTACTTACTGGCGCGTGGTGTTCATATCAAGCGGTGACCGTCATTGGTCACGTGTTAGAAATGGTATGAACAGTAATGATTAACACTTTGCTGACCGGCGACATTATAATAGAAGGTAAGATAGAAGGAAGGAGGGGAAGAGGGAGACCGAGGCGTAGTTGCATCAGGCAGATCAAGGAAGGAGTTGGTGTCGTGTCATATCAAGAGGTGAAGAGATTTAAGTTTTAACAATTATGATTTTAAGTCATGTTATGTTTTTTTTTACAGTGTCAAGCAGTATTATAAATTACAATTGTTTAAAAAGTCTTTTAGTTGGACGTAATCTTTGGAATTACCAAAGATTAAGACCGTAACGGTTTTCCTGGTCAGCAAAATGTTAAAATGTTGAAAATAAGAGTTCATTTTAGAGTTGTCTATACAGGCTACACAAAAAGTGAATATGGACTAAACATCTAGGAGCTCTGGGGTCCGTATGAAAAATATCAATAATTATATGAATGTTTATTTATTTATTTATTTACTCTTTATTGCACCATAAATAAAAATATACAGTGACAAGTGAATAATTCAAGTGAAATACAGTAACATAAATACAGATTGAAATATACACATAAAGGTACAAAAAGCGGTGTTATCGCTAGGGCAATCTCTTACAGACAACCTTTGGTTAAAGGAGAACAGATAGAAATGGGCAGGCGGCGCAAGAGTGAATTAATAATTAATTAATAACGTTAAGTGGTATTGGGCGGGTCACATTAGACGTATGGGTCCCGATAGGTGGGTTTGTTCTCCACCCAGTGGGTGCCTACTGACGGACAGTGTCGTCGAGGCCAGCCCAGGAAATGAAGACGTGACGTGAGATGGCGCTGAACAGGAAGCTTTGGAAGATGATAGAGACCTCTGCCCAGCAGTGGGACAGCGTAGGTTAATAATAGAATATGAATTTTATTAATATAGTTACGTAAACACATTATTATTGGTTATTAGTGAAATAGGTATATATTCAACTGAATAAGGGTTGAACAGTGGTTAGAGGACCCATGATTTATCAGAAATGTATGTCAAAGGAGTTTCGATCAGGTAAAGTGTATATAAATTATTGGCAACAACTATTAATACTAAAAACATATCAATTACTCATTCGATTCATATGATTATTGTGGTTATATTTTTTTTTTTATACAACTTAGAATGGCAAACAAACTGACGGCCCACCTGATGAAAAGTGATAACCGTCGCCTATAGACACGAACAGTACCGTGAACATAACAGAGTATACTGTTTCGCCCATGATACCCCCTATGAGTTGCCATTCCTGAGGACTCAGGTGTTATTCCTCTGAACCCAGTAAATTCACTGCCATATCCCACCTTTCAAACCGAAACACAGCCATGCAAACACAACTGCTTCACGGTTGAGACACGAATGGTACAGAGGTACCCAAGCAAACGACTTTTGTACAAAGTCTCCCTCTGGTATATTAAAAATGAAGAGTGACAATTGATATCTACATCACAACACATATTGTTAAACATATAGAGATGATAATCAACATAATAGAAAATAATATAAGAGTTATTAAAAAATAATACTATATTAAAGTATTAAAAAAGAGCGAGTGAATGGCATGAGATGAAAGCGAAATTAACAATGACCGTCGACCAATGAGGAGGAAAGGTTTTCGAGTGATCTCGTACAGACAAATGGAGTGTAGGGCGACCTTCCACCAATTGGAGCAACGACCATGTGTTGCGGGCAGCCCATAGATATATTAGATTACCCAATCCCATTGAGCAAATTGCAAACGAATCTATCGATAATTTATTACTGTTATTTTTTTTTTTTAATACAACTTAGATGGAATGATGGAAAGTGGCAACCGTCCCCTATAGACATGAGCAGTACCATGGACATAACAGAGTATACTGCTTCGCCCATGATACCCCCCATGCGTTGCCATTCCTGAGGACTCAGGTGTTATTCCTCCGTATCCAGTAAATTCACGTCATATCCCACCCTTCAAACCGAAACACAGCCATGCAAACACAACTGCTTTACGGTTGAAACACGAATGGTACAGAGGTACCCGCAATCGACTTTTGTACAAAGTCTCACTTTGGTGAAAATTTTATAATGAAAATTTTATGGTGAAAATTTATATGCTTGAGATAGAATGAGACAGCAACGTTTGACATCTTATTCTGTTTTATAGGTGCGTTGGAGAAAACGTATCTGTCGATTGATGCGTTTAGCATTTGTCTCGAGTTGGGCTGGAAGGTGGTAAGATTATTTTATAGAAGTCTATGGCGGAAAGGCGTAGGTTCAAGAGTGAACAATGAGTTGATATGGTGATGGTGAATGGTTCAGGTGGTACGGCCTTACCTGCCGTCTGGCTTCCTGTCAGCCAAACAGAACAACACACTTGTCAGCCCTATATATATATATACATATTATTTTACACTACTTATATACTACACTTAAGCAGTAAATTCCAGTATCTTTTTGAAACTCACGAACGTAACTGTAACAGACCGTTGTTGGAAAATGTTTTATTTGGTAGTTATCAAAATGAAACGGATGCTGGCAAGACACTTTTTTAATCAAAATCCAAAACATAACAAATTAACAAGTAATAACAACTAACAACCCGTGCACACACGTGTCACAGGGCAATCGTTCGGCGCATGCGCGCCGGCATTAATTCAATCAAATACTAACAGATGGCGCTAGTGGTTACAATTATAACATTTTACGAGTTGCGAGGTGCGTCGCTTACAGTAACCTTCGTTCCAATAATATTCTCCAACTATCTTTCCCCTCTCACCGTACTGGTTACGCTACAAACTCTTTTCTCCTACATTCTTCACGACTCTGGAACGCGCTTCCTGATGCCATTAAGAGACCGACTAAACCGTCTTTGAAAAAAAACATTCACGCTCACTTTTTCACTTTATCCGAGCAGTAAGTGCTTTATATTATTCTCAATTTCGTGTATAATATAGTATATGTCATATATGTGTAAGTATATTTGTCATTCATATATATTTATTCGTTTATATATGTAATTTTAGTATGTATGTTTATCAATAATTAGTAGTACCACATTCGAGTATTCTGACACTTGCCTATGGTTGACTGGGAGAGAATGCTTTTAGCATTAAGTCCGCCATGTACACATATTTGTACTAATGAATAAATAAATAAATACTACATATAATAAAATTATGGTATAATATAATTTATATCACTTACATACTTTAGTCAATATTAACTGTATGTTTATGACAATAATTTATACTATGGTAACTTGAAGTACTCATATTTTAACCAACAAATTCATGAAGTTTCAATATACTTTGCAGTTGTGTTTGCATGGCTGTGTTTCGGTTTGAAGGGTGGGATATGGCGTGAATTTACAGGGTACAGAGGAATAACACCTGAGTCCTCAGGAATGGCAACGCATAGGGGGTATCATGGGCGAAACAGTATACTCTGTTATGTCCATGGTACTGCTCATGTTACCACTTTTCATCAGGTGGGTCGTCAGCTTGTTTGCCATTTTAAGTTGTATAAAAAAAAAAAAAAAAACTTATTACAGGTATATTAAGATGTTACATTTTGCTTACTTGAATTATATTAGTTATTTGAAAGGAAGTGTTAAAACATACAAAGGATCAATGAAAATTTATTAAATTTATTACTGTTTAGAAATAATATGGTTTATATTATAATACTAAGATATGCTAAAACTACTATTTCATTTTTTCCCTTATCTAAAAAGGAAGGATTTGAATTAGATATTTATTTATTTAAACCCGAACACCGGACGGTGTTCTCTACCAGTCAACCATTGGGCGAACCGAGAAAAAAATAATATACATACGAATATCAATAATTTCATTCATAAATTAATACATCCAGTTTTCATACTAGTAACAATGGCATAAAATAATACAGTTTTGGGTTCGTCTGTTAAATTATTTCTATGATTTATAAATAATAGAATATAGTAAATTAAGTACTGTGTTACAGTATTAATGTATGAATTTGAAGGCGGGGGAGCATGATGGTGCGTACTCACGGTGCAGGAAGCAGTCGTACTTGAAGCAGCGGCGGCAGAAGAGCGTGTGGAAGGAGTGCATGGTGCGGTCGCGCGACACGGACTCGGCGAGCGGCCCGTCCACGTTGGGCGTGCACTCGGGCTGCCGCGCCAGCGGGTCCGCCGCCGACGTCAGCGCCGTGTACCTGCAACCCGCCCAGTCCCGCTCTACTCTACCACTACCACTACCACTACCACTACCAGTGCACGGCTGTCTAAACTTTTTTTTTTATACAACTTAGAATGTCAAACAAGCTGACGGCCCACCTGATGGAAAGTGGTAACCGTCGCCTATACACATGAGCAGTACCAATTTCATTTGCCTCAATTTCAATTGATGTTGCCTCACTATGCGTGTTCTACCCCTGTACAATGGATTATACTCAGAGGAATTGTTCAATATGATGCCCACAGCCACTTTCTACCATAGTATGGCTTGCCATCGGCAGGGAGTTCATCCTCATGTCCTACAGCCTTAATAGTCGCGTACTGCGCGGTTTCAGAGATGTTTCCTCCCACGAACACTCAGGTTGTGGAATGAGCTCCCAGCCGAGGTTTTTCCAAGAGACTACAGCATGGGGTTCTTCAAAAGGGGGGTAAAGAGGTTTCTTCAGGGTCAGCAACGCACACGTAATACCTCTGGTATTACACGTGTTCATAGGCTACGGTAATCACTTACCTTCAGGTGGGCCGTATGCTTGTTTGCCACCTCAGTGGTATAAAAAAAAATGTAAGCCATTAAAAACTTTACATCTACTTCATATTTTGCTTTAGAATTTTTTGTAAATACTATTTTGGCGTTAAAATTTTTAGGGATAGCTTAATCTTGCTATACACTGTGGATTAATACAAGCTACTCACTTTTCTCGCAGTTCCTGCGGTGTGCCTTTGTCAGGGAACTGCAAACTGATAGCTTGAAATATAGTGAATATGGGAAACTGTTTTTCATCGATCATCTTCTTGTCTGCATCTTTGTTGTCTTGTTTATCCTTCTCCTTGTCTTTTTGCTCTTTGCTCGTCTCTTTCTACAATTACAATAGAAAGCACTTTTAAAGTTTGCTGAAGCAAGCCGAAGAATAAAACATTATATATTTCCCTTTCATGCTACGATGGATCAAGTATATCGAATGGAATGGTGAAAAGTTGAAGATAGAATTTTTTTTTATACAACTTAGAATGGCAAACAAGCTGACGGTCCACCTGATGGAAAATTGTAACCGTCGCCTGTAGACATGAGCAGTACCACTGACATAACAGAGTATACTGTTTACGCCCATGATACCCTCCATGCGTTGCCATTCCTGAGGACTCAGGTGTAATTCCTCTGTACCCAGTAAATTCACGCCATATCCCACCCTTCAAACCATTCAAGTGATTGCTAATGGGAACTAGTAACCCTGTTACTAGCAGTATACTCTACCAAGTTCGCCTGCAATTTATTGTGGTTAATTCTTGATTAATTCCTTACAATAGGTCAATATCTTGATTTTATATTCATCTGTAATCCCTCATTGGCAGTCCGATAGTGTTTTTTTTTTTTTTATGGGTGATAATGGAATGGTATCCCCACCCGCGCTATCGGTATACACTAGCGGGGCACCAGTTAAGGATTATAAGTGAGGATGAAGCAGGTCAGTTAGCACATCATGACGAATTCAACAAGAATTGTTCACGACGGTTTCCAGGGGGAACTACGTGGAGGTCGACCTAATAGACCATATTGCTAGCAATGGGGCTGTCAACCTCCATTGCTAACAATCCCTTTCCCTCCAGTCCCCTAATGGTTGATGGGTATTTCTTAATGGATGATGATGGAATAGTACAGGCGTACTTATGTTAACGGTAAAATCCAATGGCAGGGTACCAGCAAAGGATGAAACAATGAAGATGAAGTCAAGGCAGTCGGTTCATTGCTGCGAATTCCATATGGTTTTCTGGACGAATTTGGTAGAAGTCCATAGAACAAGAGGGCCACTAGATCACATTAATAATCCCCTTCCCCCAGCATGGTAGGGGTTACCATTCCATTGAGTGTAGATGTAACTAAAACCGTACATCTCTGTCGTCGCTGGAGTGGACAGCGTCACGGTCCCGACGCTCCTCGGCGACCTCGTCCTTCGTCTGGTAGGCCATGAGCGCGTGCACCAGGTCCACGAACAGCTGATCGTCTATGAACCCGCCCTCCTTGTCGCCTGTGTGTCACAACCCACACATCAGTCAATTCACTTGAACATTCATAAATATAGTAGGCTGCAAACCATAGAGGCGTACAATGTACAAAAATGATTTTCAACTTAGACATAAAATTTCTAGTTTCTATGATATTCTGCTGAAAATTATACATTCTAAATAATAAAAGACAGTTCTTTTATATTTATTTACATACAAAGTTGCTTTTTTGGGTCATCGTCATGTAGCGTTTTATATGTATGCCCCTATGTTTTGAAGCCCACTACTTTACTTATTATTATTTTTTTTTTTAAATTGATGTCATTCAAAAGATTTTACTTAAAAAAAAAGCATGTTTTCAATTCATCGGATTTATCTTATGAGTCTTTGTCAATTTTATAACAATTTTGATTTATTCCTATTAATATCAATAAGACTCACTTATATTTGTAATCGATAGTAATTAGGAACAAAATCATTCTGTAACATAATACAAATAGAGTTCAGTTTTAAATGAGCAATTATACAAACATTTAATTTAATTTTGCATTTCATTATTTTCCAAAATTATACTCATAGTGAGTATAATTTTGGACTTACAACTATATTGGAATTTTGGAAAATTAAGAAATATGTATCAATTTTGTATAGGCAATTTACATAAACAATACAGCACCATGTAAGTTAGTATTTTTAAGTTTAACACATAAAATTTATTTATATACAAAAGCACTAAACAGGGAGACTAAAATGGCAATTTTTCTAATTTTTAATAGGATCCCAAAACAATTTTGATTTTTGACACATGTAATTTACTTTTAACCTTTATTTTATACAAAAAAATTGTATGTGCTCAAATATTCCATTTACACATACAGACAAACAGTTATTTAATGAAGAAACCTGAAATTATTGTATTATCAATTATTTTAGGATTGCTCCTAAATTATGCATTTATTAGAATTAGTTGAACTGTAAATATGATTATTTTTTAGGATCCTAATATGATTTACTAAAGTAGCCATTTTAGAGTCCAAGATGATTTGTGACGTGAGGGGAAGCACGAGAAGCGTGACGTAGGGTGAGGGCGAAGGCCTATGAGGTGCTGAAAGAAGGCCTAGTTTGAAACATAAGTTTGGTACAAAAATGGAGGAGAGCAGGACGTTTACAAAATCGAACAAAGAATTTGATGGAAAAATAATGGTGTGGTTGTAAACGAAAAATAGTTCTTTTTCCTTTTTGCAGAAATTGAGATCAGAAATGTTTTCGTAAAAAATATGTTTGAAACATATAAAAAGTTAATCAAATATTTTATTTTCGTTTATTTGTGGAAAAATATAAAAAAAACGTGTCCGCTCTTCTTCATTAGCAGATGGCATAGAAGTAAACGAATCTGTAGAAATAGTAATAAAAAGGCACATAAATTATTAAATATAAATCTCTGAAAGTTTTTTTTTTTTGATGGGTGAAAATGGTATGGTAACCCCGCCTGCGCTAACGGAATACGCTGGCGGGGCACCAGTGAAGGGTGATAGATGAGAATGAAAACAGGCCAGTTAGCCCATCATGATGAATTCATCAGGAATTAACCATGATAGTTTCCAGGGAGAACCGGGAGGAGGTCGACCTGGTTGGGTATATTGCTAGCAATAGGATTCTCAGTCTCCATTACTAACAATCCCTTTCCCCCAATCTCTGAAAGTTAAATCTTAATTTTAATTAAATATCATTGAAGAATACTTATAATAAATTTTAATATGATCCGTGTACTTCTATGTGCCAAGATCAGTAGACTCTGTAATTGAGAAGCATAGATGTGTGTGCCACACACCAATGTGAATTATTCTTATGTAACCGTCTGTGGACAGAGCCAATGTTGTTTATTGTCTATTGAATATTTGTATTTATGGTTCCTTTTATAGTAGCTACAGAAAATCTGTATAATTCTTAACTTGTGTACGCAGTGTTGTTATAACTGTCTTTTTTTTCATACAACTTAGAATGGGAAACAAGCTAACGGCTCACCTGATGGAAAGTGGTAACCGTCGCCTATAGACATGAGCAGTACCATGGATACAACAGAGTATACTGTTTCACCCATGATACCCCCATGCGTTGCCATTCATGAGGATTCAGGTGTTATTCCTCTGTACCCAGTAAATTTACGCCATATCCCACCCTTCAAACCGAAACACAGCCATGCAAACACAACTACTTTACGGGTTTCAGCAAACGACTTTTGTACACAGTCTCCCTCTGGTGTCTAGACATGTTATATTTAAAACTGTAATTTAGATATAACCAATCAAATAATAATAATATTCATTCAGTACTTCTGAGGAATTATTTATTATTGAATATGATATTCAAAATCAATCAATCAAAAAAAAAAGGGTGCACGATGAAATTTTTCTGGTCCTTCGAGCCAGATTGGTAAACATTACATATTTTTAAATAGAATGTGATATATGTCTTATATACATCCATATGTTGTTAGTAAACTGAAATTTGGATTCTGCTTATCTATGAAATTGAAACAAAAATTATTTTATTTTATGCAAAGTGTCCTCTTATATCCTTTACATATATTCTTTACTGCACTAGTAAAAAAAAGATACAGCAATTAATTAAACAATTTGTTAACAAGATTAGACTTTCATTATGTTTAAATTTTTTAATTAATTGTATTTGTTGGCCTTATGCTCAGTTTTAGAGGAAGAATTCTCCATAAATGCATTAGTCACATTTTAATAGAATTATATGGCTGTTTAAATGTTTTAACTTGGTTGCTTAAACCGCTTAATATTTACTATAAGAAATTCTAAAGAATTTTTAAATACCTAGAGAAATTATCACCTTTTAAATTTTTTTTTTTTTACGTAGATTAAATTTTTCTTACGTAGGGCCATTTGAAAGTATAGTAAGACCTCAATAATCCAAATACCCAAAATTAACATGCTATTCAGAACTATGGACGTTCAGGTTACAGTATGTAGGTAGACTGAAAAAATTTTTTTAAAGAAATGAAGGTTTTAAAACAAAAAAAAAAATTAATATTAATACACTTTTTTAAAATAATCTGTTATGGTTCTTCGGTGAATGGTATTATATATTTCTTCTTAGTATTATATAGTTCTTTATGAGTGGTATTACATCACAAAGAAAATGCTTTATCTCTCAATTTACACAATAGCAGTTTTTCTGGAATGGAAATATCTATTAGCCTAGTTTGGGGACTGATGGTAATGCAGATATTTCCTCGTTGAATATAAATTGTAAAAATTGTTAACTGTAGCTTATGCAACTGTATCTTTCTTAAATAAATATTATTATTATATGTAGTAACTAAAGTGAATAACAATACTGTGAACTTATTTATACAGGGAGTGATATCTGAAGTAAATAAGACAGCATTGCACAGTGTGACCAAGGGGGAGAGGTTGTTTGGATTATTGACTCCCTACTGTATATATTATTTACCATATTTTTTCTATATGAATACTATTGTTTACTAATTCAAAAATATTCTAAATCTACTGAATCTTAATCCCAGTTCACATTTACCTACTCAAAAGTATGATCTGATTTGCAGTATATGCAAATTTATGGAGTAACTCATTTTAAATGAGAAAATTTTTATATGACTTTGTGCAATCAATATAGGGTTACCATCTGTCTAAATTTGCCCAAGCATATGTGAAATGACTTATTATTAGTGTCCGACCGAAACATGTTTTACAGCCGAAACCGAACTGTCGGCCTTGGTCTCAGTTTTGGTTAAAACCAAAACTTACTGAAACATATTTTATAATATATAATTATTGACACAAACACACAGATTGTTAAAGGGTAATAATAAACACTAATCAAAGTATGTAACATATATGTCATATATATTTATATGTAAAATCATATTAAAATTATGACTTACTCTTGGAAGTAAACTTAAAAAAAAACTTTCAGTTAGACACACACACAACACAAACACACACACTAAGTTTCGGCGCAGCCGAAAGTTTCGGCCAATTTTTGACCGAAACAGAAACTAAGGCCGAAAGTAGAATTTCTGGCCAAAACCAAAAGTTCTTTTGGACACTAAACTATTGACTGATATTGATTATAAAATGTGCAATGAATGTGGGATTGATTATTCCATTTTGTAACTCCTACTCGATTTGAATTTTTTTAAACAATAACAATAAGAGAGTTATAAATGGTAACCCTATGAATGTATGAAAACTGCGTTAGCTTCCATTCTCATGCTGATCATAATAATTCAGACCTGTCATGCAACCAATGGCCCAGTCCACAAACAAAAAAGAGGTATGATGTGTAAGCCAATGTACCATGCACTTTCCCGTCGTAGTTCTTTATGAGCTCCTCGATGAATGTACCGTCCTGATCCAGGACCTCGTCGCCCATGTACGGAATGTTGTGGAGCACCGTCTCATCCTCCACCATGAAGTTTTTCTGTGTCGGTGCCCATGTGTACATTGTCGGGATGGGATTCACTGAGTTGATTATACGTATTGGCACTTGCTGAGTTGTCACTACACCTGACGCTACAAAAGGAATGTATCTTTTATAATGTGCCTACATTTAAAACTATCATCATCTTCATCATTTTTAAATACCTAATGCAAAAATCATCAGATCATTATTCATTAGACTATTTAGCATCACTATTTTATAATAATAAAAATGGAAATATTGTTTAGCTGACCATCTGTGTATGTGACCTCTGCGCGTTTCATCAGGCTCTCGTGACTGGGAGCAGGAGCTGGTAGTGGCCAGAAAGGCCTCCTTCCACGGTCAGGACACTCCGATTCCCTACTTTCAATTGCTTCCGACATTATCCTTAAATTTCGGGCCCATGCCACTTTCACCTCGTCTGCACGTTTGAACCTCTACGATCAATTGAAAAACAATGTAAGTTTAAGAATAAGCTTGATTTATGTGATTAAATTTACGTTTAATGTTTGTACCTTCACTTGGCGGAGTCTCATATATTCCGATTTCACTCTCTTCTTCCATTCTGCAGATACTTTGGATTTACTCATAGGTATACAACATAAAAGAAATAAAGACACCTAAGCAAAGCTTTGTTATGTTTATAAGAAAATTAGGACAGCGAATAAAGAGTGAATTTGCCGGTTTTAGTCACAGACTAGAGAGACATGTTGGTCTAAACTTTTAGTCACAGATTATCTAATCTGTCTCTCTAGAATTAACTATTGCAGTCTAAGAACAAGTAAGTACATAGAAGGAATGCTAAAATAAAAACTGGAAATCATATGATTGCCTTCTTTCTTCTTATGCAAATAAAATTAGTAAAAAAAGGACAAAAGATACATTATCAGTTGCTATTTCTCTCAATTCATAGCAGGCTAGTGTATAGAAAATGTGTATGTGAAATTTTTATTCATTTACATTACTAGATTCGACACAGTTTATTTATGTAGAAAGTATGCAAGCAGGTTGTATCTGAATTGTAGGGTTAAATGTCAAAGACATATTGTATATAAAAAACAAATTGCGGCTTATTTCAAAGTTTCTATATAATAGTATGCTGTTCATAGAATTATTTAAAGATTATTTGTAAACACACATTCCAGCAAGGCATATTTTTTGCAATATATTTATAATTTATTATAGGTTGACCAAAAAAAAAATTTACATATCGGTGAAAAGTTTAATCCGCTATATGTACATAAATTACGCTATTCCACAAATAGGAACTGTACTTTTTAATATTTATATCCTTTTTTTACACTTGTAGAAAATTGAAAATCATAAAATTTTCGTTGTTTAATATAACTTGAGCATATAGCTGAAGCTAGATTTTAAGCTATGGCGAACTGGTGTTCATTACAATTCGATGGATTATTATTACACATGACAGAAAAAGACAGTAACATTTATTTTACTGTAGAAATGAGCAAAACAGAAATATCTTACTCATGCTTTCAACTAATGCTTTGTCTGCTTCTTTATTATATGTCTGTGGTTTTTCCTACTTTAGAGTTCAGAAATATAGAGAAAGACACTAAACAGTTATGTGCATTCAATCATATTAAAATATTAATTTAAGTCTCTACTTAATTTAATATTTTAAATATTAAATAGCTATTCCTCTAAATAGCGCTTAAGAATTGATTGCAGTTTGTTGTAATCTATTCCACAATTAGGAAGTAGCGTGCTATACATATAATACAAGTTTTTAATTAATTGATAATGACATGCACAATGTTTGTATGGAATTTGTTATTATAAGAAATAAGAACCAATTATGCAATACCATTTTACTGACATTTATAAATAGTTTGCAAAATGTTCGCATATATATTTATGTTTAAGTCACTTTAGTCGATTCTGAAGTGTCGTTTCTCTAAATCTATCTCAAAAATTAAAATTCAATTTGATAATACCTTTATTATTGTATGTCTACAGATATCACAGCGAAATCTTTATGCTTAGTACTAAGTTGAAGTAAATTTCCAATAGATTTAAATAAAAATTATTATAAATATAGTTTATAATAGTCCATGAAACAACAATTCCTAGAAAGTATCAAATAAAATATTAGATTAAGCGATAAGTTTAAAGAAATGGCTCCTCAAAATTAAGTTCATTATAAATGAAAATTATAGGAAATGGACCGTCTATGAATCTTAAACGCCCATAAACAAAATTATATTCCCTTTTCCAAAAATTTTAACTCTCTTCTATCAAAAATTATCGATATTGTCTATGTTTTCTGTGTGAAGCAAGCGAATAAGCGAATGAGTACGCTGCCATTTTCTATTGGAATTAATTGAGAAAACCAATTTTGAAAAAAGGTGAGCATGTGTAGAAAGGTATATTTTAGTTACTTTTATTTCATATCGTATATTTTATTCGTATCATAAATTCAACCTTCGTAAATCGCGTATTCGGCTACGGATTACGTAATTTTTTGTTCCTCATCTTCTAATTATTTACATCCTACCACGAAATGTGCAAAACACACGAGTTTCTCGAACGGGGAACGTAGAGTTGCTGTCTACACCGAAAAGTTGTTCTGTTTGTAGGTGTGTGCGTACCTACATACTGCCGCAGGTTATGCGAGGAGGCTCATATAACTATGTCCTCGTATCGCGGCAATGGCGCGGGCGGCGCGTGGGACGGTGGCCCGCCAGGCGCCGAGTCGGAGTACCCGCAAGCCTCGCACTACGCTGCGCCGCCGCCCCGTGCCATGCCCAGCACTGACCCCTGGACCGGGGTCAGCTACAGTCAATACGGCCCACCGCCGAATTATGGCTACCAGGCATACGGCGCCGGCTATGGTTACGGTTATGATTCTAATTATTATCAGAGGCCTGAATCTAGCTATTATCCTAAGTATCATGATTCCCAAGCTGCATACCCTTCTACGCAGCAGACTAGTTATGAATATTCACAACCTCCATGTGATAGATCACATTCCTCTGCTGATGCACGAACTTATAATCATCGGAGGTCTTACAGATCCCAATCACGAAGTGGTTCTCCATATGAAAGAAGAGATAGATCTTATTCAAGAAATAGAGAAAGTAGTTATGAAAAAGCTAAAAGGCGCAAATCTAGAAGCAGATCACTTAAGTCAAAAAGATCAAAATACTCTTCTAGTGATCATTCAAGTTCTCGGTCCAGGTCATATTCTCGCTCTTCATCAAGGAAAAATAAAAAGAATAAGAGATCATCATCATCTGATTCCTCTGCATCTGACAGATCTTATAAGAATAAAAGTAGTAGAACTCATGACCATGATAGTTCTCTTACACCACCTCTGAAAAATAGAAGTTCTAAATCCCGAAGTCACTCTAGATCTCATGAAACTCCAAGTGTAGGCAAATCAAGTAGTAAATCTCCTAGACTTCAAACTGAAAAAGATATGTTAAAACAATCGAGTAAATACCATTCCAGTAAAGATTTGATGAATAAGGACAGAAAACATAGAGATATATCGACACCACCTAGGAAGCGAAAGGATGCATTAACCCCTCCAAAAGGGCATAAAAATTCTGACAGATCATCTGTAACACCTCCTAAAAGTTATAAGAAGACTGATCGCCGTGATTCTCCAAAAACGTATAAACATAAGGAGCGAGAGTACAACACACCGCCTAAGAAAGGCAAACAAAGTTCTTTAACTCCTCCAAAATGTTATGCACGGAGCAGTTCATCGTCAAGCTCTAAGTCTCGATCCAGATCTTCATCTCCGCGACATTCTAAAAGTAAACGTTCACGATCGCGCCACAGCCGATCACCTTCTAGCTCTAGTCGATCATCAGTTTCAAACCGATCACGATCTAAAACAAAACGCCGCAACAGAAAATCCATATCAAAACATAGATCTCGGTCAAAAAGTCATTCGAGACGTCGCTCAATTAGTACAAAGCGGCGATCCCTCAGCAAAAGTAGGTCAAAGTCACGGCGAAGGTCGAAATCACGGGGTAAAAATAAAAAATTGACTCCCAACTCTAAATCTCGATCACCAAGCTCTCGGTCACATAGCCAAACTCACAGTGATTCTGGAAGTGATGATGAGAGACGTGGACAGTTTACAGTGGCAGACAGAAAGCGCTTCTGGAAACTGCATAGAACTAGGCAAGAGGAGAGAGAGAAAGAAAAAAGTCCTGTGAAAGAAGTGAAACCTCCACCGGGAGCGGTTGAATCCACACATGTGGACGATATCCAATATGGTGATCCACCCGAAGTGGAAGGTCCTAACTTCGCAGAGTTACTCCCCCCGCCCGACCAACTCATGCAGGCTGCTTCATCATCCAAATCTAAGGCTATCCCAATACCAATAAAGAATGATGGCAGTTTCTTAGAGATGTTTAAGAAAATGCAAGAAGAGACTAAAAAGTCTGAGGTGGAAGAGAAACCTCTAATTAAAAAACCAACTTTGCCATTCATTGGAAAAAGACGTGGTGGCAGGGTCCTCAAGACTGGTATGGTAAAGAAGGCCAAGGCAATAGACGATCAGACTGTGGATAGTGCCCCTAAAGACGCCTGGTCTCTATACATGCAGGAAGTTAAAAAGTACAGGGAGACCTCCTGTGAGGAAGAAAGAAAAACAAGACCATTGGTCAAATAATATTATTGCTAAGATGTAGCATTAAGATTTTTATTATGACTTCTGTACTGTATTATTTTAAATATTATTTTATACTCTATTACCAGTGTTTATAATTAAAATTTAGACATCGCAGCATCTTTTATTTTGTATCGTGGAATAGAATTTCCTAATAAAGGATTTAAAAAATGAATGTTGTGTTGTGTTTCGTTCCAGCAAAATGCCCGAGATCATCAAATCCGCCGCCGACATCAAAACTGCACCTTTCGACCCGAGGTTCCCTAACCAGAACCAGACAAGGTAATGTCGATATCCGAACATTTACTGTGGTATTTAGAAGTAAACGACAGCTGGAACCAGGATTTTTTCAATGGATAATAATCGAGTGGTTTCCCTGCCTGCGCTAATGGTATACGCTAGCGAGGTATCACTGAATGATGATAGGTGAGAATGAACACGCAGGTCTGTTAGTTAGAAGTCACGTGGAGGTCAACCTGATAGGGTATATTGCCAGCAACGGTACTTGCAGTCCGCATTACTAACAATCCCTTCCCTCCCAATCAGGAGGGTTGAAATAGTTTGTGCAAAGGATTTACGTCATTTATACTTTATTAAATATAATAGTCGTCTTGCTTTGATGTATAGAGTAGGTACACTTGTAGTTTCGTCAGCTGGGTTTATGAATCGTTCCACATTCCATAGGAGCTTTAGCTACCCAAATTACTAACATACAGCGTCTGGTAGTGACGACTCGTAAGAACTTAAACGGGTTCCTTTTTACTTATTTTTTTTTTTTATGGGTGGAAATGGTATGGGAACCCCGCCTGCGCTAACGGGATACGCTGGCGGAGCACCAGTGAACGATGATAGATGAGAATGAAAACAGGCCAGTTAGCCCATCATGATGAATTCATCAGGAATTAACCATGATAGTTTCCAGGGGGAGCCACGAGGAGGTCGATCGTGCTGAATTCCAGATGTATTCATCACGATGGGCTAACTGACCTGCATTTTCATTCTCACCTATCATAATTGGCTAATCAGTCCGCAAGATTTAACCAAAATGTCTTCTAGAGGGAGCAGCGTGGAGGTCGACCTGATAAGATATATTGCTAGCAATGGGCTTCATATACATCATTACTAACAATCCCCCCCCCCTCGCAGTTTATTGAGTGATGCCCCTTGTGATGAACGTAACAATCGGCCTTATTTCACCAAGTATACCTATTAGAACCTTGGTGATTTTTAATACAGGTTTAACACCTAGTACAGGCACCAGCTCCCACAAATAATATTGTTAAAATGTTCTGTTTCTCAAGTTATAGATATTAAATCCTTAATTGTTTGTGATGAGAAATAATAATAAATAAATAAAAAATAAATTACCAAAAAAAGGGGGGCGAGCCCACCGCCGTCACTAATTAATCTGGTTTGTTATTGGTGTCAGGTAGTACGAAATTTAAATTGTCGAATTTAGATTTTTTTTTGTTGAATGAAAATGGATTGATTGGTGGCGGAGCACCAGTGAAAGGTGATCGATGAGAATGAAAACAGGCCAGTCAGCCCATCATAATGAATTCATTAGGAATTAATCATCCAGGGGGAACCGCGTGGAGGTCGACCTGGTTGGGTATATTGCTAGCAATGGGATTCTCAGTCTCCATTACTAACAATCCCTTTCCCCCCGACAAATTTTGATTGCCAATCATATTATTAGATGTTTATACCAAACACGTTTCTAATGTTCAAAATTGTTTAAGTTCATTGTTATTTCTGGCGTATTTAGTTAAATAATAAAGGTATTGTAATTATATAGGTAAAATGGATTTTGTTTCTTAATAAGCCATTATTGCTTTAAACTTTAAAGAAAGACTGCAGTTTCAATTATCACTAAATATGGGATTAACGATGGGGAAGAAAGGTTCTTGAGTGGCGACCCCGTACGGGCAAATGCAGTGTAGGACGACCCCCTACTAGATGGAGTGATGACCTCAAATGCATTGCAGGGAGTCAGTGGATGCAGGTTTTTTTTTAATGGAATGGTAACCCCGCCTACGCTAACGGTATACGCTGGCGGGGCACCAGTGAGGGATGATAGGTGAGAATAAAAAGACAGGTCAGTTAGCCCATCGTGATGAATATATCTGCAATTCAGCACGATAGTTTCCAGGAGGGACCACGTGGAGGTCGACCTGACATGGTATACTGCTAGCAATAGGACTGGTAGTCCGCATTACTAACAATCCCTTCCCCCCAGTGGATGCAGGTGGCTTAGGACCGTTCCTTATGCAATTTATAGGGGAGGCCTATGCCCAGCAGTGGACGGATAATGGCTGAAATTATGATAAGACTAGCACGTGAACCACTATCGATTGCAATAAGCATTATCGAATCGGTTAATTAATGTTAAACAACTTAATAAAAAATTCTCCATCTGAAATTGGTTTAAACAAAGCCAAAATTTTAATATTTGATTTCCATTTTCAGACACTGCTACCAAAGCTACCTAGACTTCTACCGTTGCCAGAAGGTGCGCGGTGAGAAATACGAGCCCTGCAACTATTTCAAAAGGACATTCAAATCCCTCTGTCCCAATGAATGGGTCGACAAATGGGACACCCAGCGCGAAGAGGGCAGATTCCCAGGCAGAATTTAAGCTATTCCATAGCAAATGTTAATTTATGCAATTTTATTTTAAATAGGTCTGTACGTGATATAGCCATTATAATGAGTTGATTTACATTGTTGTTTTATTGTATAATTTATTAGTATTGAATCAAACGCAGTGTAGGACGACCCCCCACTAAATGGAATGACGACCTGAAGTGCATTGCAGGGAGTCAGTGGATGCAGGTGGCTCAGGACCGTTCCTTATGGCAGTCTATGGGGGAGGCTTATGTCCAGCAGTGGACGGATGATGGCTGAAATGATGATGATTATACCAATATTGCTATTTGGTCCTGGCATGGAATGGGCCACCCCTTCCTTTCCCGTAGGAATCGTGAGAGGCGACTAAGAGAACTTACTGGTAGAAAGATTGGCAGCAGTGTCCCTCTTCCCTGTCACTGGCAAAACCATTATTGGAAACGCCTATGTTCAGCAGTGGACAGTTAACTGCTGATGGGATGGGAATTAAGAGGACTGTACTCGCATCAGAGTGCAAGAAATAGTGGTCCAACGACTGACATGTCCCGAACGGTTACATGACCATTTGGTGCGCAATGCTCTCTTGAGACATGTCTGTTGGATTACTGGAAGGTAAGAGTTCTTCTGGCTGTATTCATTTCTAAGTGAATGAAGTGACGGTGCTTTTTACATAACGTCCCGGATTCGATTCTCGACTAGTCATTTGAGAAAATATTTTTTTCTACGTATTTATGTACGTAATGGGATCAAGTTATAGGAAAAGTCTTATAATTTTTTATACCTCTCTCTGTATTAGGATTTGATATAAGCTTTATTGGCTCATTCGTGATAAAAAAAACTTCTATAACATGCAATTTTTACCTTGATCAATGTTCATGTTTATGGCTGCTGAACATTAGGTTCGATTCTTGATTCGATCAGATCTATTTAGAAAATCATTTTTCAATACAAATACAAATGACTTTATTGTGGATCATAGGTCAAATTAAGGTATTACATCAGTTAAATAGTATCTCCATGTCCTGCTATATAAGCGTACAATATATGAAACAGTTAACAGTATATAAAACAACATTTAAAATTATATATATATTTCAAGTATCATAAATAAATTTATAAGTAAAAAAAAATCCGAAAATGTGTTACACCTCTTTCTTTATTCACATTGTACCTAAATAGGTCCAGGAAACGCGCCCTTATCCCTCAGCTCGTCCCAGTGCGATATCCAGTGGTTCGGGCAGATGGTCTCGAAGTACCGCTTGAAGATCTTGCAGTCGTCCACATCTCCTAGCAGCCGGGTGCACTTGTAGAAATCGCAGTAATTGTCGTAACACGCCCTACAAGGCGATGAAACATTACTCTTTATATCTATTATGAACGTGTTTGTTTGTCACCTCTGACCCCCTTTTTTAAATGAATGATAATGGAATGGTGGCCCCGCCCGCGCTAACGGTATACGCTGGCGGGGCACCAGTAAGGGATGATAGGTGAGAATAAAAAGGCAGGTCAGTCAGCTCATCGTGATGAATATACCTGGAATTAAGTTTTACCGACAGTTGAAAGTCCAGCTGTAGTTCTAGTGCCCTCCCCAACTATTATGGTACACTACTTTTTTTATGCTACTTAGAATGGCAAACAAGCTGACGGCCCACCTGATGGAAAGTGGTAACTGTCGCCTATAGACATGAGCAGTACTATGGACATAACAGAGTATACTGTTTCGCTCATGATACGCCCCATGCGTTGCCATTCCTGAGGACTCAGGTGTTATTCCTCTGTACCCTGTAAATTCACTGCCATATCCCATCCTTCAAACCGAAACAGCCATGGAAACAAAACTGATTTATGGTAGAAACACGAATGGGACAGAGGTGCTCAAACAAACGTCTTAGTACAAAGTCTCCCTCTGATAATTTGGTATTCTTGCTTGTGCTTATATTAGAAACTTACTTTGTTTGATTGGTGAAAGGATACCGGGGATCTATCCGTATCGTCCTGAATTCTTGATCACACATGTTGAATTAGAGGTAAAAATAATAAAACATATGTATATAAATGAGTGTCAATTTGACATACAATAAAACAAATGAAATTGTAAATATCAATATATTTTTCTATAGGGCCACGGTTTAATTCTATCTACAGAAGGTCAGTATACAATTGATTAAACTGTTTTAAATTTCGAATCTAATAAAAAACAAAACAAAAAAAAATTTCGGCAGTATGGTACACTGCCGATGTCAAATCTGCGGTATAAAATTTATAAATAATATAGGGCTAAGATAAATTTACCGAACATTATTTAAGAACCTTAACACATAAATATTTGAAGACTGAAATAAAAAATACACTTGTCTCGTTGCTGATTACAAGTCTTAATATAATAATAATAAAATCACTTTTGTCTATTGGTATGCTCTTCCATACGATGTGACATCAATTTGTTCGCCATTTTCAGTAAAGGGATAATTCTCAGAGAGACAAAATGTCTACGTAACTACATCGTGCATATCCGACATGCTCTTGACCTAAAACGTAATTCAATCTATAAAACAGTACAGGTACTTACGTATTGCTTATTTCAATAAGGACTATTTTTTACTGCAATAAGAGAAATAATCAGCAAGAATACATACATTAAGAGGCCACGTGTAGGAAGTAGCCGAGTCCATTAAACATAAAAAAATATTTATAAAATATACATTTTTACATGGAGAATACTGCCACATATACAGTTCATACAAAAGAATAAAAAAAAAAAGTGTTCCCTCAAAATTAAAGTTCGTAAAATCAACAAATACATTGCTGCTGGATAGTCGACAATAGAGCATATAAAAAAAATATCAAACAATCTCTGCAGATGCTCATGTCTACAGAAAGTAAGTCAATTCGAAGTTAGATTACTGGAAATTCCATTTTATAATAAGGATAAACTTTGCTATTGACCATAACTCACAGTTCAGTGTGATACTTTTGGAATTAAAAGGCGAAAATAGAAAAAAAAAATAACATTGAAAAAATAGTTAATAAAAGTTGTCTCTGGAAGGTCTTATGGAATAAAGATATTGGATATAAAGGATAAAGTTGAAGTCATCAGCGATACATAAAACTAAAAACCTACCCGTACTATAAAATAAATTAGGACAGACATTTTATGAATCAAAACTTCAAAAACAACATCTTTCAGTCTCCTATACTAACTTGACAACTGGACGCATACTACAATTTTTTTGCTTTTAACGATCCATGTTTAATTTTTTGAAAATGTTCAGTTTCCCTACTTCCTTATAGGGTTTAGTAATTTATATGATATATTGTAGGTAGCGTATATGCCTATTCTATGCCGGGACCATATGTGGTCCCGGCATAGAATAGGCCACTCCTTGCTATCACGTGTGTGTCGTAGGAGGCGACTAAGGGACGGGCAGCAGCATCCCTCTTAAAACATCTCTAAAGCCGAACTGCGGTTGCCAATCCGCCTACCAAGCGTGGCAACTACTGGCAAAAGCCTCCAAAGGGGAGGCTTATGTTCAGTAGTGGACAGTTAAAGGCTGATATGATGATAATGTACGTAGCGCCCACCTACTGGGAGGAGGGAGGGGTGATATCGCCCCGGTTGTGAACCTATAGCGTATACTACATTATGTAGCTATGTCACATCTCGTAGACACGTGATGATCAATGTATCTCGGTATCGGAATGCTTCCCGCTGGACACGCTGACGGTAGCGTACTGCTGCTGTCGGTGGAGGATGCCCAAGCATTGCAGGAGACACTGCATATTCGCCGCTGATGTTGCCTGGAATATAACGTTCCAAAATCAGCATTTCTGATTGTGGTAATAAATAGGCAATTCATGCAATGGAGATTTATTTTCAAATTTAACCTTTTTTTGCATGATTTTTTTATTGGTAAAATAAATCAAGGTGATATAATTCATGTTCCAAATTAAAGGAAAAAGGTTAAAAAAAAAAAAAATAGATAGCTATGTTTTTTTTTTTATGCAATAGACATTAAAAATGTATCCAGACACGATCAACTTAAAGTGAACTTGTTCTTTTATATAATTTTTGGGCGTTCAATGTTATAATGGGTTTCTACCGTGAAGTAGCTGTGTTTCGGATTGAAGGGTGGGATATGGCGTGAATTTACTGGGTACAGAGGAATAACATCTGAGTCCTCAGGAATGGCAACGCATGGGAAGTATCATGGGCGAAACAGTATACTCTGTTATGTCCATGGTACTGCTCATGTCTATAGGCGACGGTTACCACTTTCCATCAGGTGGGCCGTTAGCTTGTTTGCCAATCTAAGTTCATTTGAATTCATCATTAACCACGATAGTTTCCAGGGGGAACCGCGAGGAGGTCAACCTGGTTGGGTATATTGCTAGCAATGGGATTCTAAGTCTCCATTACTAACAATCCCTTTCCCCCCGTGAAACTTTATTAGGACACGGGAGGTTAGTATTTCATTTATATCCATTAACCCGTAGAGTGATCGGCTCTAGGCTAGCTCACTACACTCACTGCGTCACCGATTTTTGAAATTACCAAATTTCGATTAGAGATTAAGGAATACGTCGCTGCAAATTCGAGTTATGCAACGCTGTTGCATTAGCGCGCGTTACTACATTTTTGTTCGGTACAACGTACAATGCAGAAACGCTCGAGGGGATAAAAAATCCTAATAATATAAAACGAGAATTTAATAAAAATAAATTCATATAAATACCTTCAAAAGCAACAAGTCGGGATCTGTGTGCGGGAAGGGTGAATCCGACGACTCTATACATCTCGCCAAAGCGGCATCGCTGAAAGGTGAACATACATTGTAACTAGTCGTATCCCGCGGCGTTGCCCGCCTTTAACTATGTAGTTCCTGTATATCATTCCCATTAAAACTCTTCATGAATCCGGTCTTATATTTTATTTTATATTTAAATGATAATTACGTATCTAATACCTTCATAAAGTTTCAGTCAATTCAACTGATCGGTTATTTTATAGCATTTTATATGTGATTCTTTAGATTGTTATAAAAGATTTAACGACTTAAAACTAAGATGTCTGTTCTCCACAGTATAGTAATAAAAAGACAACCTTAATTCAGTGGCTTGAAGTTGTTGCCTGGCCGACGCCATAGCATCATGGACAGCAAGCTGTTCTCTTGGTTGTAATGGCGGATTAGCACCCATTGCCTGCAATATTTACATGTATACATATATGTATATTTACATGTATGTCCTAAAGATACCTGTGTATCAAATTTCATTCAAATTTGTTAAGTCCATTTATGAGTAATTAATGAGCAAAGTAAAGACTGCGTTTCGGTGTGAATGGTGGGATATGGCAGTGAATTTACAGGATACAGAGGAATAACTTCTGAGTCCTCAGGAATGGCAACGCATCATGGACGAAACAGTCTCTGTTATGTCCATGGTACTGCTCATGTCTATAGGCGGTTACCACTCTCCATCAGGTGAGCCATCAACTTGTTTGCCTTAGAACTTAGAATAAGTTGCATAAAAAAAAACATATTTACATAAACACATTTACAATATTAATAGAATGCATATTAAATAACTAAACCTAACTCCAATCCTTGTAATGTGCAAAAACAGCCAATCATAATCTAATCCAAAACATTCAAAGACAACACAAGTTTCGTTACATTTTGTTTTCTGGCACAAAATAAATTCTACATTGGCAACATAATTTAATTATGGTGAAACATCAATGCCATTTTGATTAACATAGAGTGTAAAAGCAATACAGGCATGAAGAATGTTAAACTGCATACAAAAAATACATGAGGTTTACTGATTTTGTTGTTTCAGTTTTGAAATTCAAATTAATACCTCATTTAATCATTACTATATTTATTTTCCAGGAAGGAAAGGGGGCTAACCCCTTGAAGAAGGCACATAATATACTTTTAGACATGTCTTTGGTCAAAGCTATAAGTTACTCTGCTGAGGCTGCTGGTGAGCACCAGACACTTCTGGGGTGGGAATGGCTCACCTGGCTTCCCCTTAAATATGCCCATACATGTAATCAACTGAAATTAAATGTCTTAATGATAAGTTCCTTACTTTACAGTTAGTTTACTCATAGATTTAGATACTTTTACATAGCTTTTTTTTAATAATTAGAAATATTATTGAGCACTATAAAGCACTTAGTAATTTTTTTTTAATCATAATAACAATTATTTATTCTATTAATTTATATTATTTTAAAAATTTTAAAATATAAAATACCTAAGCCTAATATATGGAAAAATATAAAAATATGTTTAAATATTAATTGTGATAGATTACTTTAGTGTGTATTTCAGCTATTGCTCGAAGTCCATTGACCCACTCCTGCCTAGCTCTAGCATCTGTTGCTCTCAGCTTGAGCATGTCACCAGAAGCACAATTGATAGTGAATGTGCGCGAGTCTTCATCACTAGGGCATATTACTGCTGCTGCCAAATGTGCCTGTTGGATATTAGTATATTTAATTTTTTTTTACATAAATTAAGCATAGGAATTCATATTATTACATTTTGTAAACATTTCATTTTAATAATTTATTATTTAAGACTGAGGCAAGCTTTCTAATTGATAGATATTAAAAAAAAATCTAAAATAAAACATACTTAATGGTATCGTATCATATAAATAGATCTACAAGCAAATTTTTTTTTCAGGAAATTTAATGAATTTGTATAAAGAATTACATTTAGCCTAAAATTATAAGTTGCCAGTTTGTTTCATTGCGATTTTCATTATGATGAATATACTTCTTTGTTGAAAATCAAAGAATGAAATCTACGTTTCATTATTAAATCCTAAAGTTAGCTAAATTATCCATGAAGTCTATAAGAGAGGCCTATATCCTATCGTGGACACTGAATGACTGAAGTGATAATTAAGATGCACGAAGAGGGTCCTACGTTGTATCAATACAAATACGTACTTTATCTGTCTAACTTTAATATTGAAATTATAAGTTTAAAACAACCCACCTCTCCTCTAGCAGGCTGTCCAGGTTGTATAGTATCTCCAGGTCCATCATAAAGATAATAAGACAGCACACCAGTTTCAGGATCAACTGCGAACCATCTCTGTTGCCAACCTTTTACTACATTTGTGTATTTGTAAAGCTGCCCTGATAAGGGCCTATGAGATCCCGAGCCTAGGTTCGTCGTTTTCATCATTTTATTCACAAAAAAGTTTTGGTAATCGTAATTACAATTAGGAAAATTTCATTAAGAAACCAAATTGATAAGTTTGAAAATTTATTTATATATTATAATTTATAAAAATGTAAAGATAAATAAAGAAATACTGATTAGATAGGTGATCTGTCATTGTTGACATAAAATACGTATTTTTGCAAGTGACATTTGTTAAGAACCTCCTTGGTTCAATGGCAGGCGATATGCATTCTAGCAGCGCTTGTCAATGTAAAATAAAGAAAAATAATATTTGAATAAATATGACAGATTACCCTTTTGTCTTATATACTATAAACATTGACTGAACTTTCTAACTGACTAATATTAACTAGTGTAGGTAACCAAAATCCTAGTCCTGGTTTTCCTTAACATTGATCCTGATCCCGGCGTTGCTTAATACTGGTGAGTGTTACTACCAATTTCCTATATTAGGTTATGGGCTAATACCAAACTTCAAAATGGATGTGTCGAAATTTCAAATTAATAAACTAGAAGGTGAAAATTGGATACATTGGAAGTATCGCATGTCAGCACTATTAAGGGGAATAGACGGTTTAACGGATGTAATAAATGGATCAATTAAAAAACCGGAAATGCCAGATAGTAGTGCTGGGGATTCAGCAGCTATGGCTAAGTACGAAGAGGACTTACGAAGCTACACTAAGTTGGATAGTATAGCTGTACTTGTAATAACAAATAATATTTCTGATAATATCCTGGATAAAATTCTAAGGTTAACGACCGCAAAGGAAATATGGGATGAATTGCATCGCCTATACGAAGGTGTATGTGAGGACCGCCTGTATGATTTGTGTTTAGAATTTTTCAGATATAAAAAAAATTCTGCTGATGACATAGCTTCACACATCTCGAAGTTGAAAAATCTGTGGTATAAGCTCAAGCAAGAATTAATGAAAGAAGAGGAAGGTAAGGATTTACCTGAAGTTCTATTAATTTGTAAAATCTTGGATACTTTACCTGAAACATATTTTTCATTCAAGTCAAGTTGGCTGTTAATGTCTAAGAAGGATAGGAATATAGAGAATATCACAAGTCAGCTGTGTGCGCATGAAAAGGCACTCGGTAACAATGTAGACAGTGAATCTAGTTGTGAGGCCTTTGCTGTCAAAGGAGTCAAGAAGAAACCTAGTAAGTGTGAAGACAAAGGTAGTAATAACAAGGACAGTAGCAAAAAGTTTAAATGCTTTGGTTGCAAAGAGGTTGGTCACCTTAAGAAAGACTGTCCTAAGAAAGTAGTTTCTCGAAAAGATTGCAGTAGTAAGGGAATTAACATGATGTTACTGACTGTGAATTCGGCTGAAAGTAGTATTGTAGATCGTGACCATTGGAATGTGGATAATGGGGCTACGAATCATGTTACAATGCGGAATGATATCTTTCAAGATTTCGAATACTTCAGTGAAAGTCACACTGTAACTACGGCGGACAAAAATGTGATCAAGGCAGTAGGCAAAGGATCAGTTTGTATTGAGGCCGATGTTAATGGACATACTGTGAGATCGACTTTGAGAGATGTTTGGTATGTTCCTCAGATAAGTAGAAATCTGTTTTCTGTATTATCGACGCAAGATAGGAATCCAGGTAGCGTGTTTGAATCACGGGTCACTACTTGTACTATGAAAATAGGAGGAATGATTACTGTGACAGGAAATAGGGAGAGGTATGGAGGATTATACAAGCTGAATTGTAGAGTCGTACCGCCTATTAATATGTCAGTAAATTTGGTACAGAAAGTTGATATATTGCAACTTTATCACGAACGTTTTGGTCATCAAAATAAAAGACATATAAGAAGTCTGATAGATAGAGAGTTGGGAATAAAAACAAAAGATAGTGAAGAATTATGCGAAGGTTGTATCTTTGGAAAATCTCACAGACAAAAGTTTGGTGTACGAGATAAAGCTACGAAACCTGGAGAACGCATACATTCGGATGTTTGTGGGCCCTTTCCATCTAGTTATTCCAAATTACGATATTTTGTACTTTTCAAAGACGAATATACACGTCATCGTTTTGTGTATTTTCTTCGGAATAAGTCGGAAGTACACGAGAAATTGAAACAGTTTCTAGTTGAAGCTAAAGTAGCTGGTCATGTTGTTAAGGAACTATTGAGTGACAATGGTGGTGAATTCGACAATGCACAAGTACGGAAAATATTGGTGGAAAATGGAATAAAGCAAAGACTGACGATGCCGTATACACCGGAACAAAACGGGAATAGCGAAAGAGATAACAGAACGATCGTGGAATGTGCTAGAGCTATGATGCATACACATGAAAGGTTACCTGAAACTTTGTGGGCTGAATTGGTGAATACTGCTGTATATATTTTGAACAGGACAGGGCCAACGTCAGTGGAACACAAGTCACCCTCAGAACTTTGGACTGGTATAAAGCCAAGGATTAAACACATGAGGATCATTGGGTCATCATGTTATGCTCACGTGCCTAAACAGACTCGAAAAAAATTACATAAGAAAGCTATGAAATGTATTCTAATAGGGTATGATAATGATGATGGATATCGTCTCTGGAATGGTTCTACTGGTTTAGTAAGGTCAAGAGATGTAACATTTGATGATATGTCTCTGCTAAGAGGTGAATCACTGAAGGTGTCTGAACCCATGCAAGCAGAATTTCCTAGCAATGTAATTGAGTTGCAACCTTTGGCATTACAAGAGATAACTCAACAGAGGAATGATGAAAAATTACCTCATGTAGAATCTTCTGATGCTCAGAATATTGTAATTGATAATGATGAAGTTGAAGGTCTTGTAAACAATAATGAGTTTATTGATAGAGAAGACACTTCTGTTATTAATGAAGATATATTTGATGATGCAAGAAGTAATACGCTAGAACAAACTATTGAATGTGGGGGAGTATTAGAAGGAAATGACGAAGCCGAGCTTCACGAAACTATGGATGAACATGAGATTATAGAGGAAAGTAGTCGTATTCTTAGAGATAGGTCATCGCTTCGTCTACCACAGAAATTCAATGATTTTGTTCTATATAATATAAATGGAGAGAGCACTGGTAATCAACTGGAACCTAATAGCTACAAGGAAGCTGTGAGAAGTGCTGAAAGTAAACTTTGGAGAAAGGCAATGGATAAGGAAATTAATTCTCTGAAGGAAAATAAAACTTGGGTGTTGGTAGATCTCCCGAAAGGTCGGAAAGTCATACCCTGCAAGTGGGTTTTCAAGGTCAAATTAAATGCTGACGGGAATGTCGACAAATACAAGGCTAGGCTTGTTATTAAGGGATATAGTCAGAAGAAAGGCGTGGACTATTATCAAACATTCAGTCCTGTAGCAAGAATGGCGACCATTAGAAGTGTATTAGCTGTTGCCGCTAGTGAACAGATGCATATGGCGCAATTTGATGTATCCACTGCATTTCTGTATGGCGATCTTGATGAAGAAATCTACATGCGACAGCCGGAAGGTCATGAAGATAACTCTGGTAAAGTTTGTTTACTGAAGAAAAGTCTTTATGGTTTGAAGCAGGCACCTCGGTGCTGGAACAAGCGTATATTAGATTTTTTCAAGGAAATCGGTTTGAAAGTATCTGACGCTGATCCATGCCTTTTCACAAGAAAGGAGTCTAGCGAGAAGCTCATTGTGGCTCTTTATGTGGATGATGGTTTGGTAGCTGCATCTAATCAGAAACTGATCGAAAATTTCCTAAAAGATTTAATGGGAAAATTTAAAATCACAACGAAGTCTGTATCCTATTTTCTCGGTATAGAGATAATAACCAGAGAAGACGGCATAAAAATTCATCAGAAGTGTCATGTGAACAAAGTTCTTCGACGGTTTGGGATGGACAGCTGCAGACCGGTGCATACACCAATTGTTAGAGACATGTCTCAAAACCGGGATAAGGTCGACATGAGTAATATGTTGTTGAATTATAGACATATTGTTGGAGCCTTAGCATATCTCATGGTTGGAACGAGACCTGACATTGCATTTGCTGTTAGTGTCGTCTCAAGAAATTTGGAAAATCCAACTGAAGACGATTGTGTAAAGCTGAAACGGATTCTGCGTTATTTACAACATACGCAAGATATGGGTATTTTGTATCAAAAGGACTATAAAAAGAGCATCATAGAGTGTTATAGTGATGCTGACCATGGAGGAGACGTTGGTACTGGAAGGTCAACTTCTGGAGTACTGTGCATGTTTGCTGGTGGTGCTGTATCTTGGATGAGTCAAAGACAAGCAAGTGTTGCAATTTCAACCACTGAAGCAGAAATAGTTGCAGCCAGTGAAGCAGCTCGAGAATGCATTTGGCTAACTAGGATACTAAGCGAACTTACTGAAATACAGTATCCTCCTGTATTACAAGTGGACAATGAAGCCGCGGTGAGACTAGCGGAAAATCCTGAGTTTCACAAGAGAACAAAACATATTCTCATCAGGCACTTCTTTGTTCGAGAACTTGTGACAAAAGGTGATCTCATGGTTCAGAAAATTAGCAGTGAGTGGCAGCTTGCGGATATTTTCACCAAAGCTTTACCAAAGCCAAGGTTAGAGAAGATTAGTAAGCTGCTAGGATTACACATCGAGAGAAGATGTTAAGAACCTCCTTGGTTCAATGGCAGGCGATATGCATTCTAGCAGCGCTTGTCAATGTAAAATAAAGAAAAATAATATTTGAATAAATATGACAGATTACCCTTTTGTCTTATATACTATGAACATTGACTGAACTTTCTAACTGACTAATATTAACTAGTGTAGGTAACCAAAATCCTAGTCCTGGTTTTCCTTAACATTGATCCTGATCCCGGCGTTGCTTAATACTGGTGAGTGTTACTACCAATTTCCTATATTAACATTAAGACTACTATAAACTGTGGCTCTCTGTTCTTACTATTACTACCACAGTGTAAAATGTCTTCATACTGATAAATCGTACACTATAAAGTATACGTTATCCTATATCTATGGAATAAACTTTTTGAAGAGAATTTTTCATCTACCATTTTCATCCCTAGTTAAGAAATTAGGGATGAATGTGGTGGGATAGATAAACATTTAGTTGTACTTTATGTATACATAAATACGTGACGGGACCATGTGTAATTGTTTGTTATGATTGTTAAGTATCCGATCTCGAGGAAAATTTCCAAGACAAAGTCTTAAATAAAAATAAGCTATTAAATGCAAAATTATAAAATTCAGATTTTCTTCAGAGGCATCCTATAATTAATTAATTAAAAATAATACAATTAACATAGTTATATAAATATAAATTTCTTTGCCTAAATATTTGGATATAAATTTAAAAATAAATTTGGAATAAGTAATGTTGCTAACTTAGTAACTTTCCCTTTAAATTTAGGAAGTAAAATACATATAGCGTAGCAGCCTATTTTTTTTATATGCAAAAATATCAATTTTCATTCATATTAATTAGTTTTATTTTGTACTTAATTATTGAAAGCGAAAATATTCGCTTTTTTATCTATCTATCGATTTATATAAATTATTGTCAGTAATAATTTATGTTTATTGTAGGTACATATAATAAGAAATAGGATTACAAAGAAAAAATAAAAAATATGCCAACGTATGTCACATCCTAAAGTATTTACTTCATTGGATTGTACAATATATGCAAATTTACTCTGTGATTGTATAATACAAATTTTGTAATATTTCATTTCATTTCACCATGTTATCATATTATTATATGTTATTGGGCAAAAGACCAATAAAGAAACTGTGCTGGAAATTTCTTTTGGTATAATTACTATAATTTTTCGGGGAATTTTGATTTGTTGTTGGCAACATAGTGTTTGTGTTTTGAAATTGTATCTGATATCATCTATTTTTTGTATATTTGTTTTCAATTAATTAACTGAATTAATTTCAATTCTCCAACTTTTGTTGCGTGCATTATAAACTCATGAACTTATTATGTTAGATTATTTGTGATAAAATGGTTTTTAAATTAGTACGGACCGATTCTGAAGACCCATACAAGATACAACTTGATGTAGGGACGCATTTGATTGGAAGGGGTAAATTTTTAAATGTAAGTTCTGTTATTATAATTTCACTATATTTAAAATTATATCTTACTCAACTATGCCTATTTTGTCTTAAGAAGCAGATGCCTAATTGCTTATTATGACGAGCAATTATGGTAAGTAAGAAAGCTGGCGTATGATGGGCGTATTTAAAGTGTTATCTAGTGTTTACATTAGAATAAGGAAGGAGCAGAGCTTTCAGTTATAAGCAAAGACAGATCTGAGAGTACATACTTGCTTTTTTAAGTGGCCAGCCCCTCCCCCTGTAAAATAATCTTTAATTTGCCAATTATACATTACTGAGTCAGTAGGCAGCCTTAAGGAAGATAATAATCACATATATCTATTATTAATCCTATCTTATTGCATTACTCTATTGAAATTAAATTCCCTGTCTGTACTTATATTCATACCTAATATTTGTAATTATTCTTTTTTTATTAATTTTAATTTTGGTCCAATTGAGAGGCTAAGTGAAATGAAATGTTTAAACAAACCATCTAGGGTAGACAATAACTCCTTTATTTATATAAATTACAACCTTCTACAAACCTCTTTTAACTATTATATTTTTTGTTTTTTTTTTTTCAATAAAAGGAATTTAGCACAAAAGAAAGAGATAAAACAGTTCAATAGGTAAAATAGGTTTATGAAAGGTTTTATGTTTATGTATAAGAGCATACTGACCGACATTGGGGAATGATATTGAGGTACTATTCTCTAAACCTATTTGCAAAGAGAGCTATTTACAATAAGTTATAATTTTATTTCAGTGTGATGACAAAAGAATATCAAGGAACCATGGGGAGTTACAAGTTGATGAAGACACAGTCATTATTAAAGCAGTAAGATATGAAATAGTGTTCAATTCTAATGTCTCTTTGTAATATATTAGTTGAAGCCTCTTACCAGTTCTTCCTGGGCGGAACTGTACACTGAACTAGATGGTAGATTAAAAAAAGGTTGTATATAAATGGTAAAATAAAAATATGTACCATGTCAATAATTCACTGTGATTTTATATATATATATATCTATTATATAATTCTTGTGTTGCGGTGTTTGTTACCAAACTCGTCCAAAATAGCTATACCGATTTTTATGAAATTTTGTGTGCATATCAGGTAGGTCTGAGAATCGGCCAACATCTATTTTTCATACTGCTCAATGACAAGGGTGACCCACACCTAAATATTCTTTTTTCTTTGTAGTTTGTGAATTTTTTTATTTTTAGTTTATTATTATTTAGCATTGAAAAACACATACAAATTCAAATTTTGACCCTTTTCTGATTAACCCCTGGTTTTTAATCGCGATTTTTATATTCCGCAATAGGGTTTCAAGATGGCAATCAATAATAATTGTAGTATGATAAATTTACATGTATAGTTTTAGAACTAATGTATATGGTGCAACAACGTTTGCCAGTTCAGCTAATATATATATATACATGTGACACTTAACCTAAATAATTTTCTAATTGTGGTATATCAATAATTCAATGTGTCAGAGTTTTTCTAGAACCACCCTCACTGTTATAACTTTTTATGGAAAAAGCTATTATTATGTAGGGTACTAACATATAACTGATCATCAATTGTAATAAGCCATTCTCAATAAAAAAACATGATTAATTTGTGTTATTCCTTATTTGATATATAATACTAATATATTTGTTTTTGTTTCATTTATTTTGTAGCTACACCAAAACCCTTGCTTCTACTTAAAAAAGGGCATTGAAGAGACCCAAATATTAAGGCAGAATTGTACCGTAAATCTTTATAATGGGGATAAATTTGGAATGTTACCAGATTCATGTTGGTATGAAGTATTATACTGCACAAACTCTGATGTCAGTAAACATACACCTGAACAAGAAGTTGATGAATGTGATAAGTATACAGCAAATACAGAGCTGGTGGATGATGGCATAGACAATAATGATGATTCAATAGAACCACGAGTAAGAAGTGATGAGGGTGATATGCCAGACTCTCCATCTCTCTTAGGTATGTAATAAGTCATCGGGTTTCATATGAGTTTCTAGACATGAGTATTGATTTATTAATATGTGAAGCAGAGGGAGACTGTACAAAAGTCGATTGCTTGAGTACCTCTGTCCCATTAGTGTTTCAACCGTGAAGCAGTTGTGTTTGCATGGCTGTGTTTCGGTTTGAAGGGTGGGATATAGTGTGAATATACTGGGTACAGAGGAATAACACCTGAGTCCTCAGGAATGGCAACACATGGGGGGTATCATGGGCGAAACAGTATACTCTATTATGTCCATGGTACTGCTCATGTCTATAGGCGACGGTTACCACTTTCCATCAGGTGGACCGTCAGCTTGTTTGCCATTCTAAGTTGTATAAAAAAAAAAAACTTTATGGTAAATTATAGTAATATAGTGTTTTCTAAGTTACCTTGAAATGTCTGGATTATAATTTAGGCTCTTTGCATGCATGTTAAACATTTTAGGCAGTAAGTTTACAAGATAAACTTTGTTCATAGTAGCAATTAGGTTAGGATTGCTTTGTCCAGTAAATTAATCATTAATTTTACATGGGTCCTTATGTAATATATTTTTTGTAATCTGTTATAACAATTCTAGCAACAGTTCAGCAGTCTGTGTCAAATCTTCAGACACAAGAGCAGTCAACAAGAGATGAGATAACACCAACAGATGATGAGGTAACACCGACAGATGATGAGGTAACAAACAAGAAAAATAATGGTACTGATCATCATGCAAATGATGAAAATCCTATAAAAAGATCACACAGTCCAACTCCAGGTGGTGATGATGATTTAGCAAAAAAGGTGAAGATTGAAGGAGACATTAAACAAGAAGTGGATGATATTAAACAAGAAACAGATGATGTACAGGCTGGACCTAGTAATGATCAAATGGTAAAGTGAACCACCAATTATTGTTACATTTGAATATAAAAAGAAATTAAAAAGAATCATTAAAATTGATCTGTTGAAATTTTGATACTTCCTTTTACGATTAATAGGAATTTTTGCTTTGGTTCTTAGTCATATATTAATTTTGTCTCAATCAAAGATGAATTTACACTTTGTTCTATTACAAAGTCAAAAAAAAAAATTATTAAAACTTTTTTTTTTATACAACTTAAAATAGCAAACAAGCTGACGGCCCTCCCGTTGGAAAGTGGCAACCGTCGCCTATAGACATGAGCAGTACCATGGACATAACAGAGTATATTGTTTGGCCCATGATACCTTCCATGCATTGCCATTCTTGAGGACTCGGGTGTTATTCCTCTGTACCCAGTAACATCACGCCATATCCCACCCTTCAAACCGAAACACAGCCATGCAAACACAATTGCTTCACGGTTGAAACACGAATGGGACAGAGGTACCCAAGCAATCGACTTTTGTACAAAGTCTCCCTCTAACTTTATGACCCTTGTATGAAGGATCAATTTTTCTTAGAGAAAATAAAAGATTATTTATTTAATTTTTTATATATTGTCATGAATTAAATTAATTCCATTGTATGGTAGAGAAAAGAATGTAATATAGAAATATGATAATAATAAAAGGTGATAAAAAAATGACCTATATGAATAATTTGCTTTTTCTTATGTAACTTAGAATGGCAAACAAACTTATGGGCCACCTTAAGGAAAGTGGTAAGCATCGCAGTATACTGTGTCGCCCATGATGAGTGGTTCAAGCCTTGTCCTGAGGATAAAGATGTTATGCCACTGTACCTTGTAATTTGATTTCTTGATTGGGTTGCTAGAAATTAATCAATGACAATATCAAAATGGTAAACCCTTCTATGCGATGGTTGGATAAACAAAATCTGTTTCAGGATGCTTCTGGATCTCACAATAAAAAGACCCCATCACCATCGCCAGCAAAACCACTAATTCCTCAGTTGCGGGAACGATGCATGTACGGAGCCAACTGTTACAGGTATGTATACAAACTTATTAGTTTTTTAATAGATATAAATAATTCACAATAAGCCTTATTTGTGAACTGCTAGCAAAATAATCGAAAGATACAGCCATTTGAAAAATTTATAGATTTTTTGGATCCCTTAATTTTTTCTACTAGTGTATAAGTATACCATGGTATGGAGAACCTTCCAGATGGAATGATGACTATATGTGTTGTAAATGGTTGTAGGTGACTTAGAACTGTTTGTTGTGCAAGCAGACGCCATTTTGATAGTAGTAAAAAATAATATACCAGTTAAAGTATGCATGTCTCTGTATAGAAAAAATCCTCAGCACAAAGCGCAGTTCAGCCACCCGGCGGACACGGATTGGGGCGCGGGCGAGCGCGGCCAGTGTCCGTGGGGCCGCACGTGTCGCCGCCGCGACCCCCGCCACTGGCAGATGCACGACCACCCGCCCGGCACGCAGCCGCCGCCGCCGCCCCACGCTCAACCAGGTTTGACTCGCACGTATATAGTTTTGCTAAGAGATTTTATACAAATTGTCTACGTGGGTTTCTACTGTCGATCAGCTGTATTTGGTTTTGTAGAGCAAGACATAGCAGTAAAATTACAAGATATAGAGGCACCATAATTCTCAAGAATGGCATTACATGGGTACCTTACACATAGTGTGTTGTTGATGTCTATAGACGACTATTTTCTATTAGCTGGGCCGTCAGGTTATTAGCCGCTCTATCATAAAAAAGCAGGTCAAGTGTGAGTCGGACTCGCGCAACGACGGTTCCGTACAAAATTTTCAAGTTTAAATTTTTGTGAAAGATTTACAAATTTGCGGTTTTCGGATTTTTTCCCTTTGCTTGTGCTACATGACATTGCATCTTGCCAAATTTCATGATTTTAGGTCAATGGAATGTACACTATAAGTTTGATTACATTTACGAATGGCAAAATATGTGATATAATTTTTTTTATACAACTTAGAATGGCAAACGAGCTGACAGCCCACCTGATGGAAAGTAACCGTAAAATGGAACATAAATGGTCCTATCTTTTGATCGTCGATTTAGAAGCTTGATTTTTTCACTGCTTTAAATGGTTGCAGACCTGAGTATATGATATTAATTTCAACTTGATACCTCCACGGGTTCTTAAGAAAAAGGATCTTGACAGACGGACAGATGGACAACGAAGTTATCCATTTTCCTTTGGAGGTACGGAACCCTAATTAACTAACATTTCCGTTTTGTTGCACAGGTATGCAAGTAGTCCAAAGACACGGTAATATATTCTATATAAATGCACATGCTGTGAACTTTTACGATGACCATTTCCAAGTGGAGGATTCAGACGGAGACAGTGTCGATTTCGACTACGAGTTCTAAACAGATACGGTGTTATTGTGATATTTATCGATTCAATCATGAAATCCTATTGGATGTTCCTAATTTAAAATTATTACTAAGAGACGAATGTTGTTTATAGCAGGTAGAAGGACTAAGAGAATCAGACATGATAGTAATGGTGACTCACCGGCGCAAGACCTCATATTACAAGGTAAAAGAGTGAGAAAGACGATCGATAGGCCCACATGGAGCGATTCTGAGTCGAACAGTGACCCATTCCAAACAGATGATTCCGATGACTGGCAACCGTCATCGACTAATGATACAGAGAGTCAATACTTCACACAAGATATGGACGATTGAATTATGTTATGTTGATATGTGATTGTAAAATAATTGTTGTTTATAAATATTCAAGTTTTATGCAACATCAAGGATATTATTTCTCCTCTTTCTGTACGATAATAAAAAACATATCTCTATTTGTCTATATTTATGCCATTTATCGTTATTAGAATAATTAGAATTATAAAATAATGTATAGTTAACGTTAGATAGTTTAGTTTGTTATTTACATACATTGTTACAAGTTGTCTGGAGTCTGTAGCACAGGTTTTTTTTTTGATGGGTGAAAATGGTATGGTAACCCTGCGCTAACGGGATACGCTGGCGGAGCACCAGTGAAGGGTGATAGATGAGAATGAAAACAGGCCAGTTAGTCCATCATGTTGAATTCATCAGGAATTAACCATGATACTCTCTCCTACTTGCTGTGCCCAACAGGGTCCATAATTGAAACCTTATGTAATAATTATGTATTATGTATTAATTAATTATTATGGAATGCAATAAATAAATAAATAGTTTCCAGGGGGAACCGCGAGGGGGTCGACCTGGTTGGGTATATTGTTAGCAATAGGATTCTCAGTCTCCATTACTAACAATCCCTTTCCCCCCCGTGTAGCACAGGTTTTCCTAGTTCAGCTATCAGTGCATAATAAATACACTGAGTATTCTTAAGTAAATAGTTTGTTCATACAGCAATGTTGTGAATGAATAAATATAATTTCGAATTTGAATTCATGACCTGCTTCTGCCTACCCTAATGGGAGACAGGCGTGACAGATATGTATGTATGTATGTATTTGAATTCATGTCAATTCCTATTAGGCTGAGATCTGAATGCCCAAGGCTTCTATCATTACATATATACATTTCTTAGATCTACTTTTATAATTCAACCCATATGTGCACACTGCTTCTAAAGACTTGTAACTTATATAATAATAGTGGCCAAATTAATATTTTGTACTAATGTATATATGCAGTGTTCCCCCCCTCCCCCCTTCTTTTCCCATATAAGTCCATTATTCCTCTCATTCACCAATCTCCTTTACGCATTTCCAACATTCCCTTCCTTTTTTCCTCAATCCTTTACTCCATACCGTAGATAGCGGAAACCATCAACAAATGTATTACAAAAGAGGGTTGACGTCAGGCAGGTGGCCGGTCGTAAAACTTAAAACCAAATCTTTTTGTAATATGGATAAAATCATCACGCCGACCCCAAATGATTGGGATAAGGGTAGGAAGATAATGACTAATGTATATATATATAACATGGGGCGTAAACGAGCATGCGGCTCACTTGATGGTGACTACCGCCGCCCATTATGATCACCTGCAACACCAGTCATTGCAGGTGTGCTGTCGGCCTTTTAAAAATGAATATGCTCTTTTTTTGAAGTTATGATGTCTTATCGGTTCAGAAATACTGCTGTTAGCAGTTGATTCCAATCATACATCGATAACCAATCCCAAAATGTTCTCTTATCATATTATTAGCTAGCTAGAAAGTTTGTAATCATATAATTAGTTTACTCTGTTATGTCCACGGTACTGCTCCTGTCTATATGGGGGGTATCATGGGCGAAACAGTATACTCTGTTATGTCTATGATACTGCTCATGTCTATAGGCGACGGTTACTACTTTCCATCAGATAGGCCGGCAGCTTGTTTGCCATTCTAAGTTGTATAAAAAAAAAATCTTGTCAATTCACAGGTTTTATTTATATTATCAAATGAAAGATGTGGATCAACAAAATAGTTATATTATACTTTCAGTACAAATGAATTTGCATCTAAAGTCTATTTACAAATTAATAATAGCCTTCATCATCAGAGAGATGATTATTTTCCCAGTCTTGCTGCAATGCTGGCGGTGGTACTATCAGAGTGGATGGGGCCTCACCACCTCGCACATGGAGCGCATACACTGCCGCCTCGACTTTCGCCACATTGGCGCGTGTTACGTTCATTTTACGGCCCAACTCCTTGCCCATGCCGAACAGACCTAAGAATTAAAAAAAAAATGCTGATAGTATACAATCTGTGGATAGCTATCGATATAGTCATATACAATTTACAATTAACTCATCACGAACAATGATGTGAAAATTATTGAAAAAAAATTGGTGACCAGTAGTAGGATATTGGTAATGGATTGTTATGGGAAGAGGAACTAACCATACTTATAGACATAAGCCTATCCCTAAGGAGGTATTGCCAGTAGTTGCCACGCTTGGTAGGCGAATTTGCAATCGCAGTTAGGCTTTGGAGAATGAAATGAAATGAAATTTCTTGCTATGAATGTGGTAAGTTTAGGTACTATTATACATTTTGTGTTTAACATTAACATTCAGCTTGGCATGCAACATTTTTACATGTATTATTATTGTCAACTATGTATTATTATTGTCAACTATGTATTATTATTGTCAACTATGTATTATTATTGTCATCTATGTATTATTATTGTCAACTATGTATTATTATTGTCAACTATGTATTATTATTGTTGTTAAATATTTGAAGATTTTTTAAGAGGAACACTGCTGCCCACGCTTGCTTTCCTTAGTCATCTTTTACGACACCCATGGGAAAGGAAGGGGTGGACCTTTCTATGCCAGGACCACACAACAAATACCCATATAATGGCCAAAAACTATAAAAAATTAGTAAATTTAACAATAATATTTTCACGATTCATGGGAACCATTTGTTAAATGTAATAATATGGGATTAATAACATACCTAAATATCCAGTGTAAAGCTCTCTGACAACCTGACAAACGTAAATACATTCAGCACTGTCCCCGCTAGCTATAGTATTTATCGCTCGCCTCATCAGCTCACCAGTGAGATCTGCTATACCCAGCATATAGTCGGTTTGTGGCATTTTTGTAATGACACTGCGTTCAATCTCATTACCATCAATTTCCTCCTTCACATTGTATGAAAGTTCAGTCTGTACCTCTTTGTATGGAATGATAACTTTCTTCTCCATTAACGAGCACAGTGTCCTGGCCTCAATGAATTCCTGAAACCCTGCTGTGACAGCCCTGGTGTGTAAATATGCCGGACTATTTTCCAATTCTAAACCAATACTTTTCAAAGGCCCACTGATTAGTTTTTGAAGCCTCTCATTTGCATCTTCTACAGCTTTCTTTGTTGCTTCTTCACTGTTCAACAATATAAAAAAAATTTAAACCAAAACAATAAGCAACAATAATATGAACTTAAATGTTCTTGTATGTTACTACTGAATTTATAAGGAATTAGTCGGTATAGGGTATGGACAAATGCAGTGTAAGATGATTCTCCATTAGACAGACAACCTCAAATACATTGCAGGGAGGAATTGCTGCCCATCCCTCCACAATAAGCTCCTTTAGTCGCCTTTTACAATACCCACGAGAAAGGGTTGACCTATTCTATATTGGGACCTACACAGCTATATATATTTCATGTAATTATGGAGAAGGCTTATGTTCAGCAGTGGACGGTTAACGGCTGATATGATGATGATGAAATTGTTAAATATTTGGAGGTAAACATTTAGGATTTTTTTCCAAGATGGAATTTGCCCATTAAAAAGGATATATATGTATTCTTAGACATGTTTTCGGTAAGCTTATCTTGTATTCTGGGGAGGGCACAGCCCACCCCTACTTAAATATGTCTTTGGGGCAAAATGAAAATTGCAACAATAGGTAAATAAACAAACTCTAAATATCATGGGACTGAGGGTATTCACTGACTGAAGTAAAAGTCTCAGACTTTCATTACAAAATATTACATTAAATAAACCGTTTCTAAATAATTGTATAAAAAATTACCCACGTAATAGCAGAGTGTAACAAAAAGATGATGCGTTTACTCTCCATGGTGATGTCTCTGGATAGTTTCACCAATCTTTCGTGTCTATCTTGGCGGTCATTTAACTTTATTGCAGCGGATCTGAACATAGCCAATACTGGACTATCTGGTGCGAGAGACGCGGCCGTCTCGCGAGCCACGGAGGATAATGTTTGTTGGTTTTTATTGCGATTACCGCGGTGAAATCGTCCTGTAAACAAAATTTTATAATTACATCAACACGGTTTGTTTTTATTCTGTAAAATTTTATTCATCCATTTACCTCGTCCTGACATAACTAGGAACTTTGCTAACTAAATCGAGAATAAACTAATAAAGAAAATAAATTATATTCTTTTTGTAATGTACTTGTACGTTTTAAAACATAAACAATAAATTACAGATTACACTACACAACATACATAACAAACTTCTTAACTCTGTCATCATGACATATATCGTCACATTCCCTATACTAGTATTTGCATTATAGATTAAGAATAAATATAAAGTTCTTTTTTTAATTATTCAACAATGAATTTATTTTATATTATATAATATTTATTATATATAATTAAAGATTAAGTAAACAATTTAAAGTACTTGAAAATAAAATACATGATAATAAAATAATAAATATATATTAATAAATATATAATAAATATGTACTGATATTTAGTAGTAGACCGTTAATGATTGATATAATAATAATAAACTGTACAAATTACTTAGAAAGTGGAAGATTTGCCCGATATTTAATGAAAAATGAATCCAGAGAAAGTATTAAGTATCTAATATACATATACGGACAAAGAACGCCTAAAAAGCAAAATTTTTTAAAACCGTGTTTTCGTATGTAGGACTTAGAAAAAAAAGTAAATTCGTACAATAAAAAGTTCTTATTTTTAATATAAAGTCCAAATTTGTGTAAAGTTTAATATATAGGTAAAGTACATATAAACTCTCGTAATAATAATGACAAGTATAATTATACTTGTCATTATTATTACGAGAAATATAATCAAACAAGGTCTATTATGTATATTTTAATTTATGTTTTTGTATTGATATATGGATGTATTTAATATAGGTATATTAGATGAATTCATAAATTTTTTATAATCACGTCATGTGGCGCTATTCCGAATTTATATACAGCATGTATTATCTGTCTACGGTGGCGACGTTTACTACGATTGTACTTGACGTGACGTTGTGTGTGACGTCACGTCAATGTTGTCATTTGTTGATTTACACCTACCTACCTGTGCGGTAGTATTTTATACCTACTTAAAATTTTAAATTCTTTTAATCATTAATTGATTCCATTAATCTCCATCATTGTTAAAGAAGTTGCTTTTTAAATAAAGGAATTCGCGTTGACTGACCAGAGTCCGCGAAATCCACTAAAATATCTAGAAACGATAAGCCGGGCGTGTCCTATATTATTGAAAAGGTATTGTTTCCAAGATCATCAACTAGATTATGAATAAGTAATTTAGTTGATTTGTAACATTCCCGTTGTTTACATATATTTTAAATACACAATCCTGACTTAACGCAATATAAAAGTCCTACATACCTGCTTCTTTATTGCCGACGTTTTACCTGTAAAGGCTTTTACATCGCGTAAGACCCCATTGTGTATGTAAGATATGTAACTCGTTCTGTTTTTATTCTAATTTATTGCTTTCTACAGGAATTGTAACTGACGACGTCTACAATGTCACAAACTATAACTTTTGGTGACTCATGTGCTCCTATTACTTGTCATGCTTGGAACAAGGATAGAACACGTAAGTAATTAATTAATTAAAGGGAAATTCCGAAATTCTTATTTAGAATACTTCTGATAACCGCATGACCGATATTGGGATGTACCATGCCAACATATCAACTGAATAAGTAAATTGAATTCTAGGTACAAGTATGGGTATGGGTGTAATGGCTTATTTGATTTCTTATTTTTTTTTTTTGATGGGTGTAAATGGAATGGTAACCCCGCCTGCGCTAACGGGATACACTGGCGGAGCACCAGTGAAGGGTGATAGATGAGAATGAAAACAGGCCAGTTAGCCCATCTTGATGAATTCATCAGGAATTAACCATGATAGTTTCCAGGAGGAACCGCGAGGAGGTCAGCCTGATTGGATATATTGCTAGCAATGGGATTTTTTAGTTTTCATTACTAACAATCCCTTTCCTCCCTAATTTGTGTGTAATAAAAATAATTTCTTATATTTTTTTTTGATGCAAAAATGAATTGGAGAAGAAAAGTGCACTAATCGTTCACAAGATACCATTTTTGATGAGAATTAAATATCATAATTATTTTTCTTCCTTTAATTTCTGTAACCCTAGTAATAATCTTGTTTTCTATCATGCATATATGATTATAATTTTAAAATATTTTTTTTCTCCATTATACAACTTAGAATGTCCATAATTTCTTATAATAAAAATTATAGAATAACTGCAAAAATGAATTAGGAGAAGAAAAGTGCTACTAATCGTTCACAAGATACACATTTTGTAAGAAATTAAATATCATAATTATTTTTCTTCCTTTAATTTCTGTAACCCTAATAATAATCTTGTTTTCTATCATGCATATATGATTACTTTTAAATATATCTTTTTTTTAAACAAAACACAGAATATGCAAACGCAACTGCTTTACAGTATCTGATAGAATATTGGTATAAGTTTTCAATCCTAAAATGTTTGGCTTTTAGTAGATAATAATGGATAGGTTAAAAGATTTCCCCATTAATTATCATAACCAGAGGAGACTTTGTACAACAGTGTTATTCCTCTGTACCCTGTAAATTCACTGCCATTAACGACCCTTCAACCGTGAAACACAGCTGTGCAAACACAGCTGTGTTCACGGTTGAAGGGTGGGATATGGTGTGAATTTACTGGGACAGAGGAATAACACATGAGTCAATAAGAATGGCAACGCATGGGGGGTATCATGGGCGAAACAGTATACTCTGTTATGTCCATGGTACTGCTCATGTCTATAGGCGACTGTTACCACTTTCCATCAGATGGACCGTCAGCTTGTTTGCCATTCTAAGTTGTATAAAAAAAGTTGATAATTAATTTGAAATGTTTTAAAAAAGTTAATATGACAATGGGTTTGTTATTACTTGGTGCTTTTATGGCTTAATCAATTAGAAACTGCTGTATGAGTGGTGAATTTAATAATTAATGATGATTAAAAAATTTATTATACATATAGCAATTTTTATTTTATGTGTCTTAACAATATAGGCTCAGTAAATTAAATGGAACCTGTATGTGCAGTTATAAAGGGAGGTTTAGCACAAAAAGAAAGTTTAAATCATACATACATATCTGCCACGCCTGTCTCCCATTAGGGTAGACAGAAACAATGGAACGCCAAACTTCGATTCAAACAAACTCTTTCGCTCTCTCCACATTCATCAATCTTTTCATACATGCTCGCTACTATGGCTACTTTTAATTTGGCCCTTCTTCAGCATGTCGCCTATTTTAAAGGATATACATTTTGATAATCGGAAGGTATGAAAATTCTTACCAATATGAATACTTATTATTTTTCAGAAATTGCTTTTTCACCAAACAATAATGAAGTCCACATCTATCAAAAAGAAGGCAGTGATTGGAAGCAAACAAACAACCTTGTTGAACATGACTTAAGGGTTATGGGGATAGATTGGGCGCCAAACACCAATCGAATTGTGACATGCTCTGTGGATCGTAATGCTTATGTTTGGACCCAGGGACCTGATGGGAAATGGTCAACCACCCTTGTGCTTCTTCGTATAAACCGTGCTGCAACCTGTGTAAAATGGTCACCTATGGAAAATAAATTTGCTGTCGGCTCTGGAGCAAGGTTGATATCCATTTGTTATTTCGAGAAGGAGAATAATTGGTGGGTATCTAAGCATATTAAGAAACCTATACGCTCGACTGTCACCTCTCTTGACTGGCATCCCAACAACATATTGTTGGTTGCCGGTTCGGCTGATTTTAAAGTTCGCGTTTTCTCCGCATATATCAAAGATATTGAAGACCAGCCCGGACCAAATGTATGGGGATCAAAATTGCCTTTGGGACAGTTACTGGCAGAGTTCCCGAATTCGCCATCTGGAGGAGGTTGGGTTCATAGCGTTTCATTTTCTGCTGATGGAAACAAAGTTGCATGGGTGGGACACGACAGCTCCATCAATGTAGCCGATGCTACACAGGGCAAAGCTGTCTTTAAACTTAAGACTGAATATCTGCCATTTTTGGGATGCAATTGGATAACAAACAATTCAATTGTTGTGGCAGGGCATAGTTGCATTCCATTGTTGTATGCTTATGATGAGAAAGAAGTTAAATTTGTTGCTAAATTAGACAACACTCAGAGGAAAGAGTCGGGAGGATTGTCTGCTATGAAGAAGTTTCAATCGCTTGATCGTCAAGCTCGTATTGAGACCAACGATACTCTCTTAGACTCCATTCACCAGAATGCTATTACTCATATCAGCCTCTATAAAGGGACAAAGGCTAACACTGAAAAGTTCAGCACTTCTGGTTTGGATGGACAACTAGTCATTTGGGACATAGATTCCCTGGAGAGGAAGATAGATGGGCTCAAAATATAATGAAATGGCTCCAATGAATTTATAATTTTATTTAAGGATAATAATATAATCGGTTTGCGTGCGAGTTCTGAATTCACTCCTTTAATATAGATATATTAACAGAAATACGAAAAGCTGTGGAAATTATAACATCGCAATCACAGTCTGATCAGTCTAGCTAGGAGAAAAATAAGCCAATACAGAGATGAGTGACTTCAGTTGCACAAACAGTAAAAATTTTCAAATATACAGAATAAACTATAATTTATAGATACAACTTCTATGTTTATTTTTTTTTTATTTATTTTTTAATTATTATACAATTATAAATTTTAACTGATCGTAATAAAGTAATAAGTTATATAAATTAAAACATACAACTACAGCCTATTTATAATTATTATAGATCACTTTTAATACTACTGAAGTACTGATTGCTGTCAATGTTACATTAAAATTTAAGGAATCAACGAGTGTATTTTTATTTTTTAACGTTAACATCCAAGTCATATATTAAACCTATAAAACTATAAGGCCATATTGTTTGTAAATGAGTGTGCATTATTGCGTGTTGGACACGATATTGAACACTGGTCCGATGCGGATGAACACCCGGCGCAGCACGGAGCGCAGCTCGGGCTTCAAGTCGAAGCACGTGATCTCACACAGCAACGGGTAGTAGCTGGATACGTGGGCCGCAAACTGCAGTCAATACATACATTACATTGCAATAATTTTTCAATTGTTTAGTAAATATAAGGTAACCTCTCCTTGGGGGGTGGGGGGTTTCTTAGTAACGGGGAAGTTAGTCCTTATTACTATATAACTAACTTAATATATATATATATATATATATATATATATATATATATATATATATATATATATATATATATATATATCCTATCGGGTCGACCTTCACGTGGTTCCCCCTGGAAACTATTGTGATTAATTGTTGAATTAGTCATGATAGGCTAACTGTTCTGCCTTTTCATCCCTCACTGGTGCCCCGCCAGTGTATACCGAAAGCGCAGGCGAGGTTACCATTCATTATCATTCATTAAAAAAAATCCCTCTCATTTGGGTCCTTGTATGTGTAGTTAGAGGTTGAGTAGGTCCATATAGTACAATTCGAACTCGACGGGTCTAAGTTTACTAAAACTTAGATAACGAAGCTAATTAATCCAAGAGATAGTGGCCGTCTCTTGTTATTAAATTCAAATCATCGTTATCACTACAGTGACTCATTACAGAGGTACCTCTTATGACGGGAGATATAAAAGAGTGGTGATACATTGTATCCATACTCCGTCGCCACGCTAGGTTTAAGTATGTAAGTAAAACATACAGTAACAACAATAAGTTAATAACAATGTTAGCAAAGGCGAACTTATCTCTAAAATAGATGACATAGGAAGTAGTGAGTGGGCAGTAGTAGTGCTAAACAGTATGTATATATATATATATATATATATATATATATATATATATATATATATATAAATAAATACAACATATAATATGCGCAAGTCGAGTGCTTTATAGATGAAATAATGCAAATGTTCGCCGTACATAATACAATTTTATGTCTAAACGACGAAATTTTCGGGATTTAGACATTTTACGTGTTTCTACCGTAAAGCAGTTGTGTTTACATGGCTGTGATTCGATTTGAAGGGTGGGATATGGCAGTGAAATTACAGGATACAGAGGAATAACACCTAAGTCCTCAGGAATGGCAACGCATGGGGGGTATCATGGGCGAAACAGTATACTCTGTTATGTCCGTAGTACTGCTCATGTCTATTATATAGTTAGGCGATGGTTACCACTTTCCATCAGGTGGGCCGTCAGCTTGTTTGCCATTCTAAATTGTATAAAAAAAAATATACGAGTATAACAAAGAGTGAGCTAATTCAACTAATAGATATCGATTATATTTTAATGTAAATATTATGTACTTACTCTTTCGTCGGGCATCTTAAGTATTCTTGTGAGAATCAACAGTAGGATCGACGTCCACGCATCTCTATGGGTTTCATTGGTAACCCCAGCGAAATATTCCAAGGCTTCGCAACAAATGTTTATTAAGCTTTTTTGTACAGCGGGCCAGTGATCTCGACGCGCTTCGTCACTGTACATTTTGAATAGTATCCGCAGAACACACGCTAATGATTGCGTCTCCTGTTTCAACATGTTAGGTTTCACAGCTCCTTTAAAATTGGCTTTCCAGAGTACATTTCTCTGGGCGTTGTTCGTATTGAATGTTTTAGCGAAGCGGTGGCTGCACATTAAGCATTCAACGAGTCGCAGCAAATGAGGTGAACTCAATAATCTGTACATGCCTTGTTCTTCACGTTGACATTCTTGTTCTGTTCCTGGTGTGCCCCCAGTTAGTTCTGCAGCAGCTAACGCTAATGTTTCGGCGTCTTCTTTTCTCGATGTCGCTGGGTAGAAGACTATGTTATCGATCGTTTGAATCAATTCGAGCTGTACCACACACTTTATTAGAAGACTGTTGAATACTCTGTTAGATGTTTTACAATCATCTCCTCCTTGAGGTTTCTTCAGTATGCCATGTCGTACGTGTGGCGTTTCCCCGTCGTCGTTTTCTTCAGGCTTCCAAGTAAGTAATGTTGTTGGTAGCGTACTGTTAAATATGTCCAACATAATTTGACATGTATTACTCCACGTGTCTTCATTGAATTTTGTTCCGTTTGAAATGACTAGATTCTCTAAACAATTTGTACCTGATCTCGCTAGCTGTTCGTTGTCTTGTTGGACACACCAATGTAATTGCGAATAAAGTTGTTCTAACAAAAGCGTACCGAGAACGTCAAAGTACTGCGTGAAGACATCCACGATTGCGTACAATGCATGATTGCAAGTTGTAGTCATCCATTCATTTTTCTCCAACTGATGTTCAGGTAGTTTCATATTGTCAAATATCCTAAAAAGAATATTAAATAAATCTCTCCACCAATGCGGACGGAATGAATCACCATGAGTTTTTATAATCTCAAATAAGACTGTTAGACCTCGGGTCCGAACATCTAATTTGCACCGGCTTACGACGCATGACAACGAGAAAAGTAGTGGGAACCATCCTCTCAACCAGACTCTATCTACTTCAGGTGCGCCTGGTTCACCTTCAAGCCCTGCGTGCTCAGCAAATAGCTGTGGGGAAGCACCAACAGCAGTGGCACAGGATCTGACTAGTCTTATCGCTTCCATAGATGTATCGGGGAATTTCGCATTGCAAGCAAATTCAGATAAGCATTTTACTGCATCTTGGAATGAATCTATCATGGCAGGGAATTGCTTTTCATACAATTCTGTTATTATTTTACCAGTGGTTTGGAATGCTAAGTCTACAATCGCCTCATCTTGATCACTTGCTGCCAAATGGAATACTGAAAATATGTTTTTCCAACCAGATTTGATATTTGGTGCTTGAGAATTTACCATCTGTGCAATACATCGTACTACCATATCTCTTATTGTCGGTGAGCTGTTCTTTTTCATAATATGTTCAAATGGCCTTAAAAAGTCTTTTTGGAATTTAAAATTAGCAAACTCTCCTTTTTCAATAAACTTCATAGAGAGTTGCCTCAAGGAGTCTACCGCAAAAAATGAGATATCTTCATTGCCACTGCACCCAACTTTATTGAAATGGTCACCTAGCACTTGCCAAATTCGTGACCATTGTAACCTGATTCGTCCCATATTGTAGTACGATATTTCGACGATTTTTTGAAGAGAGAACATTCTAGGATTACTTGGATGGCTTAGTTCGTCAAGCGAAACTTGGCACAATGCTTTAACAAAATCAACAATTGCATCGCCATCCAGTCTCGTAGAGCCAGTAAATATTCTGTCAACGGCAACTACAACACTCTGGGAACTCGTTTCACCTATATGCTCTTTCACGCTAGGATCTAAAGTCATCAAACTGAATTTTAATGAATCTGGTTGCGGTTTTATTCCAGATCCTGATAAAAATTGTGGCCGTACACCTGTTCCAATAAGCTGAGCCAATTCTAACTGAGAAATGCATTTAACAACATCTAGCCAACTTGATCCCAAGTAGTTTCCATCAGTATGTGCAACTGTAATTAAAGTTTTGATTGTGTCTATGTTCTTAGCTTTCATTTCGGTGATTGGCGAATTGGCTGTGAGAAGAGTAAATCGTGCAAGTGCTTGCACATATGCATCTCTTTCTAGGGACATGTGGAATATACACGCGATACGGATAGCGCATCTAATTCCATCGAGGCAAAGTGAAGCTATTTCAGGATCATCACAGTCCTGTAAGCCTACTGAAAATGCTGCAAGGAAAGGTGTCCATGCCATTTTGAACATTGGTCTTACATGTTCCACATGTTTAGCAGTAGTAAATGGTGTCTGCACGTGAGATACGGATTCCATCAAATTCTTTGCAGCTGTAGATATTTGTTCCATTTCCATATTCCAAATTAGTTTTCGTTTCTTTTCATTAGCAATCATGTGTTTACCAGGTTTAGAAGTATTTTTCATTTTAATTTCATGTCCAGCAATTTCGTCATATATTTGAGACAAATACTCGCGTGGCAGATCATTATTGTCGCTTATACCACTGTTCAATTTAATATACTGTTCTTTTGTCATTTTGTTTTTTACTTGAGGTGAGTGTAGGTCTGTTGTTAGCATAATAATAGAGAATGCTAATACATAAACTGTGTCAGCGCTACTGAATAGAGTGTTATTTGGATTACACTCACAATAACGTGACGCAAATTTTTCCATCAATCTGTCAATCTTCTGTGCTTCACCAGGTAACCTGAATCCTTCTAAGAAATGTCGTAGAGCAGCCACAATATCCATATTTGCAAAATTCATTGAATCCACATATGCATACATAACTTCTTTTGAATGATCATCATTTTCCCCTAAATATTCACCTATGAATGTCTTATCAAGTCTTTCATCAGTTAATAACCATTCAGCAATTTCCTTTGTAGATGTTCCTAGTAAGCTTTGCTCCTGCAAGAAAGCTACCCCTTTCTTAGGTTTTCTATTAAATAAATCAATACCAGTTTCCCATACTTCTTTTTGCTGTTTTAATACTTCAAATTGTTCTGGAGAATCTAATGTTTCTCTGTTGCCAATGTTACTTGAACCTGTGGAAACTAGACTCAGACTAGATCCTCCATGTGATTTAATACTGTGGTGATCAGTGTCTTCTTTAGCAGTTCTTTCACCTAAAGTAGTTTGTAAGTTTGGATTGATATAAAGTTCCTTGCTCCATTCCACCATACATTTTAATATCGAAACCAAACATTCTAATCCTCTTATTCTCATGGATTTCTCTTGATTTGGAGTAGCACCTAACTCCAATGCTTGTCGCCCTTGTGCAATTTTCGAGACATCATTTACCAACCTTTGAAATAGATTTGCAGCTGATAAATCACAATCATAGTTGACATAGATATCAACAACACTTTGAGCATCACCACAGATCCTTGTAAGTGCTTGTATAACCATCCATTTGTGTTCAAAGGTTGAACTTGATGTTTCCAAAATATTCATGAAAATTTCTTTGAAAAAGACTTCAATTTGTTTTTTGAGATGAACTTTAAAGTTTTGAAGTAGAGCCAGGAATATTGCCAGTGAAAGTTCAAACACTTCAGGCACAGAGCTCACACCATTTTTTGATAATGCAACACAAAGGTATTGTTTAATAGCAGTTATGAACATCTCATTGTTTCTAAACACTGGTCCTGCATTTTGCAGAATTGATAGAAGTAAATGCAGAGATAGAATCTTAGACCTCAATTCATGTGACTTGGGGTCGGGAGTACCTTCAGGAAGGGGTTTCATAGATAATTTGCAGAGGGCTCTAAATACAAGGAATGCATCTTTTTGTAGAATGTGAGTGAATTTAGCCGTTACTGAATTGTCATTCTCTGAAGCAACATCGACACTTTCTTGAGATGGTATTCGTGTCATTGAAGATTCTGCTCCAGCTTGACCATTGCTTTCTTGGGATACACTACCACTGTCTTGTGAATCTGATGGATTTTCATTATTTTCAGGAATATTTTCACTTATATTATCTGCAGTTTTCTTTGTAGCAATAGTGATAGCATTGTCTATAACAGAATCTACTATTTGCTTAGCAATAATTTTTGCTTCCAAAATTTCATCAATTTGTTCATGTTGTGGAGTGACTTCCTTTTCTTCTACATGTACATGATTATTAGAAGGTAGTTTTTCTTCTGCATTGGATTCATCACTCACGACATTGCCATTGGGTATTTTATGCTGTATTTCTGTATTATTGGAATCAGATGCTAAAGCTTGATTTTCCATTTTAGTGAAAATAACATTGAGCATTTGTGTTAGAGTTGCTCTAGCTGTTGTTTGGTTTATAAGGTTTTTACTTGCTAAATATATATTGTAACAAGTCCTGACAGCAAGCAGCACAGTGCCCTCATGTACCTCAACATGTTGGCTTGTTATTACTGTTAATAGAGCTTTTATTATTTGTAGTTGAACTCCTTCATCTGTTTGTGGACCAGTGAAGCAGCTACATATCGTTTCCACAATGCGGTCAATCAAAAGTTTTCTTGGTGTTGTTGAATCAGGAATATTGCCTGTTAGATGACCATAGGCAATAAGTTTTTGAAGACAGTCTAAAGCTGTCACAACTATCCTGGATGCTTTGCTTTGGCATGCCAGTTCAAATGGCAGAAAATATTTCTCAGCTGTGATAATGTTTGATGCATCATTTTTGGGCAGAGGCAGTGTGCCCGATGATGGACTCTCAGACGATTCTGGTTGTCCTCCATTTTTCAGCTCAGTTTTTATTTCCTCTGTAAAGAAGTATAAAATTTAACTGGTGCAATAGTGTTAAATAAATATTGAATATTTATCAATAATTATACTATTTGTATGTAATCATGGACCAGTACATTTTAAACAATATCATGTTGACTCTATTAGTATAATTACCATTTAATATTATCAATAATAATTATTAATATCAATAGTAATAAGAACATAAAGGGTTTAACATCATAGTTTACAGCCAATTTTTTTTTTTTAGTATTATTTTAAGGACTTTTTCCTTTTTCAGGTATATCAGTCCTATTGTACCCTGAACTGATTACAGCCAATTTGTTATAATTTTAAAATGTTGGTTATTTATTTACATGATAGATATCAATAACATTTTCAGCAAATACTTACTTCTAAATTAAGTACGATAATGTAATGTCTACAATACTAATGCCTGATTTGCATTTAAACTAAGGCCATTCAAAGATCTTTTCTCATTTATGGTAATAAGTAAAATGATGACCTTCGCAAAGAATATGCATTATAAATGAACATATTGAAAGAAGATACATAAACTATGTATCTTATATTGTTGGTACTACAAGCGAGACATAGATATTTTCTGTTATTAATAAGTAGTATTCAAACACTCTTTGAAGAATAAATCAAATTTTTTGAGATTAATCAAACAAATAATATGGTTTGAAGATATATTAAAATATTTTATAATCTAGCTATTAAATATATAAAAAGAAATATATTTGTATTTCGTTGTATGTAGTAATGAATGAAACAATTAATAAAATTTGAATAATACTAATTAAATGTACCTACAGATTTACTGTTTTATCAGTATAATTAAGGAATGTGTCACTCTTAACACCATTGTATGCTTTATTACTCTGTATTAAATATACAAATAGTTGATTAATATGATAACATAAGTAGGTCTACAACCTCCACTTTCATTTCCAAGGCCAATTTACAATCACTTCTCTATAAATCATTAAATTCCTATTGTATTGTAGATTATATTACTTCAGCTAATTAATGGTAAATGATGTTTAAAAACAGGTAGTAGTACCTGTAAGCAAACGAATATGATGTCAAAGTATATGTACTACATTCTTACCAAGAGCTACTTCACAAGACTTTTTCAACTGACTATGATAGGACCTTTTTATGTCCTTATCAGCCAATATCTTCTCTAGTGCTCGAACTATAAACATTTCTTTAGTTTTGAGATTGGTTTGCATCATTATTTTATATGGATATCACTCCATTAGTTCCTATTGGAATAGACTCAATTGCGTGGTTTTTTTATACATTTATAGCTGTGTTGAGGCACTGTTTGACGGTAATATTAGATTTATACGACCGCTAAATAACGGCACATAAGTAACATCACAAAACTTTAAAGAGCCGAGGTAAACTATGATTTTATAATAAAACCATTTCTGCGAGACGGAGATTTCACGATTCACACCTCATCACAAACATGTCAATATAATAATGCGTTCAAGACATAAAATTTTTAATATAAATTATTTTTAACTGCTTATTTTTGTGTTAGTGCTGTAATCAAACAATGGTTAATTATTTTTGTTTAACAGCAATATAATTTCTTATATACAAATAACCACATGAAAATAAAAATTTAATTATACTGATATTTTTAAGTAAATTTATCAAAATGTCCTTCAGCCAGTAGAAAAACGACCATACGAGGACAGTCAGTAGATTATCTGGATATTTGTGTGTTCTGTGACGTTTAATGTCAAGACTGTCATTTACGTTCGCCGCCGGTGACTGTCAAACAAGGCAAACTGTCAATGCTTTTATGTCGAGTATAAAATTTATGAGTTTTTTTCTCGAATGCCCCTGGATGCAGTTGCGAATAATATTTAAGTTATACAAATAACGTTATTGATTTTCAAATTTTTATTTATATTATCGTGTTTATAGATATTTTACAAAATTGCTTCCACAATGACAGTCACGCGGGTGGCAGAATCCCGCACCGAGTTTAAATTGAAGAGTTTGCCAGAAGATTGCATATCTAGTGTGAAATTTGCACCGAAATCGAGTCAATTTCTGTTGGTTTCATCATGGGATTGTACAGTAAGGTTATACGACGTGACTGGAAATATAGAACGACATAAATATACTCATGAATTGCCAGTACTCGACGTTTGCTTTCGGGTATGTATTAACTTATGTATATGTTTGGTCAGTGAATACCTTTATGTTTTGTCACAGAATATCTTGTTTAAATAAATAAATAAAATTTTAACCTTTAAAATCAGGATGCAGTACATTCATACAGTGGTGGCCTGGATCAAAATCTCAAACTGTATGATTTAAATGCCAGTACTGAAACAGTGCTTGGTGAGCATAAAGGAGCAATTCGGTGTGTGGAGTATGCAACTGAAGTGAATGCAGTACTCACGGGCAGCTGGGACGGCACTGTCAAAATGTGGGACAGCAGAGTGCCAAATTGTGTCGGGACTTATAACCAGGGAAATGAGAGGGTAAATATATATTGATTAATACACTTGTAATTTTATTAAAAAACAATTTCTTTCTGATTTAAAATAATTATTAATCTATTTCTCAAGAACCTATTTGTTTTTATTTTAATGGGTGATAATGGTATGGTAACCCTGTCTGCGCTATTGGTATACAATGGTGGGGCACCAGTGGTAGATGACTAATCAGGATGAAAGCAGGTCAGTTAGCCCATCCTGATGAATTCTACTAGAATTAGCCACAATGGTTTCCAGGGGGAACCAATCATGGAGGTCGACCTGATAGGGTATATTGTTAGTAATAGGGCTATTTGACCCCAATTCCTTTCCCCCCAGAATCTATTTGTTGGAATCTCAGTATAAGAGTGGCACCCTTCGATGCCAAGAGAGTCTAGGCCGCCTTCATTATATATAATTTAATGGAACTGATCTGATGATGGAGCCAGAAGGTGGTCATAAGAACATAATAAAACTGGCTTGTTGGATTTGTCTCATATGGCTGACATAATATATATATATATATATATATATATATATATATATATATATATATATATATATCATCATCATCATCATCATCATCATCATCATCAATCTCAGCCATTATCTGTACACTAATGAACATAGGCCTCCCTATAAACTGGCAACTGTAAGGAACAACTCTGAGCCACCTGCATAATTACTTTTATTGAATGAAAAAATTAAATCTTTGTCTTAATATTTATTATAGGTGTACACAATGAGTATAGTGGGCGAAAAGTTTGTTGTGGGTACTTCAGGACGCAAAATCTTTGTATGGGATGTACGTAATATGGGCCATGTGAACCAACGACGAGAGTCCTCCTTGAAATACCAAACTCGTTGCATTCGGGTGTTCCCCAACAAGCAGGGTTATGTACTGAGCTCGATAGAAGGCCGTGTTGCTGTTGAATATCTAGACAGCAACCCTGAAGTGCAGAAGAAGAAATATGCATTCAAGTGTCACAGGATCAAAGATGGTGGTATGTACAAATATTTTCCTGTATTTATAATAGATAGTTGTATAGATGGAACTAAAGGTATGTTCCAGGAATGCATAGAGCCTGAGTCCAATCATATGATACTATATAAAAAAGTGACAAACATTTATAAATAAAGTTTGATATATTTTTTTCTCAACTTTTCTATATGGTTCATGAAAGGGCTTACTAATACATTTATACTATTATTATAAAAAGAAAAGATTTGTTTGTTTGTTTTTAATGGATAAACTCAAAAGTCTTCTTTATCCAATTTTGAAAATTCTTTCCCCTATACCAAGCTACATGATCAGTGAGTAACACAGGGTGTATATTATTTTCTATCTACCAGTTAATTGATTAGAAAATTAATGGTTATATTTTTTTGTCTGTCATATCTATTTTCTATTGATCTTTACACTTGATCACAAGTATTTAAAAAAAATAAATTATATTTTGGGAGTCCCATTCAGTATTTCCTGTAGTACCTAATGTCAATTGGTAATTATTGTTTTTCTATTTTGTATTCCTACCTGAAATATGGAATAAATGTATACTATTTCTATGTTAAGTTTTTTATTAATCTGGAATCATATTTGATTGGTAATTAATTTTATTTTTAATTTTCAGGTTTAGAAAAGATCTACCCAGTGAATGCAATAAGTTTCCATTCCGTATACAATACATTTGCGACGGGTGGCTCCGATGGTTACGTCAACATTTGGGACGGTTTTAACAAGAAACGTCTCTGCCAGTTCCACAGATACAACACTGCCGTGTCCTCCCTTAGCTTCTCTCATGATGGGTCAGCTCTAGCAATTGCATGCTCGCAGCTTGATGAAACCCAGATAGAGGATCCTAAGCCCGAGGACACCATTTATATAAGATATGTGACTGATCAGGAAACTAAGCCGAAATGAGGGCCAGGCTTTGCTCAATAGAAAATATGACTTGACTATTTGATATATACGATTGACCTTAATGACTTAATATATTAATAAAAAAATAAATACTAATGACAATGGTTTAAAAATCTAAATCTATGCATATGTCCAATTCATAGAAGTGATATGGTAGATAAAGTGTAAATACAATAAGCAAGCAGGGAGTCAATCGGTTAAGTAGGTAACAGGTAGTATTATGTTTTAAAACAGAATCTATATTTAGTAAAGAGGACTAATAAGCAGAAGGAAACTGACCGATTCTAAATTTACCTGAATTTAACTATTCCATGTATTTTGAAATTGTTATTTTTTTTAAAAAAATATTTCTAAGTAGCATTACAGAATTATTATGTTCTGATCATCTCTCTTTGTTTAAATTTGTGGATTTTATTATTTGATTTTAGTAATAGATTTAGATACAAAGAATTACATACAAATATGTTATTTTTTAGTACTTTTTGTTATATACATGGATTGTGTTCATCTCCTTTCACTGTATAGTCAAATAGTCAAAACGGTTCTGCCTACTGGGTGTGCAAAATATTTTATTTGTTCTCTATTAATAAGTTAGATATAATTAAAGATAAGTAACAAATTGATACATTTATAAAAAATTAAGAACGAATATATGTTTTACTTTATTTGTCCCATAAAATAATTTCTCGGTCTTCCCCTTCCTCTTTTGCCCTCTATTTTTCCTTTTTACTAGAATGAAAAATAGAGGGCTTTTGCATTGGCAGTGTCCCTCCTAAAACGTCACCAAAAGTCATACTACTGTTGCCAATCCGCCTGCCAAGCGTGGCAACAACTGGCAAAACTCCCCTTATAAGGCTACGTTCAGCAGTGGACTGTTAAAGACTGATAGAATAACAACAAGGTGTGTAATGTAAGATAGAGGTCTAAGTTAATGACTAGTGTCAGAGTGTCTAGTGTCTGAGTGTCTAGTGTCTAGTGTCTAGTGTCTGAGTGTCAAGTGTCTGAGTGTCTGAGTGTCTGAGTGTCTAGTGTCTAAGTGTCTGAGTGTCTAGTGTCTGAGTGTCTAGTGTCTGAGTGTCTGAGTGTCTAGTGTCTGAGTGTCTAGTGTCTGAGTGTCTAGTGTCCGAGTGTCTAGTGTCTGAGTGTCTAGTGTTTAGTGTCTGAGTGTCTAGTGTCTAGTGTCTGAGTGTCTAGTGTCGAGTGTCTGAGTGTCTGAGTGTCGAGTGTCTGAGTGTCTAGTGTCTGAGTGTCAAGTGTCTGAGTGTCAAGTGTCTGAGTATCTAGTGTCTAAGTGTCTAGTGTCTAGTGTCTAGTGTCTAGTGTCTGAGTGTTAGAGTGTCTAGTGTCTAGTGTCTGAGTGTCTAGTGTCAGAGTGTCTAATGTCTAGTGTCTGAGTGTCAAGTGTCTGAGTGTCTGAGTGTCTGGTGTCTAAGTGTCTGAGTGTCTGAGTGTCTAGTGTCTAAGTGTCTGAGTGTCAAGTGTCTGAGTGTTAGAGTGTCTAGTGTCTAGTGCCTGAGTGTCTAGTGTCAGAGTGTCTAGTGTCTGAGTGTCAAGTGTCTGAGTGTCTGAGTGTCTGAGTGTCTGGTGTCTAAGTGTATGAGTGTCTAGTGTCTGAGTGTCTAATGTCTAGTGTCTGAGTGTCGAGTGTCTGAGTGTCGAGTGTCTGAGTGTCGAGTGTCTGAGTGTCGAGTGTCTGAGTGTCTAGTGTCAGAGTGTCTAGTGTCTGAGTGTCTAGTGTCGAGTGTCTGAGTGTCAAGTGTCTGAGTGTCTAGTGTCTGAGTGTCTAGTGTCTAAATGTCTAGTGTCTGAGTGTCTAGTGTCTGAGTGTCTAGTGTCGAGTGTCTGGGTGTCGAGTGTCTGAGTGTCTGAGTGTCTAGTGTCTAGTGTCTGAGTGTCTAGTGTCTGACTGTCAAGTGTTGTGAGTGTCTGAGTGTCTAGTGTCAAAGTGTCTAATGTCTGAGTGTCTAATGTCAGAGTGTCTAGTGTCTAGTGTCTGAGTGTCTGAGTGTCTGAGTGTCTAGTGTCAGAATGTCTGAGTGTCTAGTGTCGAGTGTCTGAGTGTCGAGTGTCTGAGTGTCGAGTGTCTGAGTGTCTGAGTGTCTAGTGTCTGAGTGTCGAGTGTCTGAGTGTCTAGTGTCTGAGTGTCAAGTGTCCGAGTGTCTGAGTGTCTGAGTGTCTAGTGTCTAAGTGTCTGAGTGTCTAGTGTCTGAGTGTCTAGTGTCTGAGTGTCTAGTGTCTGAGTGTCTAGTGTCTGAGTGTCTGAGTGTCTGAGTGTCTAGTGTCTGAGTGTCTGAGTGTCTAGTGTCCGAGTGTCTAGTGTCTGAGTGTCTAGTGTTTAGTGTCTGAGTGTCTAGTGTCTAGTGTCTGAGTGTCTAGTGTCGAGTGTCTGAGTGTCTGAGTGTCGAGTGTCTGAGTGTCTAGTGTCTGAGTGTCTAGTGTCTGAGTGTCAAGTGTCTGAGTGTCAAGTGTCTGAGTATCTAGTGTCTAAGTGTCTAGTGTCTGAGTGTCGAGTGTCTGAGTGTCTAGTGTCTGAGTGTCAAGTGTCTGAGTGTCTAGTGTCTGAGTGTCTAGTGTCTAAGTGTCTGAGTGTCTAGTGTCTGAGTGTCTAGTGTCTGAGTGTCTGAGTGTCTGAGTGTCTGAGTGTCTAGTGTCTAAGTGTCTGAGTGTCAAGTGTCTGAGTGTTAGAGTGTCTAGTGTCTAGTGCCTGAGTGTCTAGTGTCAGAGTGTCTAGTGTCTAGTGTCTGAGTGTCAAGTGTCTGAGTGTCTGAGTGTCTAAGTGTCTGGTGTCTAAGTGTATGAGTGTCTAGTGTCTGAGTGTCTAATGTCTAGTGTCTGAGTGTCGAGTGTCTGAGTGTCGAGTGTCTGAGTGTCGAGTGTCTGAGTGTCGAGTGTCTGAGTGTCGAGTGTCTGAGTGTCTAGTGTCAGAGTGTCTAGTGTCTGAGTGTCTAGTGTCGAGTGTCTGAGTGTCAAGTGTCTGAGTGTCTAGTGTCTGAGTGTCTAGTGTCTAAATGTCTAGTGTCTGAGTGTCTAGTGTCTGAGTGTCTAGTGTCGAGTGTCTGGGTGTCGAGTGTCTGAGTGTCTGAGTGTCTAGTGTCTAGTGTCTGAGTGTCTAGTGTCTGACTGTCAAGTGTTGTGAGTGTCTGAGTGTCTAGTGTCAAAGTGTCTAATGTCTGAGTGTCTAATGTCAGAGTGTCTAGTGTCTAGTGTCTGAGTGTCTGAGTGTCTAGTGTCAGAATGTCTGAGTGTCTAGTGTCGAGTGTCTGAGTGTCGAGTGTCTGAGTGTCGAGTGTCTGAGTGTCTGAGTGTCTAGTGTCTGAGTGTCGAGTGTCTGAGTGTCTAGTGTCTGAGTGTCAAGTGTCCGAGTGTCTGAGTGTCTGAGTGTCTAGTGTCTAAGTGTCTGAGTGTCTAGTGTCTGAGTGTCTAGTGTCTGAGTGTCTAGTGTCTGAGTGTCTAGTGTCTGAGTGTCTGAGTGTCTAGTGTCTGAGTGTCTAGTGTTTAGTGTCTGAGTGTCTAGTGTCCGAGTGTCTAGTGTCTGAGTGTCTAGTGTCGAGTGTCTGAGTGTCTGAGTGTCGAGTGTCTGAGTGTCTGTCTGAGTGTCTAGTGTCTGAGTGTCTAGTGTCTGAGTGTCTAGTGTCTGAGTGTCTGAGTGTCTAGTGTCTGAGTGTCTAGTGTCTGAGTGTCTAGTGTCCGAGTGTCTAGTGTCTGAGTGTCTAGTGTTTAGTGTCTGAGTGTCTAGTGTCTAGTGTCTGAGTGTCTAGTGTCGAGTGTCTGAGTGTCTGAGTGTCGAGTGTCTGAGTGTCTAGTGTCTGAGTGTCAAGTGTCTGAGTGTCAAGTGTCTGAGTATCTAGTGTCTAAGTGTCTAGTGTCTGAGTGTCGAGTGTCTGAGTGTCTAGTGTCTGAGTGTCAAGTGTCTGAGTGTCTAGTGTCTGAGTGTCTAGTGTCTAAGTGTCTGAGTGTCTAGTGTCTGAGTGTCTAGTGTCTGAGTGTCTAGTGTCTGAGTGTCTGAGTGTCTGAGTGTCTGAGTGTTTAGTGTCTAAGTGTCTGAGTGTCAAGTGTCTGAGTGTTAGAGTGTCTAGTGTCTAGTGCCTGAGTGTCTAGTGTCAGAGTGTCTAGTGTCTAGTGTCTGAGTGTCAAGTGTCTGAGTGTCTGAGTGTCTAAGTGTCTGGTGTCTAAGTGTATGAGTGTCTAGTGTCTGAGTGTCTAATGTCTAGTGTCTGAGTGTCGAGTGTCTGAGTGTCGAGTGTCTGAGTGTCTAGTGTCTAGTGTCTGAGTGTCTAGTGTCGAGTGTCTGAGTGTCAAGTGTCTGAGTGTCTAGTGTCTGAGTGTCTAGTGTCTAAATGTCTAGTGTCTGAGTGTCTAGTGTCTGAGTGTCTAGTGTCGAGTGTCTGGGTGTCGAGTGTCTGAGTGTCTGAGTGTCTAGTGTCTAGTGTCTGAGTGTCTAGTGTCTGACTGTCAAGTGTTGTGAGTGTCTGAGTGTCTAGTGTCAAAGTGTCTAATGTCTGAGTGTCTAATGTCAGAGTGTCTAGTGTCTAGTGTCTGAGTGTCTGAGTGTCTAGTGTCAGAATGTCTGAGTGTCTAGTGTCGAGTGTCTGAGTGTCGAGTGTCTGAGTGTCGAGTGTCTGAGTGTCTGAGTGTCTAGTGTCTGAGTGTCGAGTGTCTGAGTGTCTAGTGTCTGAGTGTCGAGTGTCTGAGTGTCGAGTGTCTGAGTGTCTGAGTGTCTAGTGTCTGAGTGTCGAGTGTCTGAGTGTCTAGTGTCTGAGTGTCAAGTGTCTGAGTGTCTGAGTGTCTGAGTGTCTAGTGTCTAAGTGTCTGAGTGTCTAGTGTCTGAGTGTCTAGTGTCTGAGTGTCTAGTGTCTGAGTGTCTGAGTGTCTAGTGTCTGAGTGTCTAGTGTCTAGTGTCTGAGTGTCAAGTGTCTGAGTGTATGAGTGTCTGAGTGTCAGAGTGTCTAGTGTCTAAGTGCTTGAGTGTCAAGTGTCTGAGTGTCAGAGTGTCTAGTGTCTAGTGTCTGAGTGTCTAGTGTCAGTGTCTAGTGTCTAGTGTCTAGTGTTTAGTGTCTGAGTGTCTAGTGTCTGAGTGTCTAGTGTCTAAGTGTCTGAGTGTCAAGTGTCTGAGTGTCAGAGTGTCTAGTGTCTAGTGTCTGAGTGTCTAGTGTCAGTGTCTAGTGTCTGAGTGTCTAGTGTCTAGTGTTTAGTGTCTGAGTGTCTAGTGTCTAGTGTCTGAGTGTCTAGTGTCGAGTGTCTGAGTGTCGAGTGTCTAGTGTCTGAGTGTCTCATTGTCTAGTGTCTAGTGTCTAAGTGTCTAGT